CACATACATACATACATGCATGCTATATATGTATAGTATATGTATGTATGTGTACTTACAAAACAGACTTACATACGTCAAAGAAAGTGAAACGTTTGGCTTGTTTGGATTAAATTCGTCACCCATCAACGTCGGCCACTCTTCGTCTTCCACCTCTTCTTCTTCGTCTTCTTCGCCTTTGTCTCTTCTTCGATCACCTTGCGCTGTCTTTTCCGCAGTTTCTTTCTTGCGACTCTTTTATGCAACTGTTGTTGATTCTCTTATCGCGAGAAATGTTGTTGGTTTTGTCGTGTAATCGGGGATGCTGCGACTATTTGTTTGCTCGGCTACTGGCTTGTTTGTAAACTCGTTGAGCATTTTGTCAGAACTCAAGACAGCTTTGATATCCGCTGTCCGTCCAGTTTGTCTCCAGTGTCCAAACTGCGGACATTTTTCAGGGGTTATTGGGGTATGTTTAAAAATCTACGCACAAAGAATTATTTAAAAAAATAGGGCAAGGTTAAGCCCCAGCCTATGTACGAGTATAATTGGAGAGATAAGCTAAAAATACAAGAAAAACTTAGTGGCTTGAAAGAAGTACGAGTATTTGCTATATTTTGATTTTCTTTTTTTTTAAATTTCTTTTGTTATTGCAATCATTTACGCATAAATAATACGCATAAATAAATACGAAATAAGTTTATGCTCATTATTCACCCATTAAATGTCTGCATATTAATTTACTAGAAGATCGACCGGAATTGCCTTAAAAATCAAGAAATTCCCCAAAAATATTTGTTGACATCTTTAATCCCCTGTTTCCGAAGATTTAGAGATGAGCTAGAAACTCAAATATATGTAACAGGCTAAGCGAGACTTGGCATAGCCCATGACTAAGTAGGACATAGATTCTTTCGCCTTCCATCTGCCCGTTTGTATAATTATCGAGAAATTTTGATCTATAACAGCTAAGGCCAGCAAACTTGCTATATATATACTTGTCTCATCCATATGCTGAGCAAGTTTAATCCAAATATATAGCCTTTTATTATGACGAGAGTACGAGTAGCTGCCATCGATGCACAAATAACTCTTAATAGGGTGTCTAATTCAGTTATAAAGATATCTTGAGCAAATCTAGGATTTATAAGTTTTGTTTAATATTCTAAAATTTAATAAGCTGGTTTCAGAATCGTATTGAAAACACCAAGTTTTTTTTACACCTCAACGAAGTTATATGCTGCACAGTTTTTCATCATTTTTGTACCGATAATGCTATCGATAATAAACATTTTTAGGTAATGAATTCTACGTTCTTGGATTTGTTGGATACACTTAAAATCCTATGGTCTATCAAACTACTAGCACCATAAGTACCCAACGACTTAACCCCGAGGAGCCATAACAATTTCTTAAAATTATTCTATATTGATATTGTAAGGAAGGTGACCATTTAATAGTTATTGACTGTGCCAGTTATAATGCCTATACACCTCATTCTGTTTTCACACGGTCTTTTTTTTAACCGATTTTGATACAACATATATATATATACATATTTCTTTAGAGATAAGGAACTAATCACTTACTTTTGCATATGATCAATGTCTTTTTTACACGGTTGTTTCTGAAACCAACCTACCGTGTAAAAACAGAATTAGGTGTATATGTATATAGTCTTCCGTCTTCCAATCGGATTTCCGTATACACACATATTAGCTGTGCAACATTGATTCTGGGTAAATGTTGAGTTCATCTCGTAAAATTCCACTCCAACAAATAGGTACATTGACAGACACATTTGCATTTTTCATGTAGAAATAGTTAATTTTCGTTTTCGCACCTCTCGATTGTGCCATTCAAAACATCTGTCTTTTGTTTAAAAATTGTTATTGCTATGCCTTCGCATTGCACAATAGAATTTTCTGTTTCTAATTCCAATTGTTGTTATTGGTGTCGGCCGGGGATATGCCACAGCGCTGTTGCAAAACCCTAGACCACGAACTGCAGCGTAGCATGAATCGAGCGACAGCATTTCGTAGAAATATAGTATGTATGTATGTATGCCATGGGCAAGTGGGAGTTAATGCCAGTTGGGTCCAGCTATATAATTTAGAATCGGCGTGACTAACTGCTAAGGTTACACTACTGTGTGAGCCGCAGGCTGTAGCAGAATCTGAAAACAAGGAGCAGGCAGCCTAGAGCCAAGAGAACCGGTTCGTTCTTAGCTGGAGCTTGATATTTATAAGACATAATATTCTAGCGCTTCTCTCGCCGTCGGATCGCGTGTTTGTGTACAAAATTATCGCGCTAAAGTGAAAATTGCTTGGAAACCCGTTCCAAAAAATGAATATTAAACTTGCGTATATCTTGTACAAATATTTGCGGCTTTAAAGGCAGTCGCGTTCCTCGCGTTCCGTTTAAGTGTAAAAAGAACATTTGCAAAAAAAAAAAAAAACAAGAAATCGAGAGGGCTTTTGTCAACGGGGCTGCCCGATGCGGAACAGGTTCATAATGTCCCCGTCACCTCGTTTTAAATAAAGTCAACGGAGCTTAAAACCAGAAATATGTTGATTCGATATGTTTTATTGAAGCGCCAGCTTACAGCGCACAAGGCAATAATCAATAAACATAAAACAGCAAACAAACCTCTATAATTAACCATAAAAGCACAATACTAATAATCTCAATAAGCAAATGTGATCAATCTAGCGAAGTCAAAGCCAAGCGATTAATCAAAACGCACCGGTCCGGACCCCGGCCTCGATGATCTTTAATTCCCCCTAACAACAACAACAACAAAAATAAGCCAAAAATGAATCAAAATCAAAACAAAAAGTAAACACAACGCCGACAAAGCGGGAAGCGGTAAAAATTGCCAACAACGCTGACTCTGCGAAGACTCTGAGAAGAAAAAGTTCGAAACTCAAGGTTTTTCTGCATAACAACTTAAAAGCCAGCCAGCCCCCTGCGAGATTTGTGATGAGACATGAGAAACGCACCCAATATTTCCAAGTACACACTCGTATGTGTGTGTGTGTGTGTATCTGGGGAAATCCTGACAGTATAATTTTTTGAAGCACCGAACAAGTTTTTGTGTAATGAGAAGTGAAACATAAAGTAACAAGAAAGCCATAATTGCGATAAGAGTCCAAGGTGAACTTTTCGAGAGCCATTCAAAATAATAAGAAAATATTTTAAAATATTTATAGTAGATGTGTTTTTTTTTTTTTTTTGAAAAAAACCTAAAGTAGGACGCAAGCATGTGCTTATTACAGAAATATTTGCATAACTACTACGAATATATGTAAAAATATTCTTCATTGAACAGTTTTTATCAAGCATTAAAAAGGGTATTATTTGAGACAAGCTATCCCTCAAAGACTTTAGTAATTAAACAATTATAGAAATATTTAACGAATTATATTTCACAACGAGAGCAAACAGTAATTAAATAATCTTAAAAGAATAATAATAATATTACTTATTAAAAACTGCAAGAAAATATGATTGATTGGTCACTAAATAAGTGATTCCTTTACAAAACAAAATATATAGTTTAAAATAAAAACTATAATGTAAGGAAGCCATATTAAAACTAAGAGACATTCTCATTTAGAATATTAAATAGGGAATCATAGAAAAAGCGTCCTCGTTTTCTATGATTTTTTACTTAAATGCTCGCAAAGATCTTTGTTTTATGTTTATTTTTAAATAATAATAAAATTGTTTAAATCGAAAAGTATAAAATATAAAATACAATGAATAGAACTTTTTAAATTGGCGACAAAAATGCATTCTTTTGACTAAAAAAAAAAAAAATAGCATCTGTAGATCATCCATTCTATAAAAAGTGTTTCCAGTTGAAAAATATTTTTCCCACATGCTGTTAAATCTCGACCAATCTAAATTTCACATAGCTGTGCGTTTTTTTTTTTAAAGTTAAAATACAATGAATTTTTCTAGATACTCAAGGACTGACAAATCAAATTAGTCAATCAAATATTTACTAATCTCAGTTCTGGTAGTATTCCGAAAAGTCGGTAACATAATTTAAAATATGTAAAGATGTTTGTATATAATTTCATTGGCAACAATATATAGTCTGTATTTTTTTTTGTTCATATTAGGGTATAGAGAGAGTATTGTTGAGAGTTAATGAGCCAGAAAACTGGACTTTAAATGTTGTAACTTTTATAATTAATATCACATTAATACGTAATAGGGTGAATTAAAAATTGTTTAATCATCTGCAGGTGTACGTAAAATAAAATACGGCAATAAATAAATAACAAATCTGATTTCGTGCAAATAAAAGCTTCATATTAAATATGTTCCTGCCAGAATTATTGCCATATTTTTGCGCATTTGCTCTGCGGTTTTACAAACACACAGCTTTTCGTAATTACGCTTACATGTCATAAATTTTGCATTTCACCGAAACTCGCTTATCACCAATTCGAAAATGCATAAAAAGCCATGAAATTGTATTCAATACAATACAATAAAATAAATAAAATGGAAAACAGCAGCGACAATAACAATAACAACAGCGGCAACAACAAAACTGCCGTACGACTCTGAGAAACGTGATGGAATTTGATTTTTATTGTTTACATACATACATAAATTCAACATGCAATTGTGTTAGTGCCTTAACTTACAATGGATGTGTGTGTGTGTGTGCATGCACTCTTTTCTCCCTCTCTTCTCCCACTCTCTTTTAATGCGCTTCGATAGAAGACTTAGCATTCACCTGCAACGATCGACCGGGCGCCTGATTTTTAATGTAACAGTGAATGCTACAAAAACAACCACAACCACAACAACATCCACATAACAACAACAATTAGGCCATTAGCAGAGACGAGACCCCCAAACTCTCCGGCGACTTTGTCGACGTCAATGCGGCGTCGTCGACGTCGATGTCGCTGACGCTGCCGCTCCCGCTGCCAGCGCCACATCGCCCGCTGCCCTCAATGACGCGACGTCAACATAAAATCGCACACTTTCGGAACGCACAAAACAAAATCAGAAACCGCCCGACTTAGCCTCGCCAATATTGGACTCGACCTAGCGCCGGCGTAGCGCATTGTTGTTGTTTATTTTAATCCAATACATGAATACATATCTACATGCATGTGCATAATAATTGCTCGCATGCGCATTACATATCAAAACAAGTGTAGCAACAACAACAACAACAACAACTTAAACTATAACCTCTAATTAAGACGTTAACAAATCAGCACATCTACATATAATGACTGTCTCCTATGCCGGTGAAGTGCCAAATGGCAGTAGTTTTGGCTGCTTTTGGAAAATCTTATGGAAGTAAGTAAACAATTAATTAACTCACAATAGAAACTGTGAGAAAAATATTAAACAGTGGGTGTATCGCTGTAGTTTGGGGGCTGAAACGTACACACATAAATCGAGTGTATATAATACCAGTTTCCAAACACCCTTCAGCTTAGTGGAACTGAAATGAAGTACTTATTAATCTATTCGTAAAACGTAATATATTTATTTGAATTATTGTATATTCCTCAGTGAAATCAGTAATAATTGAAAAATGTATTTTAAGAAATAATTCAGAAGAAAATTCGCAATAATTCGATAGACAACTTCGCTCTATTTTATAGAGAAACTTCAACTCCATCACAGCATTTCGATGTATTAATCTCAAAAGTGTGCATTAATTTTCAGTCAAATCGTAATTGCCTTTTAAAATTGGAGAAGAGAATACCGTTGATAGAACAGAATTTGTTTAAGGTTTAAAAGATCATGGGAACCATGTTTAGTTGAACCTTCGCTCTTAAAAATAATATTGGGGCTGCAGAGGAGATTTTTTGACTGGAAATAAGAGTAAGGTAATTATCTGAATTAACAAGCGAAACCCGTGATCAATCATTCACATTCAAATATTAGGGGAGGTAAAATGGCTTAAAAGTTAAATGTTTATCTAAAATTTCACATTCCTCATCTATGTATGTACCTATGCGTTTAAACGGAAATGTATAATTTTTTCCAGACTAATGTATAATTTCAAGTGGGTCAACATCTAGTTAGTAAATGGAATAAAATATGTACGGTAGGCGGGGAAATACGGGGAACGCTTAAAATTAGTCATCATTAGTCGTTGTTGGCTCATAGAGAGTCGCAGGTACTTACAAATTGGCGACCAATATTCTCAGAAATATGTATGTATGTATGTATATATGTAATTAGCATCACATACGATCGTACATACATATTGTAGCAGTCTGTGGAGCTGGTAGATTGTTTTTGCTATTTTTAGCCGCAGCTCGCACAAATAGTTTCAAATATGCAGTCAGTCGTAACAGGGCCCAGTCTGGTGATGGCGTGCAGCCAAACAGCCAGTCAGCCAGTTAGCCAGTCAGCCAGTTTTGCAGCTAGAGCTGAGCTGTCCAATCGAGTTTGGCTCAACCACACGTCGTAGTAACCACCCCCCCCACGCCCCCCGCACCCTCGCTCCACCCCGTGGACAGTTGAATGGGTTTGTTGGTGGGTGTGCGCAGAGAACCAATTCGATTCGGGCGGACAGAGGAGACGTGTCGATTTAAAGTTTTCCGCATTTGTTTTAATGAACTATGAACTGTAAAAATTTGCATGGCATCAGCTCGACTTAAAGATATACTATACTACTAGACTCAGTTGTGTGTAAGTGGAGTTTGGAGCCAGGTTGGGAGGTTAGTCAGAACGGCAGATTTAGATCAAAACACTAACTGTCTGTGCTAAAAGCAATTTATCTCTTTCTCCTATGGAATGGGATTACTTAGCCTTAGAGAAGAAGAGGCTTTTACTTTATTGCAGTTCTAGATTGTTAAAGCTGGATGTCACCCAGTTAAGCAGTTCACAGAGCTCCTATTTTAGTTATATTAATCTTGTAAGTTTCATTTTAACTGTTCCTAAAAGCAGACCTAATTCAAATGTATCTTAGGCTACCTTAGATAGGCCCTTAGTCTAAAATTAGGCTTAGACTAGATGGTGGGTTCGACGAAAGAACATGGAGTTTCCAGTTTCCCAAAGAAAAAAATCCCCAGCTGCTAATAATAATTTCCTTAAGGTGTTACGCTCAATCAGATATATAGAATTTGCACTCTTTCGGGAATACGAGTACAGGTATATTTCATTTCATTAAATTGTTTATAATTAGTGTTCTCTCTTCGATTATTGAAGAATCTTCATCAATCTTCAAATGTCTCATTTAAAATGTTAATAACTCCTAGGCATCTAGAAAGTAATTAATCTGAGCTGAAAACAAGTTATATTATGTGTAGAAATTCCTTAGAGCTAATTCTTGAAACTAGCCTAACCTGCTATCGCGCCGAGAAATATTATTGATATTAATAATGTGAATAGAGTCTCGCTAATAACTTAGTTAGAATAGATACACAATGTATCAATTATTATGGAGCACAAAGTTCATTCACACGAAACCTTGATGAAAACAAATAATCAAATGAAGCGAATAACTGACATTTGACAAAGAGCTGCCATTCCAGTTTCATTTTCGATCGAATATATACTATACGTACAAGTAGAATCGAGGCTATGCGAACTTGCGCCATGGCGGAGTTGTTCGTAAGTCCCAAATATACTATAGTATACAAAAATAAAAAACAAAAATGAAATTCATTAGAATTGACACGCAAGACAATAATAATATTAATTTCATATAAAAAGTGGCAAAACGAGCCAACCATTAGGCAACGAGTATCACAAATAAAAACTATGAAATGCGATGCGATCAATTGAAAGCCCAATGGGGAAGTACTATTGCGGGCTTAGACCAGTTAGGTTGTGTGGAAACTGGTTAGCTAGAATAAATTCAGCCACCATTACAAAGACTCATTGATAAAAAGAAATAATAATAAATTCTGTAATCATTAAAAAATATCATTCATTCTAATAATCGGAAACTCTCTTCCACCCGCTATTTTCTTAATTCGCACCTGAATGGAACAGATGGCGCGGCAGCGTTTACAAATTAGTGTGGCGTGAATTAATTGCCTATTTGTGTTTATATTACACCATAAATGTGATCTACAGATTTGGCTTAACGCCCAATCAGCAGGCGTAAGTATTTGATTGCCTCCCATAAAATCCAACCAGACTCTAATCGACACAATCTCCCAACCATCCTATTCAGCATCTTCAACAAGATTCGTCTGTACTTTAGCCAACAGAGTGAGAGCATTCCCATGTCCTTTGTGCTCGGCTTCTATGTGAGTCTGATCGTGAAGCGCTGGTGGGAACAATACAGATTGCTGCCCTGGCCCGATACGTTGGCCCTCTTCATCAGTGCAGCTATTCCCAACTCCAACGGTGGCGTTAATGTAAGTAAATCATACTTCCACTCAATTCTGAAAACCATTATCTGAAATTGTGGATATAGAATGAAACGGGTCGGCTGATGCGTCGCAACATTATGCGCTATATGGTCCTTGCCTATGTCATCACTCTGCAGCGCATTTCCTTGCGCGTCAAACGACGTTTTCCAACCACCCAGCACCTGGTCGATGCGGGTCTTATGCACGAGTCTGAGATGAAAATATTCGAAGCGCTCAACCAGAAGAGTCCCATGTCCAAATACTGGATGCCACTCGTCTGGGCGACAAACATTATCAATCGCGCCCGCAAAGATGGACTGATTGCCTCCGATCACATCGTCCAAACCATTCTCGTTGAGTTATCGGACATCAGACGACGACTAGGTGGATTGATCGGCTACGATACGGTATGCGTGCCGCTAGTCTACACACAGGTGAGTTCATTATATTCCAACTGAACATTCCAAAGATTTTCATTTCATTAATAATTAGCATAAATATTTGAGACAACAATTAAACCTTGAAAATATTTATAACAGACCCCGATGGTTTTAATATTTTGTAGATGTGTATGCAAATTTGAAATCAGGTTTCTTATTTCGATTTGGGAAAACATGGTAGTAAGATAAGATTTCAGTTTTAACTCAAATGCAGCATATTAAGTAATAAACAAAAAGTTTGTTGTTTTTAAATGTAAGACTAAGTCTTGAAGTCTAAAACTTTTCTTCAGATTCAAGTCTTTCTTAGCAGCTTCTTACTTAGATTTGGGAAAACATGGTAGTAAGATAAGATTTCAGTTTTAACTCAAATTCAGCATATTAAGTAATAAACAAAAAGTTTGGTGTCTTTGTAGGAAAGACTTCATGGCTTCTGAGAGTTCTCTGCAGTTTCAAGTCTTTCTTAGCAGCTTCTTACTTAGATTTGGGAAAACATGGTAGTAAGATAAGATTTCAGTTTTAACTCAAATGCAGCATATTAAGTAATAAACAAAAAGTTTGTTGTTTTTAAATGTAAGACTAAGTCTTGAAGTCTAAAACTTTTCTTCAGATTCAAGTCTTTATTAGCAGCTTCTTACTTAGATTTGGGAAAACACGATAATAAGATAAGATTTCAGTTTTAACTCAAATGCAGCATATTAATCCTCATATTAAGTAATAAACGGAAAGTTTGTTGTTTTTAAATGTACAAATTCATGACTTCTAAGACTTTTCTTCGGATTCAAGTCTATCTTGGCAGCTTATTCTACTGTGTTTATTAAAAGACTAGAAGAGGCTCTTCGGAACATGTCAGATTTGTTCATAAAATCGATTTCAGCTTTAACAAAATATTATGTGCATTAATCGGCTTTTATTCCTTTGCTATGGGGACATTCCGACAACTTTGATAAAAATCTGAAACGAGAAGACATCCTTGATCTCAAAGTTAATTATATGTTTTCCAACATGTCACTATAAATTTCAATTATTTAATAGTTAAACAAGTTGATCTATAATTACTTCTTTTAAGAATATAAAGCCATTTGCTCTTAGCACAAAATGCAGTCGGTTCTTCTATAAATATTTTATGCTGCATTTAATGGCTGAAAAGAAAAAATCCTGGTATATTAAACTAAACTCCGTTGCTCAAAGAAACAATAACTTTGCTTTAAATATTCCAAAATTGTTTTGTATAACAATCAATATCAGTTCGGAATGTTACTGGAGGTATACATATGCACGTAACATCATTCTATCTAACTCATTATTCGCAGTCACGAAAGTTTTTCTCCCAGCATAGTTTTTATCACGTTAGTCACGAATACTTTTATTTAATAATACTAATGAAAGTACACATGGAGCTAATTTGTTAAACAATTTTGTTTTAAAAACTGAGAGATTCTTGAAAATTCGTGGGCAGATCATATTAATGATTCGCTGCTGATTTTCAGGTTGTTACGCTGGTACTCTACACCTATTTCATAGCTGCCCTGCTGGGCCGCCAAATGTTGCCAAACGTATTGGATCGTACTGGGCGCGAGGATCCCGACCTGTATTTCCCATTCTTCACTGTGCTGCAGGTAAGCAATGTACAATAATAGAAATAAGATAATTAAAATGGAAGCAATTTTATTTAAACGTTTCGCTTTAACGGCGGCAATAAGTCAAGCTAGATATGCAACGATTCAGCGTTTTGCAAAAATTAAAAACATTGCGGTTATCGGCTCATTAACAAAAATAAAACGCAAATGAGTTGTCGATGCCGATGGTGGGTCACCGCAAAGTGTAATGTCTACCCACTGTGCCCTGCAGCTGCGGTGTTGGCTAGCGATATGCCCACGATCTGTATATATATATATATATATATATATATATATATGTATGTACTATATGTATGTATGTAGTATTTGTCCGTATACTGCATGCACGAGTGTATCGAGATATCGGCAGCTATGGCTGCGCCGTCTCTTGTCTCTTGTCGCTGGTGCGGTTTCGGTTTTCCATTTGCCTTTGTCTTTAACAGATTTTCAAGTGTTTCGAGCTGTGGCTTGTTATGTAAGCGAATCGTCGCCGTCGTCGCCGTCGTCATCGTCGTCGTCTTCGCACGTAGCGTCACGTTCAAAATAATATATTGAAATTTTTGCATTGTTTTTGCATTGTTTTTGCTGCTTTTTGCGGCATTTGTTAGATAAAAATCAGCGACAAGTGTTTTTCAACGCTGTTTAGGGGCTGTCATTAATAACTGTTAATTTTTGTTGCTGCTAGAAACAAAACAACACTAACAACAACCAAAAGTGAATGGAAAACTTTCCCCCGGCAACTTTTGTTTTAAGTAACTACGAGTATTCGTACTTGTACACGCAAATGCATTCGCAGCTACCTATTCTTAGATTTAAGTAATTTATTCAATTACATTATTTTCTCGTTTTATTGCTAATTAATTATAGAGTTTAATGTGTGCTAGCCTCCGATCCTATCTAATTCAATTAACACGCTCGTATTTCATTCGCAGTTCGCTTTCTATGTCGGCTGGCTAAAAGTTGCCGAGGTGCTAATAAATCCCTTTGGCGAAGATGACGACGACATCGAACTTAATTGGCTCATAGATCGCCACATCAAGGTGAGTTCAATGGATGCATTAAGTGTATTCTCTAAAAAATATTGTGATTCCATTGTTTTGGCATGCAATTGTTTATGCAATTCAAGCTAAAGACGTAACGCAGCTCGGTGCGAGTATTAAAATATATTTATTACTAAACAACAAGTGCTACATGGCGTATACGTGACATAGACATAAAACTTAAGAGAGCACATAAATCAGCGCCGCGCAATCATTTCTCTAAGCCACTACTGCCTTTGCTTTGACAGAGATGACAGATCGCACAATAATGCTGAATAGTTCTTCAAATTGCCATTATTGTTAATTATTATTAACAACAGCAGCAAAATGCAAAAATACCCTCGCACCCCAAGCCAGAATTAGTCCAAACTTCTTGTCATGTTGATACCCTAGCTGGGGGTATTATATTTGTCGTAAGAGTTTCCTAGCCAAGACAATGAAGTTGCAAATCGGTAGTGCCTGCCAAATCGTATAGAGGGTTTTTTAAAAATATCTAGAAACCAAGTGCCAAGTTCAAATTTATATTAAATAAATAAAAAGTATACAAAATAATTAATCGAACTTAAACACCACTTAATTTGCAGAATTCGAAAATGTAAAAAACTTCATTCTTCAAAACTCAAGCCTTATGTTCCTATTTTTAAAACACACTTAGCAGGGTATATTTTCTGTAGCGGCTGTTTTTACATACTTTCAAGTGCTTCTGTTCCTGTTTTCCAAAAATTGTGTGATATTCATTTTATTCTTGGGAATCGTCTTCTAGCACTTGACATTATATTTAAACATTGCCAATAACATGTTTATATTTAAACAATAATATTAGATGAGAAAAATTATGTTTATAGGATCTTTAATCATTTGTTCGAGTTCTAAAAATTTGTACGACTAGTTTATTTCTTAAAAGCGCACAAACTCGAAGGCAAATAAATATTAAGATCACTTAATCTGCTTTCTTTTTATCAAATCAATTGAGTTGATAAGTAGCTGTACAATAAAAAATACTATGGTATTTTTAAACTTCATCTATTTTTTTTAAAGTCCGTGAAAGTTATAATTTTAATTATATTGATAATGATTTTCTTACTGCAAGAGCAGTTCTTAGCCTTTAAAACTATTAAAAAATAAGAATACAGAAGTGATATTGCCGACTCAATGCAACATTCTTCACAATCAAGATGCATTTCGAACGAAGGTTTTAGGCCGTCTGCTGGCATTTCTTCAAAACGCCTTTCAGCCGCTATGGGAAAATTCAATTTCCCAAAGAGATTTATTGATTCATTGAAGAAGTGTATAATAATAAGTAACAAGGGTTGTCCAATGAGACGGCGCATTATCTTCTTTCCACGATATGTGTATCTCTAACATAAAACACAGCATTACCTTTTTGTCAGGTGGAACGACCTCTTTTGAGTCGTTAAAACAAAGCATCTTGATTTTTACTTTAAACGTCTTTTTTCGGGTTTGGCTCATCTGAGTATTTCCGTTTGGCACTTTAACGCTTAGTTTCAGAATTGTTTCATCTCCAAGACGTTACGGCCTTGTTTTGACTTCATGATGAATCCTTTCCATTCGCTTATCAAAAAATTTCGAAGGAATGTTGATTTTTGAAAAGTCCTCTTTACTGTGCGTTGCCCTTCGTTTTAATAATCCTAGGCGATGAAAATTACTACTAAGAATATAGTAGCTGAATATTGTCCACCAAATTCTTTAAAAGTGTATATAGACATTCATGCTTCAAAAATTAAAACGCTTTGTTGCTTCAATTCGACTGAGTTAGACACAAATGAATTTGGCAATAAAATTAAACACAAAAATTGTCATTAACACAGTTGCAAAAACTGCCGAGTCATGTTTCCAGCAAACCAGCAAACAAATCAAAACGAACTCGCGCTTGCAGAAAAATCTTACAATGTACACGCTCTGTGATTAGTCGAACCTTGAAAAAATTCGCAACAAATCACGCAAATATAGTATACAAAGAGTACGAAGTGCTCGTAACACAAATGAGTAAAGAAAAGAGTAATTTGGAGAAGTTTGTTTTTTTAATTATGATTAAAAATTTTAATTTGCCAAGTTGTTATTATGGCATATATATATACATATATAATCGTTGTCGTACAAACATACAAGTACGAGTGTGTAGATAGGTATTTATTTTGCCACCTCTCTTGTTTATTTACCTATTTATTTTGTAACTAACAAAAGAGGCAAAACACATACTACTCGTGTGTCTGTGCAAATATCTATTTATTTTTGGTATTTTGAAATTAGGTTGACTCAAGTCAAAGCAACCACATGGGAACTACAAAATTGGTTTGCCACGAGCTATGAACAGCAGCACTGATAATATGGTCATAAGGAAATGGTTAATACTTTTAACCAATCAGGCTATAGCCTGTGGAAAATGCGTTTTTTTCTGTGCAATTTGGTGACCTTGAAAGGCCATCATATACCATGAGCTGGTGGCATATAAAAGAAAACAAGGCTAATAAAACTTGCCGTAAACTTTTAATATAGTAATTGTTTGCGAGGTACTATATTATAATCTTTATTTAAAATCTGTCCTAGGTTAGACAGTTATTAAATATTATAACTCTGACATTTTTTTATCATGAATCGAAATTAGGATTACGTCAGCGTTATATAAAATCTTCAATATTCAAGCTAAATTATGTTCTTACAACTTTTTGTATATGTCATCAGAAGCACTAGGTTCAGTTAGCTATTGAAACAAGGGACTGTATTAACCTCACATACATGATAACATTAATATCATATTCCAAAATAACAACGCATTTATTTATTTCTTTTATTTTAATTCGATCAATTAAATTTATTTATTTTCATTTTGTTTTTTTTTTTTTTTTTTTTTTTTTTGTAATAAAACTAGTACATAGTTAGATTTGTTCCAATTGTTCTTATTATCATTAATCATTCGTTTATTTTGTTATTAACAATAACACTACCTTTTATTTTTTTTCTCTCTTGCTAGATTTTCTTTGCTATTATTATTTTATTGTATTATATTATTGCTAGTATTATTTTGTGCCCCTTTTTATGATTCTCTAATGAGATGATTTATCTCTTAATTAGCTTAAAAGACGGTTTCTTTTTCCGGGAAAATTCCCATTCCAAAGCGGAAAAAGGAGCTCCAAAGATTGTATGACAAATCTTTATTTTTTAAACATTTTTTTTGTACTTTGAGGATAAATGTTTTTCATGATTTTATTTTTTTTTTTATGTTGCTTTATTTAGGATCTGTCCTAAAAGGACAATTATTAAATTAGTTCATGGCATCTTGCAAGATACAAGATTAAATGGGGCTTCGATCCAGCATCAGCTGTTATCGGGGGGAAACATGGCCTTTATACTTTAAGGATAAATAGAAAACAAATGGCAATATTCGCTCGTCAGTATTCCCTTTCGAGAAGCTATTTGCATCACACATTTTTGATAAATTTCCAAACATTAATCTTAGATCTCTGGAAACAGATTCTAGCAGCTATGAGGGGAAGCTAAGCCCTGTTAAGTAATTAACTTTTTCTATGTACAAGTATATATGGATTTGGCAAGGTATACCATTAGTACGTCTGACTTTTTCGAATGCTGTGCTTTTGTTTTTTCTTTAACCGTTTTTTTTTTTTCGCTTCAACGTTTTTTTGTGAACTTGCTTCTGTGTGTGGTTGTGCGTGTATGCGAGTATGTATGTTCGTTTGAATATACAAACGAGTATTTATATATACGGGTATGTATGTACGGTATATCTGTATGCTTAGGTCTCTGCTGGTTGCAATTATTTACAAAGCCTGCAACAACAACAACAGCGAACGCAACAGAAACACAAACAAATATACACAAACTCAAAACAGGTTTGGCTTTAAAAAAAAAAAAAAAAAAAAACTACAAACCTCCTGAAGAGGTTTATCTTTGGGTATTTTGGAGGCACATTTTGCATTGATACCAGCAGTATGTACATGTTTTTGAAAACAAACAGAACTAGTTTTCGAAACAAATAGAACTGGGGAGCAAAATATTATCAGCACACAATGGGTTAATGCCTGCCATGAGTGTGGCATGCATTTGTGGTCTAAACGCCTAAACGTGACATTTTTATCGCAACAAAAAGTGGCGAAACCTAAAAATTGGAAACAGAGCAGCGCACAAATGACCACAAAATGAATTTATTGAACACCCCATGTTTGTGGGTGTGGGTGTGGGTGTGGGTTGAATGCGCAAATTATGAAACAATTAAAAATGATTAGCAATTTCACTTTTTCTTTTGTCTCTACAAATGTCCAGCCCGTGGGCAGCCACCGGTCGATTTTTGATTTCTGCGCTTCGTTTGTTGTGATGTAATTAGGTTGTTTTTTTTTTGAGTGTATGTGTGTGAGGTATTTTTTTTTTTTGTTTGATGAGCACGCGAAGTGCTACTGGAAAGCAGGTGTATAGTATAGTATCCAAATCACATTTTCAATTGCGCACACGTTCCATGCCATTGGCGATATCTGCTCCACTTTTGATTGCTCGCCACGTGCTGATGTCCCCCTTTCACACTTTGCAGGCTGCCTACATGATTGTCGATGAAATGCACGAAGAGCATCCCGAGTTGCTGCGCGATCAGTACTGGGAGTGTGTGGTGCCCAACGAACTGCCCTACACAGTGGCCTCCGAGAACTATCGGCGGGACGAGCCCAAGGGTTCGGCGGAGAAATACAAAATAAAGAAGGAGGATGCCATGTATGCGAACATTATGGCCACCGGAGGTGGCAAACGTATGCTCAGCGACGATGTCTATGCGGACTATGTGAGTTAACTTCATTGGAAAAAATTGCATTATTTTTGAATACGCGATTCACTTTATAGGAGAGCGTGGACACGCCTATGGTGGAGCGCCGCAAGAACAATTGGCTCGTCCGTCAACTCTCGCGCATGGGCAGCATGCGTAGTCAGTCGACGGCATACTCCTCGGGCGGCCTGCCCTTCAATCGCAATCGCCTCAACTCCGTGTATTCTAGTCCCGAATCAGGCCTGCCCCTCACCATATTGCAACAACAACAGCTGCAACAACAACAACAGCAGGGGGGTCTGCAGCAGGGTCAGGGCAAGCCAAGTCTCTACGAGAAGTTTGTGCATCGCAAGTCCCTGCGCGCCCAGCGCCAACTCATCAAGCAAAGTAAGTATAGACATTAATCTTTAATTCGGTTTAATTCGGATTAAGGATGCTTATCCATAAAATAAGCTTACAGAACTTAACTCGGCTTAACTCGGCATATAAGTTCTTTAATGATGATGATTTAGATTCGAAACAAATCTAAGTTTTAAATAGTTTATAGTTATCTGTAATTCTGTAAAAAGATAAACTTAAGAAATGAGGCCTTAAGCTTGCGGTTGAGAAATAAAGCTTATAGAGCACAGACGAACTTCCAATTACACCTAATTCTGTTTTTACACGGACTTTTTTGCACGAATCTGATTTAACACGGTTTGATTATTAAAAATTTTATATATTAATTATTCCATTATTCCATTTAGCACGATTCATTTTACATATGATCAATGTCTTTTAGGAACTAATCCACCGTGTAAAAACAGAATTAGGTGTACTTTCATTATAGTAGCCTGAAAATTAAGTCAGAAAATAAATAACATAAAAAATAATATTAATATACAATGTTTATTGTACAGAGTTAACCTTAAATTTAAGGCATACAATATTCTAAAAGAATATGCTTTAAGTTTTGATTCAAGTTTTTAATCCAGTTTCAATCTTTGATACTTAAGTGTTAAGTAAATGAAGAAATGTTCTTAGGAACATCTGCTTATCGAACAGACAATTAATAAAAGTTTCATTAATTGGAAAATAAGCGGCATTTCTTTTTAAGTCAGTCAATTACATTCAATAAAGTCTCATACTCTTTAAACAGCTACAATGTCTTAAGTTATATAACTTACTTAAAACATTTTGAAGACTTTTTTGTAAAAAATTTTGTTTATCCTCGGCATTATTTTCTCGTTTAGAGTTCGATAATTAGCTTACAAGCCAGTTAGCAGTCAGGTTGCAAATTTTGAGTAATATTAAAAAAAATAATGTTCAAAATATCATTTAAGGATAATTTATAAGAGTACGTTATAAATTTTAAATTTAAAATGGATGTCTTGATTCAGCTTCTATATAATTTCTAAAGAAGTTCCCACTATTCCTATTCAGGCTCCCAAAATAATATATAAATTTCAATTGAAATATTAACAATTGTATAAAGGAGAGAGAGGGAGAAGCCGTAACTTTAATAATAATAATCTAATAATAGGTAATCAACAATTGATGAAACTGCAAAAATTAGACTTACTTTAAATGTATGTTTTAATTGTTAAAATTATTTCTACAAGTATAAGCTCCATTAGTTTCTTGATCACTATGAGAACATAATCAATGCCACATCTAGCGTTGAACTTTTTTACATTGGACGATTTTAAAATTTAAATAGCACGAAAAGTAGTAAAATTCATAGAATATATTTAGAATATGTTTACAGTAATTAGTGACTCAAAAGTGTTCCAATGCTGTTGACGAAATCTATAAAAAACAAGGATGTTCTCCAATAGATGGAATCGAATGTAAGACATCTGCTAATTTGATGGAATACTACGTTATATATATTCTACTAGATAAATTCCAGGAGCTACAAGAATATACAATATACCTTGAAAAGAACTTCTTTAGAATATGTTTACAGCAATTAATGACTCAAAAGTGTTTCAATGCTGTTGACGAGTTCTAGAACCAACGAAAGGGTGATCTCGAGTTGATGGAATCGTACGTTTGCTTATTAAGCCTTACTTTTTCTTATGCTAAGAAAACCCACATTTAAGAAGATTGATTGAGAAATACTCCACAATAACTGACTGATATCAAAAATCAAATCAAATCTTCACAGATTCCAAGCTCAATGGCTTGAATATGAATGCGGCAAAGACCCGGCCACGCATACCTACACCGGAGGTGACGAAGGAGATTGGCGCCAATACGGGTAAGTAGTAGTTCATTTATTTGCACCACCAAGTACTGCAACCACAAATCGCACCAGTAGCCACCAGTGCTGTCATAATGGCGCCACAACAGCTGAGCACCCAAAGCACACCCGGCATGTATCCCTACACGAGCACCGGCAGCGGCACCAATCTGCACCAGGACAGCGGACAAGTGCTGGGCACCTTGCTGCTGTCGCCGATCAAAGAAATGGATAGTTCATCGTCGAATAACACTCTGATTCCAGGCCATCCGACGACAGCGGCTCTGGCGCAGGCCGTACTCCCAGGAGCCATAAACGATGGATTCGTCAGCGCTGCAAGTAAGTTAAGCCCCATATTTATAATGGGAAGAGTAACTAAAAATCTGCTTTTACCTTCCAGCAATACCAGCAACGACCAATATCACAACCCTCTCCTTTCCATTCACCGTGTCCAACAGTGTGGTGGACACGATACCAACCGGCACACTCAGCATACTCCCCATAACGGCCAATGCTCAGCTGCCGACCATTACCACAACAGCGACCGGCTATGACGCTAACGATGTCCTCACCACCATACCCGTTTCGCTCTCCATACAGCGCTCACCCTCCTCGCTCTCCATTGTCGAGCTGACGGGCAACAACAGCGCCGGCGACGCTCCAGACGGGCACAGCAACAGCGGCTCCAGCAGTGGCAATGGCATCACAACCACTGCCCTGCTCTCCGTCAAGCCGCTGAATGGGAACGCAAATATATCGCGCAACAATAGCTTCAATGTCAGTCTAAACCTGCAGGATGCTGCCTTCCAGCATCGCTCCTCGGTGCGCTCGGCGGGACCGACAGAGACGGTGAACACGTCAGTTCAGCTGCCAAAGAGCAGCAAAGAGGCAGCTGCCACAGGCGCCACAGCAGCCGCCTCCTCGGCACCCTCCACACTCGCAAAACACAAGCCTGAGCCCAAAACCGGTGAGGTCTATGTGTGAGGATGATAATTACAACTAAATAATAAGTATCAGTATCAGTTTAGTAATTAAATTAATTGAATTTAACGCTAAGTATGGCACTGCGCCACCCAGAACCACTCACAAGATATTATTATTTACCTCACAGAGCATACAATTCGCTTCGAGAAGTGCCAACCAGCTGGCAACCAGCATATAGCGAAGAAGTTCAGTTCAGCGGTTCTTCAATTTCAATAGCTTAGCATTTCCATTATATAGTATTGCTCTTAAGCATATTTTAAATATTTAGAAAAGTAAATATATAATGCCGAAGCCTCTGTATACATACATACATATATTTAGCACTTACCTAGTCTACCGAAATGGATAAAAAGAAATGTTCGTTTGTCCATTAAATTGCTATTTAAGTTTTAATCTTACTCTTGAAAACTAACTTCGGACCAGTTCCGACTAGAAAAGATTTATACTTAAGATATGCAGCAAGAGGTTTGACAACTTTTTATCAACAATTTCCAGAAGCTCGATGCAAACTCGGGGCTTTCAAGATTAAAGACCATAAGTTACATGTCTAGAGAGATTTATGTGTAATATATTTTTAAAATAAACTGAATAATGTATATAGAATAGATTGAAGTGTACAATTAGCTGCAAGCCGTCTTCTTATGCTGTATATACGAGTATGTACATAGGTGTGTATTTAAATCTCTAGAATGCTATATGTTACCTTATTTTAATTGCAATTCAAATTGTTGTGGCACTTGCCATATCAATAAAGTAGAGTATACATATATTATACATTCATATATATAGATCTGAATCTCTATCGTATAGGTAGTGTATATATAATCCAACACCATATGTGATATGCGATTTTTATCAATATTTGTAGGCTTACATTTTTAAGTAAATATAATATTCAGTTTACACATCTCTTTAATTATGAAAAAACTATACTATATTTATGCATAAACAAAAGGTCAAATGTAATATACATAATATCAATTTTATGATTCAATAAAGCATTAAAACTAAGAAGCCAATGCGTTCCCATAAATGTAACTACGAGGGTCGAACAATAAGTTCCCGTGTTTGACATTTCCATTTCTGTCATCTCTTCCAGGTTTTTAGTTCAAAGTGTTTCGTTTTTCTGGATACAATTTTTCGATTTCATTGGAGTGTTAAATCGCTTGCTATTGTTATGAGAACATATACATATATCTACTCTATATAACTATCATAATTGTGAGATATAGGTCCATCTGCTTTTGATGGCTAAGTCCGAGAAGGCCGCCTACAGACATGAACAAATAGAACAAATATTTTCCAATTATCTAGTTAGTTACCACAAATTAGGGGCATGTTTACATTTTTAATTTATTTAATAGTTTGTTTTTGATCACACATTGTATGCTAGCTACTTTCTGGTACTTTTGTTTATTAAATTAGACAAAATATATTCGAATTAAATACCTCCAATTAAGGACATGTTTCCATTTGTAATTTATTTAATATTTGGCATAGCTCTTGGGCGATGCATCGTCTTCAAATATCTTGTGAAATATCTTCAGATCATACTTTCCCAAAAATGTCCGACCAATTATAACCAATTATTAATCAAATCAAAAACTACAACTTATTAGCTTTTTCTTGAAGCTAGTACTTTAAGTACTAGTAATAATAAAATCCCCAATTCAATACATATACATAGTTGTATATGTAAATAAAATCGGACTCACATAATTTTAAATGGCCGAAGAACTTATTCTTATCTGTGCCGAAGCTCTAAATGCTTCGCTGATTATTACAACAGCATTCTTCCCTGCTCCCGAGCTACCGTACAGTTTTTCATTAGAAAGTATTTAATACTTATAATTACTTACACTTAATACATGGATGCAATAAGGCGACCATATCTTTAGAAATAAACAAGTTCTTGATACAAAAATTAATTGTAAATTGGCTATTTGATATAGTATGTAGATAGATACATTACCTCTGTCCGTTAAAAAGCAGTATCGGTGCAAAGTTTCAACAGCTTCAGGTGGTTGGAGCAGCACGGACAGATTTGTATGCTGATCATATACTTATATGCTTGTAACTACAACAAATAAACTCGAAAACATTGAAAAAACTCTCTAACACTCCACAATTTCTCCTTCTACTTTAACTACATTTTGAATAGCGATATAACTAGCTAAATGGCATTATGTGTTTGTTTAAAACATATGTTTTCTAAATAAATCAATAACAAACCTAAACTTCGTAATGCCCTAACGACAAATTAAGCTCCTGTATGTATTTGTTGGATCAAAAACTCTTCTGCTTGAGCTATCGATTGAATTGACCGTACCATATATTATTTTAAATACCACATAATTGGAGGTGAAGAATTGCCTAAATTAATGTTAAAGGATTTAATTTAAGTTCATATTTGATCAACTATTTGCATAAATTTCGTAATGCCCTAACGACAAATTAAGTTCCTGTATGTATTTGTTGGATCAAAAACTCTTCTGCTTGAGCTATCGATTGAATTAATGATTGACCGTACCATACATTTTTATACCCTGTACCCGTAGGGTAAAAAGGGTATATTAGGTTTGTGCAAAGTATGTACTATGCAGAAGGAAGCATCTCCGACCCCATAAAGTGTATATATTCTGAACCAGCATGACGAGAGAAATCGATCTAGACATGTACGTTCGTCCGTCTGTCCGTCCGTCTGTCTGGATGAACGCAAGAATCTCGGAAACTATAAAAGCTGGAACAACCAAAGTTGGTATCCAGATTCTCCTAGGTCCGACAAAGGACGAGATTATTTTATTTTTTGGAATTTCTCCCGCTACAGAATTTCGTCAATAGCGTCCACATTTCAAAAGTTACAATAACCAAACTTTGCACATATCATTTATATATTATATATATATATATATATATATATATATATATATATATATATATATATATATATATATATATATATATATATATATATATATATATATATATATTATTATCTACTGTTGTTTAAAATTTTATCCAATTCGGTCAACTCTAAGAAAAGTTATTCGCGAAACAAATTCCCTCCCAAACTGCAGCAACAAGTTCGCTCTTCTTCTTCCTCTTTTTGCTTTTTTTGGGCGCATGTACCGCAGTGTCGGAAGTTTACCTGGGTACAGGATATTTCACTGTCGGGCTTGCTGGACTGTAGCGTTCTCTCTTGTTTTATATACCATATAATTGGAGGACAAGAAGTGCGTAACATAATGTTAAGGTATTGAATTTAAGTTTATTTTTTATCAATTATTTGCATATTCCTATTCACTCGTACCCAATTAGTAGTCGTCAGTAGTCGTTTTCTCAATGCTCTGGCGAGCAAGAGCAAGTTCAATTAAAGCTGGAACGCACCAATATGCTCAACAGATCAAACTATAGAGAAATTTAAATGGGCTTCTATGGCCGAGCAGCCGTCAGTTGCGATCAGTTGGCGATCGAGCGATAACAGTAACGGCAGCGCGAATTTCGGATATTTTGAATAGTGCTACATAGGAGTATAGAGGTCGAGTCGGAGACGCAAGGATAGAGTGTAAGGTGTGGAAAATAATTCAATTGAAGGATATGTGATGGCAGCTCAAATGTTATTTGTGTTGTCCATTAGTGGAGTATGTATATGTGTTCTATATGCTATAAAGCGAAAATCTGTATAATATGTATGTGGTGGATGGCACCTCATTCGTTAACCCCGCGGGTCAAGATAAATATGTGGCGGCTGTCCGAAGGCAATGCGCCTCAGTGTCATCTAATTGAATTAACCTTTTCGAGCAAGCGAGTGTCTACTTCTTATTCTTGTTATTGTTGTTGTTGTTGTTGTTGTAGTTATGCTTTAAAATCTTGCTCGTTTTTTTGGACTGTTTGGCCTATAGATTGACAAGCAAGTATTGAATTAAATTAAACACTTGACAGCTGCAGAATGGAACGCGACGAGGCGTCGACTACCACTACGGATGGCAAATCAATGGAGGAGACACCTATAGCGGCTGGCTTGGAGCCGACACCACCCACCAGCTTCTGGCAGCTTTTCCGATTCTCCACCTACATGGAGCTATTATGGCTCTTCTTCGGCTTCATCATGTGCTGCATTAAGGCTCTCACGCTGCCCGCCATCGTCATCGTTTATAGTGAATTCACGGCCATGCTAGTGGACCGTGCCATGCAAATCGGAACCAGCTCTAAGGTTCATGCTTTACCGCTCTTTGGCGGCGGCAAAATACTGTATGTCCCGACAACTTAGCAACAACAGCCTTGCACCTAACCCATGTCCTTGCAGCACGAATGCCACACGGGAGGAAAACAATGACGCCCTATATGACGATTCCATATCTTATGGCATACTGCTTACAATCGCATCGATAGTCATGTTCATATCGGGCATTTTCTCGGTAGATATTTTCAATTTTGTCGCCCTGCGGCAGGTGACGCGTATGCGAATAAAACTCTTCGAGGCAGTCATGCGTCAGGACATTGGCTGGCATGACTTGGCCACCAAACAGAACTTTGCCCAAAGCATGACGGAGTAAGTCAAAGCTTAAAGCTATTATATTAATCCATTTCAGTATAACTCGTCTTCTATTCATAGTGACATTGAAAAGATACGAGATGGAATATCTGAGAAGGTTGGACATTTTCTTTATCTAATCGTGGGCTTCATCATCACGGTGGCCATTTCCTTTGCCTATGGCTGGAAACTGACACTGGCAGTTAGTGCCTATATACCGCTAGTGATTGTGCTTAACTACTATGTGGCGAAGGTAATAACGATAATGGTTGGGGTTACTCGCCTAGTATCTTAGCTAACACACAACCCTTCTCAGTACCAAGGCAGGCTGACCGCACGCGAACAAGAGTCCTATGCAGGAGCTGGCAATCTGGTCGAAGAGGTTTTCAACTCTATACGGACCGTGGTCTCGTTTGGCGGTGAAAAGCAAGAGGTGGAACGCTTTGAGAACTTCTTAGTGCCAGCCCGAAAGGCGAGTCAGTGGAAGGGCGCCTTCTCCGGCTTCAGCGACGCCGTCCTCAAGTCCATGCTATTCTTTTCCTGCGCTGGCGCCTTCTGGTATGGCGTCAACCTCATTATCGACGATCGCTATGTCGAAGATAAAGAATATACTCCAGCAATTCTTATGATTGTAAGTAGAGTGATTGTAAGTAGAGTGTAGAATTCAATCACTCAATATTTTTATAGGCGTTCTTTGGCATCATTGTGGGTGCGGACAATATAGCTAGGACCTCGCCCTTCCTCGAATCATTCGCGACTGCACGCGGCTGTGCTGCCAATATTTTTAAGGTCATTGATCTACCTTCTAAGATTGATCCTTTGTCCACCGATGGCAAACTGTTGAACTACGGACTGCGCGGTGATATTGAATTCCAGGATGTCTTCTTTCGCTATCCGTCACGACCAGAAGTCATTGTGCATCGTGGCTTAAATATTAAGATTAGAGCGGGCCAAACGGTTGCTTTGGTTGGTTCTTCCGGCTGCGGAAAGTCAACGTGCATGCAATTGCTTCAACGCTTCTATGATCCAGTGTTTGGTTCCGTTCTACTGGACGATCTCGACATACGCAAGTACAACATTCAGTGGCTGCGCTCCAACATTGCCGTCGTTGGCCAAGAACCAGTTCTCTTTTTGGGCACAATAGGTGGGAGTTTCTTCGTCTATTTAAGAATTCAATTCATATGACTTTTATTCGCAGCACAAAATATTAGTTATGGCAAACCCAATGCCTCTCAAAGGGAAATAGAGGCAGCAGCCACTCAGGCCGGTGCCCACGAATTCATCTGTAGCTTGCCGGAAGTAAGTTGCCTCTAATTTCAAGGGGGAAACTGTGTATCCAAAATCCGCTATCTCTTCCAGAGCTATCAAACGATGATTGGTGAGCGTGGCTCTCAACTTTCTGGAGGCCAAAAGCAACGCATTGCTATTGCACGAGCGCTTATACAAAACCCTAAGATATTGTTACTTGACGAGGCCACCTCAGCCTTGGACTACCAATCGGAGAAGCTGGTGCAGCAGGCTCTAGATCTGGCTAGCAAAGGCCGAACTACGGTAGTGGTTTCCCATAGACTATCCGCCATACGCGGCGCGGATAAAATTGTCTTCTTACACGACGGCAAGGTTCTTGAGGAGGGTTCTCACGAGGACCTAATGACTTTGGAAGGTGCCTACTATGATATGGTGCATGCTGGCGATATTAAAATGCCAGAAGAGGTCGAAAAGGAAGAAGATATAGATGAGGCAAAGCGTAAGCTACTCTTACAAATTCAAGTCGTACTCTACTTTATTAATTCGTTATTCTTAGGGAATAGCCTGGCAGTATACGAGAAATCCTTCGAGACCAGTCCATTAAACTTTGAAAAGAATCAAAAGAATAGCGTCCAATTCGATGAGCCCATTATTAAGCCCAGCAAAACCAGTAATGTCCAACAAGGGGAAGTAAAAGAGCAGAAACCCAACTTCTTCATGATCTTTGGACGCATTATGCGACTCGCCCGTCCCGAATGGTGCTATCTTGTTCTTGGTGCTATCAGTGCCATTGCCGTGGGATGTACTTATCCAGCATTTTCGATTATTTTCGGAGAGTTTTATGGGGCACTTGCAGAACAAGACGAAAGGGTGGCACTAAGTCGCACAGCCGTTCTGTCGTGGGCATGTCTGGGAGTGGCATTTCTTACCGGTATAGTCTGTTTCCTGCAAACATATCTCTTCAACTATGCTGGCGTCTGGCTGACGACACGTATGCGAGCTCTGGCATTCAAGTCGATGGTGAGTCAAGAGATTGGCTGGTTTGATGACGAGAAAAACTCCGTAGGTGCACTCTCGGCACGCCTATCTGGTGACGCAGCAGGAGTACAGGGAGCCATTGGATATCCCCTGAGCGGTATGATTCAGGCCTTGTCCAACTTCGTAGCCGGTGTATCGGTTTCCTTCTACTACAATTGGAAGCTGGCCTTGCTCTGTCTGGCCAATTGTCCCATCATTGTAGGCTCCGTCATACTGGAAGCCAAGTAAGGAGCTCTCAGGCAGTCTTCTTTTATTTAACAATCACATTAACCTTGCAGAATGATGTCGAATGCCATGATACGCGAGAAGCAAGTGCTCGAGGAGGCCTCTCGAATTGCGACGGAGTCCATTGCAAATGTGCGCACCATTGCCGGTCTGCGCCGTGAGGCTGAAGTCATTAAGCAGTATAGCGAGGAGGTGTACCGCGTTGAGGGTCTTATACGACAGAAGCTGCGTTGGCGCGGCGTTCTCAACTCCACCATGCAGGCATCCGCATTCTTTGCCTATGCGGTGGCGCTCTGCTATGGTGGTGTCTTAGTCTCAGAAGGACAGGTGCCTTTCCAGGACATTATTAAGTAAGCCATTAGACTCTTTTACTTTCATTTAACACATAACTAAGGCTCGACCTTCCACAGAGTATCTGAGACATTACTCTACGGCTCAATGATGCTGGCTCAATCGTTAGCCTTCACGCCTGCCTTTACCGCAGCCCTTGTGGCTGGTCACCGGCTTTTTAAGATTCTGGATCGTACTCCACGCATTATTTCGCCCATGGGTACTATCAAAAACACGCTGGCCAAGCAACTAAATCTCTTCGAAGGTGTGCGCTATCGCGACATTAAATTCCGCTATCCCACGCGTCCGGACGTTAAAGTACTCAACGAGCTTGATCTGGAGGTCCTGCAAGGCAAAACTGTTGCCCTAGTCGGGCACTCCGGTTGTGGCAAATCGACTTGCGTGCAGCTGTTGCAGCGCTATTACGATCCTGATGAGGGAACTATTGTAAGTGTTGGCGATACCAGCACCTCCTGACTAACTAACTTACTTAATTTGTCTCTCTCTCTCTCTCTCTCTCTCTCTCTCTCTCTCTCTCTCTCTCTCTCTCTCTCTCTCTCTCTCTCTTATGTAATGACCAGCACATTGATCATGATGATATACAACAAGACTTAACCTTGGATGGAGTGCGCAGCCGACTTGGCCTTGTGGCCCAGGAACCCTCACTCTTTGAGCGCACCATCGCTGAGAACATTGCCTATGGAGACAACCATCGCACTGTGCCCATGACTGAGATTATTGCCGCCGCCAAAAGCGCCAATGCACACTCGTTCATCATGGGACTGCCAAATGGTTATGAGACTAAGATGGGTGCTCGTGGCACACAATTATCGGGCGGCCAGAAACAACGCATTGCCATCGCACGTGCTCTCGTTCGCAATCCAAAGATCTTGCTGCTGGATGAAGCCACCTCGGCATTGGATTTGCAGAGCGAACAGTTGGTGCAGCAGGCTTTGGACTCGGCCTGCTCGGGACGTACTTGCATTGTCATTGCACATCGTTTGTCGACCGTGCAGAATGCCGATGTTATTTGCGTCATTCAAGATGGTCGGGTAGCGGAGCAGGGCACCCATTTACAATTGATTTCCAAAGGTGGCATCTACGCCAAGCTCCACAAAACGCAAAGAGATCATTGAGGGTGGACCCCAATTCGCCAAATTCTGCACTCACACAATGGGTTTTATTTTTTCAGTTCATTTAAGTTTATTCAGATTTTTCAAAACAGCTTCAATTACAACTCTTTTGTTAAACGGTTTTCTGTGCTCTTAGTTGAAAATCATGGAACCAATAAGTTAAAATACAGAAATACTCTCTGGCTCTGTTTCCCGTTCCACACGTGTTTGTTTTTCATTCTTGTACAATTTTCAATAAAGCGCTACATACAATTTCTGCTGATTTTATAGACATCGAGTTTTTATGGTCTTCGTGAGAGATAAAATATTTGATTACGATTTAGGTGTTAGATATTTCAGTCTACATCCGAATATCTAATCTAAGATTGCTCTCTAATATCGCTAGCACCAGTGTCGATGGCGTTATTATCTAGAATAAAATTGTTTGCTCACTTAATGATGGGTCTTAAAAATGTATGACTTGCTCTTTCCCTTGAGAGAAATTCGATTGAGTGATGAAGATTGAAAGACGTTTCACAGAAGAATGGCAGAACGATACATACATATGTTTGGCCAGAGAGCTACTATCTTATACAACTACATAGAGCTTATTACCATATTATACTGTACTTCCTTCATCACCTAGGAATTCTTGGCAAATTGCGTAAATTTACTCAGCTGACCTCTTGCGGATAGTATATACTATGCATACCAATAACTATGTTCGTTTCCCCACCTTCTACAAAGTCAAGCTGCAGTCTTTGCTTGCAGACAGACAGCTATACATTAGTTTTCCGCCGAGTCACGTTTAGAACCTTGAGAAAATCAATTCAATTGATATTAATAAATTTGAAAATGGCACAAGAGAGTGTGCAAAACTATCCAGAAACAAACCCCATAAAATTTCAACAAACCTCAATGGATGTGCGCTCTCTTTATGGCAATAGAAATGATAAAATGCGGCGACAAGTGCCCCAGACACCACAGTTGATCGTCACATTTCAGAGTGGGAACACACGCCAGAAAAGTCTTAGCACCGCGATCCGCTCTCAATTGCACAAACAAAACTAAAATCCCAATACATAATGCAAAATAATTAGTGGGGAACACAAATTATTGAAACTTTAAAGCGCAGTTCTTCGACGAAGCCAGTTGATAGTTGAAAATTTGTATTAACAGCTGAGATTTTGATGCGCGATCTTCGAACGCTCGACAATTGTTAATTAACCCCGTGGGTCAATGTGTGTGCATGTGTTCGAAAGTTGCGGTTAAACTGAATAACTGAACTATAAAAGTCAAGTGCAAGTTCCATATAATGACAGCAAACAGCGATGTGGATGATGATGGATCGAGGGAAACAAAGGATCTTAAGAAACAAAAGCCAGCGCATCGCTCGGTTAGTTATCTCGAGCTCTATCGATATGCCAGCTGGACCGATTATCTGCTCGTGTTGTGCGCCTTTATAGCGGCTTTATTGCGCTCCCTTGTCTTTCCCATTGCCATCGTGCTATACAGCGAACTGGTGGCCATGTTTATTGACAGGACACTGGGTGTAGGCACCAGCTCAACCACCATAGCTTTGCCAATATTTGGCGGCGGAACAATTCTGTAAGTTTGTGGAAGTCTACGTAGGTTGCCTTTTATATCTCGGGAATGATAAAATCTAGGATAGCCAGATCAAATTTTACATTTGCATCGTAAAGCCTAAGCCTCTTACTATAAGCGTAAAACAAACTCAGAACGTGTTCGTATTACGCACCTTTTGTTTTCCTACAAGTCACTTAAATAGATTACCTCGCCAAATAGAAAAAAAAGCATTTGACGTAATTTATTTAAACTAGAGTACGTGAATGAACAAACTTTGACTTAAGATAATGAAGCTAGGAAACGCTGGTACAGTGAATTCTGCCGTGTCCACGGCTCCTTCGCTCCTGGCGAGGTTCGTCCAGTTCGAGTCTCATCCAAGAACGGTTGATGTGCCAGAAACATTCGATGCTGTGCATAGGTTACTAATGCAGGATAACGTGAGGTAGAACCATCCTTGGGCACTTCCAGCACTTAGCATATATCCTATACATGACTACATGACAATATGCCCATCAAGAGGATATGTTTGTTCACAAAAACTGTTTATAGGGTGATTGCTTCTCGACTATGCCAGCCCTCAATCATCCTTTCCAACATCCCATTTAAAAATGTAATTTTCCTTACAGCCCCGATTTGAAACACAATGACTTCTTTTTATATCAATATAAAGAGCTTCAAAATTTGTTTCAATCTAATGTGCTGATCTAGATAGTATTTAGAAAGACAATATAACCGTTTTTGATCAAATATCTTTGTTTTTGCTCTCTATTCTCGCAATATAAAAGGCAGCCCTCGTAGCGTCAGAGATATAGGCTGATATTTTTGATCAATCGCAGCACTAATGCCACCTATGAGGATAATATGGCAGAGCTACGCAAGGACTCCATTTCATTTGGCATTCTTATGACTATGGATTCATTACTTATGTTGCTATCTGGTATCGCCTATGTAGACATTTTTAACCATTTAGCTCTGAATTTGACGGTGCGCATGCGCCGTGAGTTCTTTAAGGCCACACTGAGGCAAGAAATAGGATGGCATGACATTGCGAAGGATCAAAATTTTTCCGTTCGCATAACAGAGTAAGTTGTGGATAATTATATATTTGGCTACACTATATCAGTCTTCTTCATTTCCTAGTAACATGGAGAAGATTCGTAATGGAATTTCCGAGAATGTGGGACACTTTGTGGAGATTGTGTGCGATGTAACGATAAGCATACTCATATCCTTTATTTTCGGATGGAAGCTGGCACTGGCGGTGTGTGCTTACATTCCCATTACTATGATAGTTAACTCGGTGGTAGCACATGTAAGTAAAATCAGAAAAGCAGAATTTTGATGACTAATAGAATAAGCACCTACTCCTTTACCTTAGTACCAGAGCAAGTTAACCGCCAGGGAACAGAGTTCCTATGTACGTGCCAGTTCCGTTGTGGAAGAAGTCATCGGAGCCATACGCACTGTGGTCGCTTTTGGCGGAGAACGCTCGGAGTCCACACGCTACGATAATCTGTTGCGACCGGCACTTAAGGCTGGCAAATGGAGGGGTGTCGTGTCGGGCTTAAACGACACAGTTTTGAAGGCCATGATGTTCATTTGTGGAGCGGGTGCCTTTTGGTATGGCGCCAATTTGATTCTATACGATCGAGACTCCGCGGTGGAGGATCGAGACTACACACCTGCCGTCGTAATGATTGTCATAGCGGGCATCATTGTGAGTGCTCAGCATATCTCCCGTACTTCTCCCTTTCTGGAGTCGTTCGCCATGGCACGTGGCTCGGCTGTAGCCATATATGATGTAATCGATCGAACGCCACTGATTGATCCGCTCTCAAAATCGGGCAAAATACTTAACAATGGCCTTAAAGGTCGCATCGAGTTTCGTGATGTGTTCTTTCGTTATCCAGCACGCGAAGATGTTATCGTGCTGCGTGGCCTGAATCTTGTCGTCGAGCCGGGCCAGACTGTCGCGCTGGTCGGAGCCTCAGGTTGTGGGAAATCAACGTGCGTACAACTACTGCAACGCTTCTATGATCCGGTATTCGGTCAGGTCCTCTTAGACGACGAAGATGTGCGCAAATACAACATTGGCTGGATGCGCTCCAACATTGCCGTAGTGGGTCAGGAACCAGTGCTATTTCAGGGAACTATTGGTAAGTGAAAGGTTATACTCTGTACATGAAATGTAGAAAAATATATTAGCTTTGCCGAAAGTGAAAACAGGCTGAAGGCGTCCCAGACTCCACAAAGAATATACATTCTTCATCAGCATGACAAGACGAGTCGATCTAGCCCTGTCTGTCTGTCTGTCTGTCCGTATGAAAAACTGGATCTCAGAGACTATAAGAGCTAGACTATAAGAGCTGTTTTGCACAAAGATGTCTCATGTGTGTACGCTGTACGAGTTTGTTCTATTTTTTATGGCCCCTGGAATCCACCTTTATCTCAGAGACTATACGACCTAGGGACACTTAGTTAAAGACAAAGTCCCGACTTTAGCTTTTCCGCCTATTTTTAAATTAATTAGAGTCATCTAAATTTAATGTGGAAATTAAATAAATATATTTGCAATTCTTATAGTATACCAAGTACCTAAATGATGGAATTTACAAACTTTTTTTAATTAATTGGAGTCATTCAATTTTACTAAAATAATTCTAGGAATTAAATAAATATATTTGTGAAAAATTGCAGCCCTCCTCCACGATTCTCATACCAAGTACCTAAGTGATGGCATTTTTAACTTTTATTTTGGTTTTTTTTTTGATTAATTTGTTAGTGAAATAACTGTGGAAGTTAAATAAATAAATTTGTGAGAACGCCCGCCCTGCTCCGCGATTCTCATACCCAGTACCTAAGAAATGGCAACTTTGAAATTATTTTTTTGAAATTAATTAGTTAGTGAAATATTTGGGAAAATTAAAGAAATATATTTGTGAAAACAGCCGCCCTCCTCCGCGATTTTCATAATTGATGGCATTTCTAACTTATATCATAGTTATTTTTTAATTAAATAAGTGATGGCTTTTCTAACATTTTTTTTTTTGGGATTAGAATATTGTCTTGAAATTTGGCAAGCACGTTGAGTTAGTGGTTATGTGTCCGTTTGTCTAGTTTCATCATGATAGGCCGGAAGTTACGTAAATGTGATAACCGCCCGCAGCTGCTGGTGTCGCTGCAATTCTTCCAATTCTTCAACTCAAACAATTCTTCCGTGAGTTTGTGTACACAAGGCGTTACTTTTTTTTAATTTTTAAAAATTTTATTATTATTCTACACATATGTACAGAGTATTGCACCCGACTTTAGAATTTCCACTTGTTTTTTACCTGCAGGAGAGAACATAAGGCACGGCAAACCAGATGCTACGCAGAAAGAGGTTGAAGATGCGGCCAAGGCAGCGAATGCTCATGACTTTATCATTGCATTCCATAAGGTAAAAGGAATTTCGGTCACCTCTTGCTCTATTAATCGTGCCTCTATTTCAGGGCTATGACACGCACATCAGTGAAAAGGGTGTCCAACTATCCGGTGGCCAGCGACAACGTATTGCCATAGCACGTGCTTTGATACAACAGCCCAAGATTTTGCTGCTGGACGAAGCCACATCTGCATTGGACTATCATGCCGAGAAACTAGTGCAGGAAGCCTTAGACAGAGCTTGCAAGGGACGCACCACACTTGTGGTGTCACATCGTCTCTCAGCGATTAGACAAGCCCATCGAATCGTCTACATAGAGGATGGCAAGGCCTTGGAGCACGGCACCCATACGGAGCTCATGAAATTGGAGGGCAGCTACCATAAGATGATCACATTTCATGATTATGAGGACACGCCGAATGAAGTGCTTAGCGAATTAGATGAGGCAGTCGTATTAAAAGATCGCAAGGCCTCACACGATATGGAGCAGCATACGTTCAACGCATTAAAGTCGATTGACAAAAACGCCGAATTCCAGATGCAGCGCCTTAACGGGATGACCAAAAACGAAGAATTACAGGAAGCCAAGCAGGCAAAGAAGGAGAGTAGTAGCTATGTACGGATCTTCTTTCGCATAGTCAGTTGGGCGCGACCTGAGTGGAGTTTCCTGGTTATAGGCGCCATTTGCGCTGGCCTTTACGGCTGCACCCAACCAGCCTTCTCCATTGTTCTGGCCGAACTTTATGGCTCGCTGGCTGAGCCTACCGATGAGCGGGTCCTAGATCGTAGCTCGGCCATGTCTATTGTAAGCGTTGTTATTGGCATTTGTGCGGGTACTGTTTGCTTTATACAGACGTACTTCTTTAACCTAACTGGGGTTTGGCTGACGACGCGCATGCGGTGAGTGTTTCCAAATACTTATGTTTCGATTTACTTTATTTATAAGTACTAAGTATAGATGGAAGCTTTCAGCAGGGTTTATTTGATTTTGATCTTGAAATAAGTTTGCCATTTGTGCAGAGAGATAATACACTCATAAAAAAACACACGTATATTTATAATTTATTTACGTTTCTTTATACCTGGATTTAAACATTTTTATCATCAATTTTTCACCACAGTGTGTTTTAAATATAAAGTAAGCAGAGTTCAATTTTGAGTTAAAATGGATTTAATTTTCGCCAAAGGTTTCTTTTTTGTGATAATAAAATATTTGTCCCCTTTTCTGTGTCTACTTTTCAAACAACAGTATATATTAATTCATTTTAATAATTATTTATTTTTTAAATGCATATTACTTGTACAACATTTTAAATATAAAGTAATTTGCGAACTTTTCTTAAAGTTTAGATCAATACTTAAATTAAATTGAGGAATAGCTGATTGAATACACTTGTATTGTATTCGATTCAGTGTTTGAGTATATTTTACCTTTGAAATTATTCGAATTAACTTTTAAAAGTATTAAAATGAAATATATTTCCATTCTATTTAAATCAACTATAAAAAACTTCAAATAAAAGTTAAGAAAAATATTCCAATTTGTATGAAATACAATAAATTTAACTATTTGTTATTTGATGAATACACTTGTATTATATTGGATTCAATGTTTGTGTATATTTTACATTTGAATTTATGCGAATTATCTTTTAAAAATATCAAAATGTAGTATATTTCTATTCTATTTAAATAAACTATAAAAAACTTCAAACAAAAGTTAAGAAAAATATTCCAATTTGTATGAAATGGAATAAACTTAACTATTTGTTATTTGAAGTGGGCGCATATTAAAATTAAATATGGTTCAACATTAAATTGAGCATGGCACACTTGAATGATGAAGATTTCACTTTGTTTCAAATACTTTTTTTATTTAAATCAATTAATTTAAAATACGTTGTTTTTGATTTATTATTTTAGATAATAGTTGTATAATGCATTGAACCATTAGACATGTTTCGTATAATGGACCGTCAAGTCCTAGCAGTTGACCGTTCTATTTCATTTTTCTTATTCGTATTACATGTGTTATTACTTTTCCAGCTCTACGACATTCGATTCCATTATGCAACAGGAGATTGCCTGGTTTGACGAGAAGGAGAACAGCGTTGGCGCACTGTCGGCTCGTTTAGCTGGAGATGCAGCCAGCGTGCAAAATGCCATCGGATTCCCACTAAGTAACATCATACAGGCCTTTACCAACTTTATATGCAGCTTGACCATAGCCTTCTATTATTCGTGGGAGCTGGCTCTCATTTGTATGAGCACGGCCCCCTTTATGGTGGCGTCGATTGTGTTTGAGGCCAAGTTTGGTGAGAAGTCCACCTTGAAGGAGAAACAATTGCTGGAAGAGACGAGCCGCATAGCTACAGAGACGATCGCACAAATACGCACAGTAGCGGCATTACGTCGGGAAGAGGAGCTAATAAAAGCCTATGACGCTGAAGTAGAACGCTATTATCTGCAAATCAAAAGTCGCCTAAGATATCGCGGTCTCGTTAACTCTTTGGGCATGGCCATCATGTTCTTTGGCTATGCCGTAACACTAACTTATGGCGGTTATATGTGCGCCGAAGGTAAAATTAAGTTCGAGGACATTATGAAGTAAGTGGGGAATTCGTTCGTCTCACAAATCTTAAACTAAGCACACCTTCGGCTTTACAGAATCGCCAACACCATGCTCTATGGCCTTTTTATTTTAGCTCAATCATTAGCTTTCACGCCGGCTTTCAATGCGGCCCTTCTTTCCGCGACACGAATGTATGAGATTATTGATCGAAAGCCACTCATACAATCTCCAATGGGAGTGGGGCTGCCACACAACGGAAACGTAGCGCACTACAAATCCAATGTGGCGGAACAAGGTGTCAGCTATCGGAATATTAACTTTAGCTATCCCTCCCGACCCGATCACAAGGTGCTGAGCGACTTCAATCTGGACGTACTGCAGGGTAAAACAGTGGCCCTGGTGGGACCATCGGGCTCTGGCAAATCCACATGCGTGCAGTTACTCCAACGCTACTATGATCCCGATGAAGGCTCAATTGTAAGACTTCTCACAATTAAATAAGTAATTTAAGAGCAACATTTAAATAATCATTACAGCTAATCGACCAGGAGAGCATACACCATGATATGGAACTGAAAACTCTACGACGTCGTCTGGGCATTGTTTCGCAGGAACCATCGCTGTTCGAGAAAACCATTGCCGAGAACATTGGCTATGGAGATACCGCACGTGCTGTTCCCATGCAACAAATCATTGATGCGGCTAAGATGGCCAATGCCCACGATTTTATTATGACACTGCCAGCCCAATACGACACTGTGCTGGGCTCCAAGGGCACTCAGCTGTCCGGTGGCCAGAAACAGCGCATTGCCATAGCACGCGCTCTGGTCCGCAATCCCAAAGTCTTGCTACTAGATGAGGCCACCTCTGCACTAGATTTTCAGAGCGAAAGGGTAATTGAATTTCATTTCGATTCAGATGGCATTGAATGGTAGACACCCGCTGTTTTCAATTTCAGGTGGTGCAGAGCGCCCTAGACGAAGCCTGCTCTGGTCGCACCTCTCTGGTTATCGCTCATCGCTTGACCACAGTGCAGAGAGCCGATGTTATCTGTGTAATGCACTGTGGAAATATTATTGAGCACGGCACGCATGCGCAGCTCTTGGCCAAAAACGGCATCTATGCCAAGCTGTATCGTAGCCAAACGAAAACGTTATAAACATAGGATAGGGCTATTAAGCACATTCAATAGTTTGTTGTTCTTGAAATAATGGATTATACTATACAGCATGAGGCCACATTTTGTTAACATTGGAAGCTTTGAATTTTTAATGTACAAATTAGTTCAATAAATATACATCTCTCAGAAATATATGACCGCATTGGAATTCAGTTATTAGAATGTGCAGCCAATCAATCATTAGTTCATTCCTCTTTTTCTGACAGTCGTTTTATTGTCAATTATACAACTTTAATTTAACTGTAAGAATAAGCAAAATGGGTGACAACCAACTTTAATCAAGTTTTTATAAAGCAGAACAGATTGACGATAATAATGCTAATCCAATTGTCCTTCCGTACCTCTATGTGATTTAATTACTAATCTACTCACAGCTAAAAGCTATTGCATGCAAATAGTATACCTGTCCATCAAATCGGACCACTTTATCATCATATTAACGATGTTCATTTTAAAAGCATTTCTAAGAAGAAAGATGCCGACCAGGCTGACTTGAATTGAAATATATATATTTATTGTGATCTATAATTATCGCGAAACACTAGCTTACATTTTTAAACTCATTCCAATTGTAAAATAATTATAATTTTCTTGGCTTGTGACCGTGGATAGAAATAAAAATTTATGAATATTGCATTCTAAAACGAGGGAGATCACTCATGTTGTATTTCTTAAAAGTATTTAAATCATTTAGTTCCAGATTTATACAGATAGGCACTACCACCACTAGCTGCGAAATTTCCTTCCTGCATCTTTCTTTCTGTCCATTAAAATTTGACATTCTCTTTCGCATGAAAACATTATTATTTTGTTTTGTTCTTTTAAAGTTCCTTAGGACAGTTCCATTTTTATATAACTTGTTTGAATAAATATATATTTTTAGTTCGAAAAGAGTATTATCGCTACAGCTCTACTAATATGTACTATTAAAATAAAAGATAAATATATTGCTTGATCATGGAGAAGACAGCCAAGTCTATTATCTGTGACTGAATGTACAAACTTTTGAAAGTATTGCTATTTATAAAATATGACAATGAATCACAGTTATCTCTGATATCACTGCTTCGGGTCAGTAATTAACTTTTGTTTGCTAATTTCTACACACAGAATAGGTGTTTTTTTCTAATCTAATCGACAATTTTGGCAGAAAACATAACAAAGAACAAACAAATTTGTTCAATTTTATTTCATTTAATCACAAAAAAGTGGCCCATAAATTTGTTTCTATTATCAGTTAACAGAGTTCAGAAAATAAAACCTTATCTACCTAATTAGATATAAAGTATGTTTTTAGATGTAATGAGTGAACGGATAGTTTATAAAATGTAATAAAATTTTCATTTGGAATTCACACTGTTACGAGCATATTTCTGGTTGCACTTTACACAACTTTTTTTTGTTTTTAATAATACTGTTATATTTATAACTTACATTAAACTTCTAGTTAAATACAAATACAACTTAAACTAGGTGTTTAGTCTTAATTACAATTTAACATTTATAATTAACACAAATCTGTCTTTCTCACTATTCTTCTCGCTTTCCTTCACCGTCCCAGCAGGCGCCCTTTATCCAAAGAATAAAATAATGTTTCAGAGGAATTGTCCCCCTGAAGTAGGCAATGGAAATGTTCACTGTTGCGACATTAAGTCGCCGCCGCAAGTTATGCAACGCTTTGTTCGAGTTCATTATGAACTGTAACTGACCGTCCCCTTGGACTATTATCTAATACATATCAGTTGTATCGGGGGATTTATAATGCGGCAATTAATTTTTATCTTATCACCACACATTAAAGCTTTTGATAAATACCTATTCTTTGAAAGCAATTCAGTTGGATTGTGTTCTGCATAGCACTTGGTTCGGATATTTTTTGTATTCCTTAAGCCATGTACATCAAATTAATATTATTCTTCAGCTGCCTTTGTTTAGTGTTGTGTGAGTGATTTATTTAATTGACTGGGAAAGGGAATCTTATCGAATGTCTAATTAAACTATTAAATAGACTACACCATCGCTTCCAAGTCATGTCCACTGCAGGAACAGTGTCGCAATGCGACCGCCACGAGTGCCGTTTGTGTGTTTGAGGAGAAGGAGGGCTGCATACGTAAATTCGTATCAAAATGCCATATGGAGATAGCAGCTTGTCGGGAGCACAAAGGTAAATATTGCTGGTAGGGAAATATATTTATAGTGCGATTAAAGCGAACGTGTTGCAGATTATAGTGACTCCAGTGACGTATATTGCGAAATGGAGACATACTTATGCGAGGAGGGGTACGAGCGCTGGACCATCTTTTTTGGCAACGAAAAAGCTTTACAGTAGATTTAAGCTACATGAATAAACGTATTGTATGCATGTTTGAGTGTATTAATTAAAATTTCTAATAAGTATGTGGCTGTCACCAACGACTAACTAAAGACAAACTAATGACACCAACAGCCCCAACCCAAGACCGGTTCCAACCAGACACGATCGCACGCACCTAAAAATCACGTGCGACGAGACACAGCGACGCGACGCCTCGAGCCTTTGTTGGCTTTTGAAATTTGCGTTTGCTTCTTTCACGCGATTTATTTTTGGCATTGCTCTTTTGCATACTCTTGGCTCTACACGGGTCCCATTGGCTTTGGTTAGCGCCAATCAGAAGGGGCCCAACAGAAGCACACATTTATATATAAGATGTGGATTCGTCCACACTCTCGGTGTCAGTGTTAATCACTCGTCGCAGACGTATCGATTTCAAAGCTATGAGTGTAACGCAAACGATAATGCTGACCATATGTCTGGGACTCATTTGCGGTGAGTATAGCTTTACATTAGAGACCCCCTCTTTTTAACCAACCATCACTATTGTAGCGCTACATGTACATGCGGGCTTGGCAGTAAGTCAAGAACACCTCGAGGAACTGTACAAGAATACGCCGGCTGTGCCGGATGAGCGTCTGGCCGATGCGGAACTGGATAATGCATATGACATCTATAAGTGGAATGCCACAATACACTGGCCAACGGTTGGGAAGACAAACAGCCGAGATGTAAATCAGAATCACATCGATTAGACCAAACGCCCAACACAATATGACGAACATCGGAAACCTGTCAAACTCTTCGAGCAATCATTACAATGAATCAGTATACGGTTATGGCTATGTAGTTCTAAGCATGCTTAATACAATTAATAACACAAAAGTAAATCAACAAAAAAATGTAGTCTAAATAAATTTTGGTAGAACGTGAGCTAACCGTGTTGCACTACATTTCGGCAAAATATCACGTAGATCGTCTGCAGTCTTCCGTTTTAATCAATTGCATATAAGAGTCATCAAGAAAGTGTCTCAAGATTCAGTTTAAATTGGTCAACCATTGTGCGAGCGCGTATTCAAAATGTTTCAACCCAAAGGACTGGCCTTCTATTTTACATGTCTACTGCTTTGTCTAACTAGTAAGTTATACGAATAGCTATCAAAACTTTCAAAATTATAATTATGTATATTTCAAGCGTTCAACTGCCTGTGCCAAGCTCTGCCCCTCGACGAGCTGAGTAGGGAGGATGACCGCTTCAACGAGATAAGCAGTGAGCTGGATCGCAGGATTATTCCAGAGGTGGATCGAATCTTCAGCAGCGCGGAAGAGCCGACGGCCACGTCTGAGAACCCTAACAATGCACTTCAAAAAAGCGAAGGACCGACCAGTGAAGCTTCCAAGCATGCACATTCTATGCTCGCCTCCATGATGTCCTTTGTGAGCAGCGCATTGCACTTTGGCAGGAGGCTTGTAAGATAATGCACTTATTTTTAGATAAAGTGTAAACATCTCGTTAAAGCAATCAAGTTGTTTGTTAACCTTGATTACCTATATTTAAAAAAGAAAACAAAAACTCTTCTCCGACGTAATAAACACATGTTAATTGGTTTTTCGGGCAATCTGAGATAATTTCCGCAATCTTTTTACATGCATCGGTCGATTCTCATTACAATTTTTGGTGTGATAATGGCTGTCGAACGAGTATGCGTGCCCTAGTTAGACTGAACAATCTAATCTTATTTCCCCAGAACACTAAACAATTCGGCTTATTGTGATTTTCTTCACCTTATTTAAACAGAAATCTAAAAACCCTACAGAAGATCAACATTCAGATCAATCAGCACTATATATATATATACTATAAGAATATAAAAATTGATCTAATCGACAGTGTGATAAATTATTTAATTATCTAGCTCGCCTAAGTAGTCATCATAGACTTAACAGCATTAAAAACTTTTAAACTACAATCCAACAAAAAAGAGATTTTGAGAATATCGAAACGGATCACATTTTATTAAACCTTTAAGATCTAAGATGGTAAATTATAATTTTAAATAATTTAAAATTTAAGTACAAAAGTACAAAATGATATAGATTGTCAAGATCCTGCGGAAATAGTGGTTAATATAATTTATTTATTTACATTAATACTTATTTACAAAATAATTTGTAGCTGGACCAACTTTTTCCAAGTTTTTAGCAGTCTAATTTATGTTATAGTGTATACAGAGGCTCTACATTATCGAATATACAAGTACTTGTATATCGGCTTTATCGCATCATCACAATTTTTCTATCACTATAAGAATATAGTTTTGTGGGTCAAAAGCATCGTAAAGAGACTATTCAATCACTTGTATTTAATAGAAACTTTTATTTATTTAATATATTTAAAAATTAATATCTTCTGGATATAATTTGAAAAACCTCCTCAATCCCTAGCACATGTTGGACTTTTACATGAAGGCTTTATTTTCATGTGTACTTTTTCCTGAATAATGGAATTGAAAGTTGAAAAAGTCTGTTCAAAACCCTGTAACCAATAGTGTTTTTTACAAGCAACTAAAGCATTTTTTCATAATTTACTAATTTGTTCTACTTTCGTCAGAAAGCAAAAAATTATGACGTTGTACTGCCCCATCTTTAAAATAATATTTTTATTTATATACATATAATTACATATATGTAATACATTTGTACCATATTCCATAAATGTACGATTCGTTAACTGCTAACTTTATAAAAGATTTTCAAAACAACAACAACAATAATTATAAAATCAGTATTTAAAAGATTTGCGAGGCTCATAACTATTCTGGTATTTGGGAATCGGACATCTAAGTTAATCGAAACCTTATTAAATACTAAAATCTTAGCTTATAAAAAATAATTGTTAATTATATATAATTAACAATCGTGGCCTAAAAACTGCAGTCGCCACTCTTCACATTAAATCATTAATAAATTTGCTTTTTAATACAAATTTGATTTATTTATTTGATAACACACATGTACAATATTTTTACTACAATTGATTTCATTTAACTTCATTGACGCACATACAGACTTCATTGATTGTCTGAAAATATTGAGAAAAAGTGTGTTATTTTTAAACTAACGGGCATGCAAATGCGATAAAAGAAATGTGACGTGCCTTCTTAATTAAAATTTTTCCACAACTTAAATATTCACAAAATCATGCTGCTGATGACACCTTTACACGAGTATATACTCGTACGTCGATGTTGATATATATATGTATATATACAATGCCGTAGGCAAACAATATGACGTCTTCATTCCCACTTCGGACGGTCCAGCTAAAAGGGGATTTTTATCACAGCTTATGCCTTGTTTTTGCTTCGTTTTGTTTATATCGCTAAGCCGATTATAATTGGTGACATAGTATTGATGCTCAGATGACGACGTCAAAACTCTGACGACGCTTAGCTCAACCGAAAGCTAAACGCTCTCAGTTCGTGTGTAGATTTCATTCAGTGCGTACGAGAATTTTGGAGATGGCTTTTAATTGTTCAATATTTGCTTTAAAATTATGGCAAGTTGGCACTTGGAGTGCGACAACACTTGCTAGACAAATTCCTTAACGCCACATTCACGGCCTACAACTTGTGTTACGCGAAAACTATAAATAGTAGAAGGGTTTTCCATGGAAACGGGAATCCACAAATTAATTCTTTCACAAACAATTGAATGACAAACTTCAAGATTGGCAGCGCCCAGCGAAGCTGCAAGTGAAATCGTGAATGGTTGTCAAGCGAACAAACGACCGTGGAATGGATGCATTGCCCAATTCAGATTCAACTTGAATTCGTTTCGCGTTAGCTTGCATTCAAACTTCATTCTACGAGCCAGTCAGTCCGCATCGGCCGATTGCACAAGCACGGACTTGGCCCAAAGCGTACATTGTGCGCCATTGAGACGCCACGACTGGCAGACTGTTAAAAATAAGTGCAACTTTTCGAGCTCATATATCAAGGTTGAATATTGCAGTTTCGTCTTCCAATTCAACAAAAAATATGCTCTTATACTCCCATTCAAAAGTAAACTCATTTTGGGAAATGTTTTTATAGAAAACTCTTTATTGGTTCACAATCAAAAGACTTAGGCGACGAACGCGCTAAAAATTGAATACAAATTATTTAAAGGCTAACCATTGAAAATCTGTTAATGAATGTGTGAGAGTAGAAACGAGTGTGTGCTTGTTACTTTTCTAATAAGTCTCAATTAACTGATTCTTAAACATTTTATTCAGCGAACTCATATTCTGCGACATCTCATTGCAGACGCGCACAACGCAGCCTTCGAAGGATCATGAAAGTAAAAAAAAAGATACCAATAAATGTCTTTCAAAGATATATCAATAGTTTTATGCGAAAAAAACTAAGATTAATATATAAAGCAATGAAGACAATAACTATAAACACCACATTAAAAGAGATTCTAAACTAAAGTACAGCTAATCAGATGAAACAAACTTTGTAATACCGGTCTAAAATTCCAAATTATATTACGATATCAAAACAAACAGAAAATTTCGTACACCTATAACTGCTTTGTGATATAGTAAGCCAATTTGGAAACATCAAATTATCATAAAATGCCACATTTTCTTAAGATATGTTTATAAACAAATAATGTCCCATGGGTATACAATGATCGGTCTTATATAAAATTGGAATGTAATATATCCTATAGTTAGTAATAAACTTGATCTGCGTGTGGATAGGACAAGTCTACATAAAAAGTTTGATGTTCATAGCTGTTTTGATTAAAAATTTATCGGTGCTCATGCGGACGGACATGTCTATATATAGTATATATATATATATATATATATATATATATATATATATATCAATTAGTCTCCTCATGCTGATCATACATTTATGTACGAATATGTATGGGTTCTGATACGCCTCCTGATTTATAAATTACTGGTTATCATTATTCATTAAAGTGCGTTCCAAATTATAGTTCTTTAAAATTATTTATAGAAATTCCTGAAAATGTTATTAAATGAAATATTAGTGTACAAATATTGCAATTCAATAAGAATAAGGAACGAATAATGACAAATATGATCAGTAATCGTGGCTTTAAAATAACTTTCTATTCAGAGGGATTTTACTGAGCCACGAAATTGCTTTGACAGCAAGAGCCTTATTATGTATTTTAAGACAAATCTGCCTACGAATCGAATAAAGACATAACTTACTATTAAAGTTCTATATTTAAAATATAAAAAGTGTAAGTACTAGCTGTTTTAATGAAATAAATTCCTTTCATGATATTTTTAGTCACACAAAATTTGAAAACAAAGCGATTCCAGCTGAATAAATTTGAGTCAAAAGCTTTATGTAAGATCTTTAGCTCAGCAATGAGCCGAATTTCTACAATATTGTATACACATTATACAAGTATGTATATATGTGTTGAATGGCATTTGAATTTAATTAATTTAATTGTTATTTTCATAACTTATGAGCAGTATTAGTCAGTTCGTTCACTCATTTGGCTTACACTTCTCCAACGTTCCTTTTCATTTCTGAATAATTTCAACAATTTGTTCAATTGTTGTTTTATTATTTCTCATTTGCTATGTACGTTTTGATTTCAAATTTGAAAACGTGAACACATCATGTTTTTACTTAAATAGAAACAAAAAGCAACAACACTTTATTTAAATGAACTTAGTGCGCATCCAATACATACATACATGTACATAAATATGTCTATTTTATATATTTTTTAATGAAACTACAAACAATGATGCTATTTTTACTAGTGATATTATTTGAACACATTCTTCAAGCTGAAATTAAATTTGCTTCCTAAGCTGTCGAATTAAACAATCGCAGCGGGTATGTTGTATCCAATCTATTTATCTATTCTAATCCAATAACATTTCGAATTGGTTTCCTGTTTTTTACACTTATCTTGCAGATTACTGTATCTACTAACCAACAAGATATTTGACGACTTTCAACAGCACCATGACACTGCAGCTCACTTGCGATTTCCGTCGATGCACACGCGCCGAGTCTTAGAACCGAATTGAGTACGAAATTAAAAATGCAACGACGAATAAGTATCTAGACGCGACGCCGCTTCGGGGCAGCAAGTCGGTGAACGGCAGAAATCCGGCAAGTCTTGAGTGTGTGGGCAATGGAAACGACGACTTTGTGGCTGCCGGTTTAAAGAACTTTTCGTTGATGTCGAAATCACTTTACATGCATGCTACTTGCGATATGTTTAGCCGTTTTTTCGCCAGTCACTAAGGCGGACTGCGTGATTTGCAAATAAAAAAAATTTAAAAAAAAAAATCAAATCAAATAAAAACATAAATAGCAAGTGCTGATTACGTCATTAGAACTCGTTTACATCCACAAGGCGGCTGCTGTATTTTAAGCAAGCTTGCACAATATTTTTGGCCACAAGCAGCGACCGACCGGCCAATTGAGGCCACAGAATTTCGGCTGCCAGGCCGGTTGGCTGACACTCATTTTTATCTTTATCAGAGTAATTAATTTTGTCATTGCATTTTGGGGAATTAACAACCAGTTTTTGAGGAGGGCTTCCAAAAAGCTTCGAGCAGTGGGCTGCAACTGCAACATGTGGCGCGGATTGGTCATGAATTTTGCACACATTTTTGATCGTGATTTTCAAAGCGCGGTGTTGCCACACCATATACTTAGCTTTGGTGACTGCCACAGTTGGTCTGTCTCTTTTGATTGCTGGAGCAACAAATTTCAAGTTTGGCTCTTTTACTGGCTAGTTTGTATGTCGGTTTAGCTAAGCTTCAGTGATTTCCAATTAGATATCGTAGCCGTTATTCACCTTCGATTCTTAAATACTGCATGTGGTCCGAGGCCTTATTCAATGGACCACCAGTCTCAGTTTTTTTCTTTTTTGCCGTTTTTAATTGAGGTTTACGGCCATAGAGTCAAAATGTTGCACAATCTAAGAAAAAAGAAAACATTTACTATTACAATTACGCTTTATAAATGTAATAAAAATGTTGTTGTACATTGTAAAGTTTCAAAAAATAGGTACACATTTGATATCAAAATTATTTTTATGTTGTATTATTTTAGCTGAACAGCTCTTAATTTTCTATTCCTTATTGTATAAGTGTTCTAATATGTTATAGTACTTTAGATTCCAGCATTTTGAAATCGCTTGTTTTCTATATAATACCAAAAACAGGAGAAATTAAAATATTACTTGTAATGCATGATTGATTTTAAAGATTGATTAGAATCCTTTGCAAATATATTTTTATATTTCAAGCGTCTTGGTATCACTCAGAAACGCCAATATTGGATACATTTTTATTATGTGTTTCCAAGTCATCCAAGCCATAATCAAAATCTAGCTCTATTTACTGCACGCAACTTTGGAAATTTTCCATATTATGGATTATATCATAAATATTAGAGGAAGGACAGGAATACATACATGATTTTTCCTAGTTATATTATAAAACAACAACATGTTATGATCAAAAGCTGATTATGAAATATTTACCTAATAATAGACAAAAAAAAGAATTTAAAAGAATACCCATAAATACTAAGCTGTATTTTTCGCTTTGTTTGGCAAAAAATTAAAGTACACTCGACTATGTACAAATACGATCTTACTACATATATTCTAATCGAATATATTAAGTAATTGAAATAAACACTTACTTTTATTTTAATTTAACAGTAGAATTGTTTCGATGCAAAAGGTTAAAGTCGAAAAAAATTGACGCCTAAAAGATGACTTAAGGCGACCGATCAATTCCAATATATTTTGATTGCGCAAATAAAATTTCCGTTCGAACAAAAACTGGTTAATCGCGAGAGGTTACAAACATCATCGCGCCAAGATTACTGCGCCCGATTACGATTCAACTTGGAGCCAAAGAGCATAAAAACGCCGGCCGGCTTTTTCGAAGAGACAGCGGGAGAGAGAGAGAGCAGAATGAGTGGGAGATAAGAGCAGCACATGAAGTGCACAGAGGGAATCGACAAAATAAACAAACAACGAAATCAAAACAAAGCCGGCAAAATCGTTATCTGTCAGCTGCTTAAGCGATGAAGTAATAAATAAGCGAGTAAATGGGGCTGGGATAGCCGGCGAGACGACAACGACTACGACGACGAACCGAACAGCCGACGAGACGTCCGATCGCCGGATCGCCCGACCGAGCGACCGACCGACGAACACAGCGACTGATCGGTAGTTGTGCGAGCTGAAAGATATTTTTCGGACGCCAAGGAAAACTTCTCGCTGCAGTGCGTTCAGTTGCTCGCGACGAGCCATCCAGTGCGGTTGGATGGGCTCTGGAAAAAATTAAAAAATAAATAAGTGAAGCGAAAAAGTGTGGTGAAAGAAATTTAAAACTAGTAAACAGTGGATTAAGTGAGCCTCAAAACCGGAAGTGAACAAAAGGACTGCAAACGAAGGACTTTTTTCATCCGCGCGTTTGCCTGTGTGAGTGTGTGTGCCACTATGGGGCTTCGACCGGCTCCATTTTGTGCTATGGGCGTGGCCTTGGCTTTGTGCCTTATCGCCATGCTCTGCATGCCGCAGCCGAGCATTGCTGAGCTAACGCCGCCATATTTTAATTTGGCTACCGGACGCAAAATCTACGCAACAGCCACGTGTGGCGAGGACACCGATGGTCCTGAGCTCTACTGTAAGCTTGTTGGTGCCAATACGGAGAACGATCACATCGATTATTCGGTCATTCAGGGACAGGTACGATTTTATAGCTAAAGATTGATAGAACATGTCGAAAAACTGTAATTTAAAGAGATGCTCCAAATATTACAAGATTTGTGTGTACATATTTTCTATTTTTGACGATTGCATTTATTTTTTCTTTTTGTTAACTATACACACACAAGTAAATACTTAAAAACATATGTACAAGTATATATATATATATATATATATGTATATGTATGTATGTTTGTATTGATGTATACACAGAAAAAGTTGAATTCTAAATTTTGTGTTGCATTTCGAGTTGCTTTGAGCGCCATGTGTTGAGAATTTCCAATTTGAATGTTATTTATAGCAATGATTGAAGTTAGTTTTGTTTTGAAACATGTGTTTGCTATGTGTTATTTGATTGATATTTTTTAGGTCTGCGATTATTGCGATCCCAGCATTCCGGAGAAGAATCATCCGCCAGAGAATGCCATCGATGGTACCGAGGCCTGGTGGCAGAGTCCGCCTTTGTCGCGCGGCATGAAATTCAACGAAGTCAACCTAACCATCAATTTTGAACAGGTAAGCAGAAGCAGCAGCAGCAGCAGCAGCAGCTGAGAAGAACAGAAAAGAAAGGTGTATATATTTCAGAGCTGTATCTGAAAGTTGCACACACACACACACTTGCGCAGTTTGGAGTTAAAATTGAATTGAGACCTGAAAGAAAGACACACATGTTTGTATGTTTATGCAGCATGTTTGTGTGTGTGTGTGTGTGTGTATGTGTCTGTGGCAAGTTCCTATGGGTTCCAACGATCGATGCCGTATCTGCAGCAGCTCTCAGTCTTTTATGTTGCACTTACCAACGACGGCGTCGCTGGTTTGGCCAGACAGGCTCATAAAATTAAAAATTTTTTAATGTGTTTTCATTTCATTTTCGACCTCAACGCCGTTGCCTTCATGCCTTCGCCTGAAAGACACAATATGCTGAGCTGTTGAATTTTTTCTTTCTGTGCACAGAGCTCACACTTTTTGCCCCTTCAATGTTGTGGGTTATCAGCTTGTTCTGGTCTGTATGTACTACAAAGTATGTGTGTATGTGTACATGCTATACATATGTAGCACATACCATTCTGTAGTTTCAGTTTTCATGCCCAAGTCTTGGAGATGGAAAAAAAGTGACATAGAAACAACAAACCCAGGGCGACGACTTTTGCCTTATACCCTATGCATGCTTTTACAAGTAAAGGGTATGCCATGAAAACTTTAAGGGTCCAAAAATTTGAAGAAAATATAGTTATCTATACCATATCTATACTTTATGTTCCTTAAAATAAACATCACAATAACTTAAGACTTTGCAAAAATTCTGATCGGAGTGGCAAATACATAATACTTGTATGCTCACCAATTGGAATACCATATAACTAATACTTGTAGTTGTGGTAAGGCCGAAATTCTTGTTTATTTTAATTCTTGATATTGATAGACGAAACGTTTAAAGTATAGATCTTGAAAGCAGATTCATTTCCTTTTGGTCGTAAAGTCTTCATTTAGAATATGTCCAGCATAAATATTGAATGGTGTTAAGGGATATACTTACATCTGATAGTATAAACGTATGATTTACAAAAAGTTGTTGTGTATAATAGTTGTGTTTTAAGTATTAAATATTTAAAAACACATTTTGAGATAATTATGTAATTCTTGCTGGAGATACATTTTAGAAAGAGAAAATTTAAAGTTATTTCAATTTGAAAAGTAACTCTAATATTTGATTATTTATTTAATGAAGCGCAGAAAGCATTAGAATTACTGAACCTAAAAATCTCTCTCGAGCTATTTTTACTTGCGTCTGAGATAAGCAGCAACAAAATGTGAAATAAAATATAATTCCTTGAGTCTGCAACATAACTGAGTTCATGAAGCGAATGAAATTCTATGTAGTGTTCGCTGATAAGTCAGACTACAAAACTATTGTACATATTGTTTATACTATATGTATGTATATAGAAGACCGTATTCGGGACACAGCCCACACTTATCACAGTCGTGCGTTTTTTTTTTAATAAATAAAGCGATGGGGTCATAATGCTCTTCGCTTATCGTTGCAACGGAAGCGCGTTGCTTGCTGCTATCGCCAAAGAAGCCTTTTTAATGAAGTTAAGAAATGAGCTCATAGAATACGAATAATGCTGAGCAAAGTGTTGGGCATTTGAAATGCAATCTAACAGACGCATATGAGCTTGTGGACCGCCGTTGTCTTCAATATGATGTTTTACAAAAGCGCTGCCTACATTGTCGCAACAGTTAATTAACGGCTTGCCATGAATAATTGTTTAAACTACAGAGACAGAGGCAGATGCAGTAGGTCTTGCGCTGTAACGTCGTCTGCTTTACATAAATAGAGAAGACTACGAGTATGTCGAGCCACGACTTAAGTTGGTCTCTGAAAATATTTGCGAAAATGTGATTTGTTCAGCTGTAACAATCGAACAAAATTTGCGAATCTGATTGCTCATTTAAACAATAGAGGTGTGGGAAATGCGTCTATTGCCCAATTTAATGGCTAATGATCTTATAATGGTAACAAAAAAGAAGTTTTTGATTCATTAAAAGCTGTTCTCCATCGCATTTCACCCCATATGCAATCGAGCTTTAACTTTAAAACCAAAGATATTTCAAAATATTTAATTATATTCAATATATGTGAATGATTGATATGGTACCGGAGCTATCCGAGTAACGTATTTAAATTTTGTATATAAGTATTTGATTTTGATAGTAAATATATGTATAAAGTTGGTTGCAGTTCATAAGAAAATCGACTGAAACAGATCTTGAACAGATTCAAATATAAATTTTTCTAATATTTCCCATTAGAGGTAACAATACAAAAAACAGTAGAGTCTTGTTAAATTAAAAAGTACCAACGAGCAATGCACCTGCAATTTTTTTATTTCTCTATACATACATATCTTTGCAATATATATACAACAGCATACGTGTATGTATACCAATTCCCTTTTCAAGTCCATTCAAAGAGGTAAATAAGCCGTACAAAATCAAAGCAATTGTGAATAAATAAATAAAGCAACCAAAAATACATAAACACATAAGCAGTCAACGAATTCATATACATGTTCACATAGTTTGTTTTCAATTGACTTCAAATTAAAAAGCAAACATTTAACATTTGGTAAGGAATAATCGAACACGGTATACTCTGCAACAAGCTAAAGAAAGTAAAATTCCATAAACGTTTGATATTCGCATGAAAAATAAAAAAGCATATCGGTCTCGTTTAATATTTGATCAAATTCGATTCGATTATAATCATTGCAATTTAGCCTATAAAGTCTAATGAAATGTATATACCCATTTGTAGCGTATAGGGTATACGGAAAAATAAACATTGAGCGGCCGCAAATAAATTTAGTGCGCTAGAGACCGCTTTTTCGTTTGGAGATAATTCTTAACAATGATCTCATGCCGCCGACTTTGTGGATGTATGGCGTACATGAATATGAACATATTCGTACTTATGCATACACAGATGGCCAGCATAATAAGTACACCAACATTGAATTTAACTTATAAGAGCTACTCCAATATTTGCATACCCTGCACCCGAAGTAAAATGTATAAATATACGAGTATAATAGGAATAATGTCTGTCCGTATGAACACCGATATCTTTTGAGCCTTAACAACTACGGACCTTAAACTTGCAAACCATATATACATAGCTGCAGTTTTTTAAAGCTGCCATATGACCGATCCGTGCAAAAATAGAATAAGGAAGATAAGATAAGATATAATATAAACACAAATTTCTGTTTATTTCGATATCAGAACCAAATTTATTATTTTTAAGTTCTATAGTGGTTCACTATAATGTAAAGTTTAACCAAAATCGAGTTTCTTTATCATTTAGCTTCCCTAGGAACCATTGGTACAGTATTACATTTTTGGTTAATGGGTGTAGCAGGGAAAAGGGTTGGTGGGGCTTTCAAACTGTAGCGCTGGCATGGCTTTAAAGTTCTACACCTTGTACTTTCATTATAAGCATCGTTTGAAAGCGGACAAAGAAACCGGAAACCAGATTGGCGAATATAATAAGTATTACAATCAAAGATTCGATCTATTGCCGCTTGAGGCGAAGTTTTGAAAAACGAGAATTAATGTAGCTTGGCGATATAGCTATAGAGACATTCAACGAATCTAAAATAAAATACAACCGTGTTTCAATTTAAAGAATTTTTTGCACTGTTTTCTTAAAATATACATATACTTTAATAACATTTTGATATCAATTGAATGTTAGTTGGAATTTTATTTAACAATTATTTTGTGCAATTTAATAAGAATTTAAATAATTGTTATATTATATTTGTCAAAAAGAGATAAAAAATTGAATATAAGGGATGTGTACTTATTTTTTTGTCCCAGAGTGTATATCCACATATTTCTACATTAAACATTTGCTTTTGTATAAATGTTGTGTGTTTACTATTCGAATCAACTTTAATGAATGTGCTGGGTCCAACAACTATAGTTTAAATTAATTTTTTCTTAGCATAGTATGAACACATCTTGAACTAAACAAGACTATGTATAATTCCCTAAATCAATTGTTATGAAATAATTATATGTTTGCTGTAGGAATTCCACGTCGCTTACCTATTCATACGTATGGGCAACTCGCCACGTCCAGGCCTTTGGACCTTGGAGAAATCAACGGATTATGGCAAGACGTGGACGCCATGGCAGCACTTCTCGGACACGCCTGCCGATTGTGAGACCTATTTCGGCAAGGATACGTACAAGCCCATCACACGGGACGATGATGTCATCTGCACCACAGAATATTCGAAAATTGTGCCGCTGGAGAATGGCGAAATACCTGTTATGCTTTTAAACGAACGTCCTTCGTCCACCAACTACTTTAACTCGACAGTACTGCAGGAATGGACGCGTGCTACGAATGTGCGCATACGTCTGTTGAGGACCAAGAATCTTCTGGGTCATCTGATGTCTGTGGCTCGCCAGGATCCAACCGTGACACGTCGTTACTTCTACTCCATCAAGGACATTTCGATTGGTGGTCGCTGCATGTGCAATGGCCATGCTGACACCTGTGACGTTAAGGATCCAAGGAGCCCGGTTCGGATACTTGCGTGCCGCTGCCAGCACCACACCTGCGGTATTCAGTGCAACGAATGCTGTCCCGGTTTCCAGCAGAAGAAGTGGCGCCAGAACACCAACGCCCGTCCCTTTAACTGCGAACGTAAGTGCCCGAAATTGTTTTCTAAACATTGAGTTTTGAACATCATCATCCTTCTCGTAGCTTGCAACTGCCACGGTCACACCAATGAATGCGAATACGATGAGGAATTGGACCGCAAGGGACTTTCGCTAGACATCCATGGCCATTTCGATGGCGGTGGCAAGTGCCTCAATTGCCAGCACAACACCATGGGCACCAATTGCAATCAGTGTGTGCCAAAGTTTTATCGTCCCAAGGGCAAGTACTGGAACGAGACGGATGTCTGCTCACGTAGGTAGAAATTTAGCTGGCAAAGGACCACAACTGAAACAAACTTTGATTGTCCCGATTAGCTTGCAACTGTGACCACTTCTATTCGACGGGACACTGTGAGGAAGAGACTGGACGCTGTGAGTGCAAAGTGGCCTTCCAGCCTCCCAACTGTGACTCTTGTGCCTATGGCTACTATTCGTATCCAAATTGTCGCGAATGTGAGTGCAATTTGAATGGCACCAATGGCTATCACTGCGAGGCCGTCAACGGCGAATGTCCTTGCAAGATCAACTTTGCTGGCACATTCTGTAAGCAGTGCGCCGAAGGATACTATGCCTTCCCCGAGTGCAAGCCCTGCGAGTGCAACCAGATCGGTTCTATTAGCAACGACTGCGATCTAAAGACAGGCCAATGCAAATGCCTGAGCAGCTTTGGTGGCGAGCGTTGCGAGACCTGCAAGGACGGTTACTTCAACTACCCGAAGTGTCAATGTATGTTCGGAATCCGTCATCCTTTTGATCACCCTGCAAATACATTCTGAAATTTTAGACTGTGACTGCGATATACAGGGTACAGAGTCAGAGATCTGCAACAAGAATTCTGGTCAGTGTATTTGTCGCGAAGGATTCGGTGGACCACGCTGCGATCAATGTCTGCCCGGCTATTACAACTATCCAGACTGTCAGCCCTGCAACTGCTCCTCAACAGGAAGTCCGGCCATCACGTGCGACAATTCCGGCAAGTGCAACTGTCTTTCCAATTTCGCGGGCAAACAGTGTACCCTCTGTAGTGCTGGATTCTTCAACTATCCCGAATGCTTGCGTAAGTTGAAAATAAAGCTTTAACACTTTTAGAATAGAAATACAAATTCTAAACTAATTAAATACTGCATTAATTACTACATTTTTCATAAAATTTAGACCTCTAGAACTTAATTCGGAATAAGGAGCAGTATTAATTGAGAACCAGGCAGGATTTTTCTAGATCATTCTTCATGCTGATCAAGAATATATCTATGTACATACATATTACCTATTCATAGGGTGGATATACCCTTCCACCATAGGCTATGAAAATGATCTTTGGATTTTTGACCACTTCTTTCAAAATAAAAGATAAATCTCTACCATCAAGAACTTCAGGGCTTATTCTCAACACTGCCATTGTTCTTATAGTTTTTTAATATTATCTGTACAGTGAACTTGTCAAGATTTAAAAGTTTACTTCATTTTGTTCTCAATTCTGTACTTTAAGTGTAAATTTTCGCAAATCGGTGGAAATTTCTTTATAGTTCTCAGCAAGCTTCAAAAGGATATGAGAATAGAGAGCTTTAAGAAACGGGGACGTACCGTTCTATTGGCGATGCACAGCTCGAAGAATGAAATCAAATGAAGTCGTAGGTACACTTTTGTCAAGGAAAGGAATAAGGATACATCTAAAGTTTGCAATGTTTCGCTTTCTTCTATAAAAATGAAGAAGCTATTAAGCTGCGCCATTAGTTTTTTTATAAATACCTTTGGATCTGCCAGTTAGCAGAATACAGACATTGATGTTGCAATTATTTTGATTAGGATTGTACAGATTGCTAATTCAAAATTGTTTGGCTTATAAAAGTGAAATTCTGAATGGGCATAAGCGAGCGATCCGGTTCCAATTTTAATAAAAATAACTTCCAAATTCTTACAGCTTGCAATTGCGATGAACATGGCTCCGAGGGTATTACTTGTGACACTGATGGCCAATGCCTCTGCTTGCCCAACTTTAATGGACGCCAGTGCAGTAAGTGCGCCGAAAGTTTCTACAATTTCCCGGCCTGCGAGGGCTGCAATTGCGATCCTGCTGGGGTCATCGATAAGTTCGCTGGCTGCGGCTCTGTGCCCGTGGGTGAACTATGCCAGTGCAAGGAACGCGTCACAGGTCGAATTTGCAACGAGTGCAAGCCGCTTTACTGGAATCTGAACATCAGTAATCCCGATGCTTGTGAATTGTGCGATTGCCTAACGGATGGTACCATCGCCGCTTTGGACACCTGCGCATCCAAATCCGGCCAGTGCACATGTAAGCCAAACACGCACGGACGTCGTTGCGACGAATGCCGCGATGGAACCTTCGATCTGGACGGCACTTCGCTGTTCGGCTGCAGGGACTGTAACTGTGATGTGGGGGGAGCAAGGCATAGTGAATGTGACAAGAAGTCGGGCCAGTGTAAATGCCATCCCCGTGTTACAGGCCTGGCCTGCACACAACCGCTGAGCACCCACTATTTCCCAACACTTCACCAATTCCAGTACGAGTACGAAGATGGCTCGACAGCATCCGGCACTCAGGTCCGCTATCAGTATGACGAAAATATATTCCCTGGCTTCAGCAGCAAGGGCTATGCCGTGTTCAATGACATACAGGGCGAAGTACGCAACGAGCTGACTGTCATCAAGTCCTCGCTTTATCGCATCGTCATACGTTATGTGAACCCGAATGAGCATAACGTCACAGCCAGCATACTAATCCAGTCAGAGAATCCACTTGAAGTGGACCAGAAGTGAGTAGCAAGTTTTTTGTAATGGTTATCAAAATAATTTCGATTTCATATTTTCTTTTCAGGGTCAAAGTGTTGCTACGTCCCACCTCTGAGCCAATATTTGTTACTGTATCGGGTGATAAGGGCAACAAGCCAGCAGCCGTAGTCCTCGATCCAGGAAGATACACATTCATTACCAACACTAAGAAGAATGTAATGCTCGACTATTTCGTTCTTTTGCCAGCTGCATACTATGAGGCATCTATCTTGACTCGTCACATTGACAATCCTTGTGAGCTGGGCAACATGGAGCTCTGTCGCCACTACAAATATCCATCCGTAGAAGAGTATGTATTGACTTAAGTATTTCATATAAGTACTATACATATATAGTAGTATAGGAAAGTAACAGTTATGGCACTAATATACTTGTATTGTTTAAATTTACAGTTTTCAGCCAGCCACCGCACCGTTTGTCGTCGATTCGAACAACAAACCAATTAAGCCCACTGAATTCTACAGAGATCATGAGCACCTAGAAATCTTGAGCCACGAGGGAGATATACCTTTGCTGACCGATGATCAAAGTGAACTCAATTATATTGTGGACGTGCCACACAGTGGCCGATATATTTTTGTAATTGATTATATCAGCGATCGGAACCACTCCAACACCTACTACATAAATATTAGACTGGGTGACGAAGATAACCGTGACTCAACGCTGCTTTATCCCTGCCTATACTCTACACCCTGTCGCATTCCTATCATCGACGAGTTCAGCCGTGAGAAAGTGTTCTACATAAACAAGGATGAGCTAAAGCCAGTTACGATTTACGTAAGTAATCAATAATTTTGTGTACAATTCATAATATACTATACAAGTATGTATATGTATTCATATTCTATACATATTGACTTGCAGGCGAACTTGGACGATGCTGTTTATCGCATTGGAATCATCTCAGTTACAGCTATACCAGTGGAGCAGTGGTCTACCGACTATATAAATCCCAGCTCAGTTTGTGTAATGCACGAACGAAAGTGCGCGACACCGAAATTCCGATCAGTGCCGGACTCCAAGAAAATAGAGTTCGAAACCGACCATGACGATCGTATCGCGGAAAATAAACCCCCATATGCTGTGCTCGATGAGAGCGTCAAACTGGTCTACCTAGATAGTAAACAAGACGCAACGATTGCTGTGGAGTAAGTATCAATTGTTAAATCCATATACATGTGTATCTTATCCATTTAAAACAACGATCCTGGTCTACAGATCGAAGGTTTTGGAGCCTGGACGCTATGTCATACTTGTGAAATACTATCAACCCCATCATCCCAAATACCAGGTGTTGTATACTCTGACAGCTGGTAAAAACCAATACGACGGCAAATTCGACATTCTTCACTGCCCTTCGAGCTCCGGCTGCCGTGGAGTAATTCGCCCCAGTGGCGAGGACTGGTGGTTTGACATTGAAGAGGACTTCAAATTTACAATTATGGTACGTATCGCTATGATGGCACATGAAACAATTACGATTAAATCAATGAAATTGTAATCTTACAGAACAATCGTCCTCAAGGAGTTTGGTTGGATCGTCTGGTTGTTGTTCCCGTTGATCAGTTCAATGACAACCTATTGGTGGAAGAAACATTTGATCAGACCAAAGAGTTCATTAGGGATTGTGGCCAAGATCACTTTTACATCACGCATAACGCATCTGAGTTCTGCAAGAAAGCAGTCTTTTCCCTGACAGCAGGCTACAACGACGGCGCCCTATCCTGCAATTGCAATTATGCTGGCTCTACAAGCTTTGAGTGTCACCCGTTCGGTGGACAGTGCCCGTGCAGGCCCAACGTAATTGAACGTCAATGCGGTGCGTGTCGTACCGGATACTATGGCTTCCCCGACTGCAAAATTTGCGACTGTCCCAGCACGGCTATGTGCGAGCCCACAACTGGAGAGTGCATGTGCCCTCCAAATGTGATTGGCGCTTTGTGCGATACTTGCCGACCGAACACCTACGGTTTCCATCAGGTAATCGGTTGTGAGGATTGCAACTGCAACTATCAGGGAATTGCGAACGGTAATGGTCAGTGCGATATGTTCAACGGATCCTGTGAATGCCGTCCGAATATCGAAGGACGCGCTTGCGATGTGTGCACCAATGGCTTCTTCAATTTCCCACGTTGTGAGCAATGCACTTGCCACAAGCCAGGAACTGAGGCGGAAGTGTGCGACAAAATCGACGGGAGCTGTTTCTGCAAAAAGAACGTGGTTGGTCGAGACTGTGACCAGTGCATCGATGGAACTTACAATCTACAGGCTAATAATCCTGAAGGCTGCACCACCTGCTTCTGCTTTGGCAAAACTTCGCGTTGCGACAGCGCCTATTTGCGGGTCTACAATGTAAGCCTGTTTAAGAAGGTTTCCGTTAATTCAGCCGAATTCAATGCTAAGTCAATTGAATTTGAAATCTGGGATATTTCATCGGAGGAGCTGATAATCAACGAGACCATGCTGCAAGCAGACTTTTCGGTGCGTGACATGAACGATCAGCGCGTTGCTTACTTTGGTGTACTGGACTATCTACTGAACCAGAACAGTCATATTTCCGCCTACGGTGGAGATCTTGCCTATACACTTTATTTTACCAGTGGCTTTACGGGCAAGTCCATTGTAGCCCCCGATGTGATTTTATTGAGTAAGGATAGCATACTGTTGCATCAAAGCTATGAGCAGCCTGCCAGCAATTTGCCATTTAAGAACCGCCTACAAATGGTGGAATCTAACTTCCAGAAAATAGATGGCAAGCCCGTCTCGCGTGCAGAATTCATGATGGCACTCCGCGATCTGAAGTCAATATTTATACGTGCAAACTATTGGGAGCAAACTCTGGTTACTCAGCTATCGGATGTGTATCTTACCTTGGCCGATGAAGACGCTGATGGCACCGGTGTCTATCAGTTCTTGGCAGTCGAACAATGCCATTGCCCACCCGGCTATGCTGGCCACTCTTGTGAGGACTGTGCTCCCGGATACTACCGCGATCCAAATGGACCCTATGGTGGTTACTGCATTCCCTGCGAGTGCAACGGTCATGCCGAGACTTGCGATTGCGCCACTGGCATTTGTAAAGACTGTCAGCACTCAACGCGAGGCGAGCATTGTGAGATGTGCATCGAAGGCTATTACGGAAACTCAACATTTGGTACGCCCCATGACTGTATGATCTGCGCTTGCCCTCTGCCCTTCGAGTCCAATAACTTTGCTACTGGCTGCGAAATCTCAGAGTCCGGCAGTGAGATTCATTGCGAATGTCGACCTGGCTACACAGGACCACGTTGCGAAGCGTGTGCGAATGGATTTTATGGCCAACCAGAGAACCAAGGAGACACCTGCAAGCCTTGTGATTGTTCCGGAAACATCAATCCCGATGAAGTGGGGGCTTGTGACACGCGTACAGGCGAGTGTTTACGGTGCTTGAACAACACTTCGGGAGCAGCCTGCAATCTCTGTGCGCCAGGTTTCTACGGTGACGCTGTGGAGCTAAAGAATTGTCAGAGTTGCGACTGTGATGAATTGGGAACATATAAGTGTGATCCGTTTATTGGTGACTGCAAGTGCCATGACAATGTGATTGGAGAGCGGTGTGACAGATGCAAGCCCGACCATTATGGCTTTAGTTCCGGACTCGGATGCCGACCCTGTGATTGTGGCGTGGCTTCCAATTCGACTCAGTGCGACGACCATACTGGGAAATGTTTGTGTAAGCCCGGCGTTACCGGACGACAATGCGACCGTTGTGCTTCGGACCATTGGAACTACAGCCAAAATGGATGCACGCCATGTCGGTGCAACGAGGGCTACTCGCGCGGCTATGGCTGTAATCCGTATACCGGCCAATGTGAGTGCTTACCAGGAGTAATAGGCGAACGCTGCGATGCCTGTCCGCATCGCTGGGTATTGATTAAGGATGATGGTTGTGAGGAATGCAACTCGTGTCACCACGCGCTTCTTGATGTAACCGATCGCATGCGCAATCAGATTGATGGTGTTTTGCATGACTTCCACACAGTAACTAAGTCTTTCTTCACGAGCCAAAAGCTAAATTACTACGATGAAATGGCAGAGTCGTTATTACCAAAGGTGTCTGCTCTCGATCCAAAGAGTGTCAACTTAGACCCCTCTCGTAAAAAAAATAGCGAGTTGGAGGCAGCAACCAAAGCCTATGCTAAGCTGGTCAACACAACAGTGGATACTGCCAAGGATGTTCGTCGCCGCACAAGCGTGCTTCTAGCCAACGTTACCGACATTCGCAAAGATGCTGAGAACAGCGTGTCAGAGGCCAGAGATGCCATTGCTGCCGTTGAAGATTTGTCTCAAAATCTAGAAGCTACTGCAAGCACGAAGATCGATGCAGCTTTGATACAGGCTCAGGGCATTTTGCAACTAATTAATGAAACCAAAATTGAGGTTACTCCCAATGAGAAACTGCTGAACGACGCCCATGAAGTATTTGAGAAAGTTGATAATCTTGTCAGTCCGATCAAGCAACAAAATAAAACTCTTAACGCGCTGAAAAACGATATTGGCGATTTTAGTGACAAATTGGAAGATTTGTATGGATGGAGTAAAGAAGCGCAGTTGCAAGCAGACGATGTGGATCTCCTGAATAAGGCGAATAAGCGAGCCTACGACAACTCCAAATTTGATACCGTCTCTGAACAGCAAAAGGAGGCCGAAACAAATATAAAAGAAGCTGGAAACTTTCTGATTAATAGTGCATTGACTTTGTCGCATATCAACAAGCAGGTCGAGGAGCTAAAAAGCGCTTTGGATGAGCTAAACAACGTGAACGAACGTGTGGACAAATATTTTCCCGATCAAGAGATGGAATACAAAGAAGCGGCACAACTAGCCGGAGAGGCGGAGGCCCATGCGAATGACCTGACAGCTCGTGCCCAAAGCTTGACTGAAAACTATAATAATATGACAGCAAGTTCCTATCCAGCCGTAAGGGCGGCCAGAGCTTATTCCGATATTGCAGACGCTGTGACTAGTGCCCAACAATTTACCAAGGATGCCGGCTTTGCGGCGGGTAATGCAACAAAAATTACGGAAGGTATTGGGGAGCGCGCATTAAATGGCAACTCAGAGTCCACCGATCTGTTGCAAAAAGCACGAAACGCATTGCAAAAGGTACAAAGCGATCTGGAGCCACGCTTGAATGCTTCCGCAAGCAAAGTGCAGGAAATCTCCAACTTGAATGAGAAAACAGAGCAGCTACTGAAGGAAACCAACTTGAAAATTAAGAACCTACCAGCCGAAACCCAGAGAGATATGTGGAAAAACTCGAACAGCAATGCCACCGATGCATTGGATATACTAAAGGACGTGCTGGAAATTTTGGAGCCCGTGAGCAAGCAAACGCCAAAAGAGCTGGAGAAGGCGCGCAACATTTCCAAGGATGTCGAAATAGCCAGGAAAGATGTTTCGCAAGCAAACAATCAGTTAGATATTGTTCAATCCTCCATACCCACTCTCAACGAACTGGCAGACGGTATAACTGAACAGCAGCAGAAGGTCGGTGAGATGAGTCAACAGCTAAGTAATGACATCGAGCACCTTAAGCGTCAGATAGACACAGCCCGAACACTGGCCAATAGTATCAAGGTCGGCGTACAGTTCGAGCCCAACACAGTGCTAGAACTAAAGACACCGGAAAAAACGCCTCTTTTGGCTACAAAAACGAAGGTTTCCGCCTTCTTCAAGACGGAGAAACCCGACGGCTTTTTATTGTATCTGGGAAACCATAACAAAACAAACAGTCAGACAACTCCCATCAAGAACGAAGATTTCATGGCCCTTGAAGTTGTTAATGGCTACCCAATATTGACCATGGATCTGGGCAACGGCCCAGAACGGATAACTAATGAAAAGTATGTGGCAGATGGCAAATGGTACCAGGTAGTTGTGGATCGCGTGGGACGCAAAGCTAAATTGATAATACGCGAGGAACTTCAGAATGGCACCAAACAGGAACACGTGAAAGAAGGCATTTTAGAGGGACCGAACAGTGTACTGCATGTTGACCGTAACAGTCGCCTCTTTGTGGGTGGCTACTCGGATGATTCAGTTTTCACACCGCCCGAGGACATTCGCACGAACTCTTTCCAGGGCGCCATCGAGGATTTACGAATTGGCGATGAGCCAGTCGGTTTGTGGAACTTTGTATACGCTGACGACAACAGGCAAGGCGCTCGGGAACGAGACGTACTGCTTGAAGATCAAATGCCTGTGACGGGTCTACGTTTTAATGGCAATGGCTTTGTGCAACTAAAAGCCACGCCACACAACTTTAAATCGCGCTCTGACATCCAGTTTAGATTTAAAGCTGCTCCGGATGCCCCGGACGGTCTTATGTTCTTCTACGGCCGTGGCAAACACTTTATGTCTATTGAGTTGGTTGACGGTGCAGTGTACTTCCGCTTCAAGCTGGGCAATGGCCTATTCACTTCCGTAACCCAGAATCGCTACAACGACAACAATTGGCATCGCGTCGCGGCCGTACGTGAGGGCCGTCGCGGCTTGCTTAAGGTTGACGATGCTCTGATGATGCAAGAAGAGGCCCCTCCAGGTTCCGATGAGGAAATGCCTAAAGTGCATCGAATGTATTTTGGTGGCTTGCCAGGAAAACGTAACCACTCCGAAATTGTCGCCCAGAACTTCGATGGATGCATTGACGATGTAACCATTTCGGGACATCAAATTGATTTGACAGAGCACGTTAACAGCACGGGTATCTCGGAGGGCTGTCCCAATAAGTACTCGACAGTGTTGTCCTTTGCACCATTAGATCACGGCTATCTACGTGCCGCCAACATTTCCTCGGACAACAATCTGAATGTGGTGTTGAGCTTTAAGACTCGTCAACGCGATGGAGTGCTCTTCTATGCAGCTAATCATGACCAGAGCTCCAATATCGGCTTAACGTTGGACAATGGTTACCTAAAGCTGCGTAGTCAGGGCAGTGAATTGGTCTCTGCTCAGCATCAGTACAACGACGGGGAAGAACATGTGGTTACAGTTCTCCATAATGGTGACCAACTGCGTCTATCAATTGATGACCAAGATGACAGGCGGTAAGAATTTCACATTTTTTTGGCAACTACATATTCAATAATAATAAATCAATTGTATACTGCAGGCTGCCTACAGCTCCGGAGCCACTGTACATTCAAAGTGGGGACGTATTCTTTGGCGGCCTGCCCGATAACTACATACCGCCCAAGGGGGCACTTTCAACACGGGTGCACTTTGTTGGTTGCATTAAGGATGTAACCGTGAATCATGAAATAATTAACTTTGCCGACAGCGCTGAAAAGAGAAATGGCAACATCAACAGCTGTCCGCAGGAAATTCTAGGTAATAAAATATTAATCTCTTTAAAAAATTCTTTTTTAAAGTTTTGCCCTATTTTCCAGCTTACGATCCCGAAGAATTAAGTCATTATTATTCCAGCGGAATAAACGAACTTGTGCCCCACGGTGATCCGTTTAAACCGCCGCAATATGAGCCCAATAACAGGCCACCCGTGAAAACAACAACAACAACAACGACAACGACTACTACAACAACGACAACAACAACTACAACAGAGAGCCCTGTTATCGCCCCATTACCCGTCGATGATAAACCCCTTCCACCTTTGGGAACAACGCAAAGGCCGTTAATTGCTAAAGCACCGCCGATACTAAATCAGCCGACCGATGAGCGTTGCACCTTACCCGTCAATCCCAACTACGACGTTGACTTCGTCGAAGCCGGCTACCGTTTCTATTCTCTACGGGAACAGCGTTTGGAAATTAAATCTCTTCCAGTCAAAATCCGCAAACATTACGATATAGGCATCTCATTCCGAACCGAATATCCAAATGGCTTGCTCTTCTACGCGGCAGACGAGGCACACAATGACTTCATTGCTGTCTATTTGCTAGACGGCTATATTTTCCATCAGATGAGCATCGGTCCCATTAACGCAAACATCAGCAGTGAGTTCGAATTAAACGATGGCCAGTGGCATACGGTGGAGGCCGTGCGTACAAACACCAAAATAAGTCTCATTATTGATCAAAAAGAACAGAAGGATTTTGTAACTCTGGAAGAGCGGAACACACGTCCATTTATGGTACAATATCCGATCTTTGTGGGCGGCGTTGACAGATTTGTCGAGTCAGATGTGAAACGTCTTACTCATTTTGGAGGCAACACTTCCTTCTACAATGGCTGCCTCCGTGACATTAAGTTCAACAGCAAACATCTGGAGACTGAGCCGACAAATTATAATGTAGTACCATGCTCCGATCAGGTAGAAAACGGAGTCTTTTTCCATAAGCCAACTGGATATGTTAAGCTATTTGATCGCTTCTCTGTGGGAACTGAAATCGCCATTAGCTTCGACTTCCGGCCACGCGAACCAAACGGTCTACTTTTCTCCGTTCATGGAAAGAATTCCTATCTTATACTCGAACTGGTAGACAACACGTTGTTCTTCACGGTGAAGTCCGATACCAGGAGCATAATTTTCACAAACTACACATTGCCGGACAACGGCAGTTTCTGCGATGGCAAGTGGCGTAACGTCCAAGCTATCAAGTCTAAGTTCGTAATAACCATTGCGGTTGACTTCGTAAGCTCGCTCCCAGGAGTGGGCAATGAAAGCTCGGCCATGACAAAAACAAATCGACCTCTATTTATGGGCGGCCATCATGCCTTCCAAAAGGCCCCAGGCATTAAAACGAAGCAGACATTTAAGGGGTGCATCAGAAATGTTGTTATTAACAAACGTGATGTGAGAGTAACGCCGAATTTGATCTTTGGAGATATTTGGCAAGGCGTTTGCCCCCTTAACTAATGTCAAGAGCTAATCAGAAATAACAAATGAAAAATTCGCAAATGGACAAATGTCTTGATTACTTGATTTGAACTATTACTGCCAGAGTGGAACGATGACGAAAAATGATCTTAACTAAAGGATTTTCAACGAACAAATATCGAACAAATCGACTGTCGGTCATACAACTTGGAGGTCCTATTTGCAAACGGATCTACAGAAAACTACAAGTCGAAGATTTAATAGACGTAAGAATTTGTGCCAATATATAAAACGTAAAACAAAAAAAAAACTAAACTTGCAGCCATTATATTATTTCTACTTGATTTGTTATTGCTTAAATAATTGTATATGTTTCTTTGCTAAAAATAAAGTAAAATATCATTCTCCAATAAGCCAGCGACTATGAATGCCGTTTCCATTTCAAAGATAACTAGAAAATGAAAATAATTTTTAATAAACTTATTGAAAATATATATATTGCTCCCGAAAAAATCTGTCGTCGAACTTCACATTTCCAAAAATGTTAAAATTAGGCATTCGACCAAAAAACCAAGACTTATCTGTTTGCATTTTAGTGCGACAGGACAATGGTTTGAAAAACATAGAAACTAACTCGTGTCGAAGTATTCCCATATACCATACGTTTACGACATCAAGGTGACAAGTTTTGGGTCTATATACACATATGAGCACTAAACAAATCATAAGTTAGAATTTTAATTAAGAATGGTAAACCATTCGACTAACATAGAAAGGTCAATTCTAAATGGAGCACCCCTAGTTATTTGACACAAAGTTCTTGGAGAATCGTTACAGATTAAGCATCCCCCACCACGACAAGGCGAGTTCTCGGACATCGGCTTAACCATCTGACTATACTATATTAACACGCAGAACATCAAATTAATAGGTCATCCACCTCCGTTGGTACCCTATAACTTATTTGTCTACCCATATATAAACAAATGAAATCCCGCATGAAGAAGCTCTTGAAATATTCTTAAGGGTTGTCAATTTTAAACAAAACTTTTGGATCAACCATCAACCATACTCGGATTCGCCTGATTTAGAATCGTATGTCTTTCACATTTTCGGAAAAATTTAAAGATAACTATTTGTTTGCTCCTCTTAGTCCTGTTTACTTTGGAACGCACCTTATATTACACAAGAAATGAAAATAGACTTCATGTAATTTGTTATACACATTTATTTCTATTTATTTTATTAACTTTCCATTTAGTTTACACAAATATCTTCTATAGACGAAAGTTAAAAGCGCTGGCATATGCTTGAAAGTTCATTAAGAACCTCTCTAAAGTGCATCCAACTTTAAGCTGGAATTATTTCCGACACTAGACCCATATGCATGCGCTCAAATTTTTGTTTATATATATATATATGTATGTATGTATATAGGATTTGCTTGGATCTATCGTATTTAATTACATGCTTCTGTGTATATGAATATACTATAGGTAAGTTAGGTTATGCATAAATTCAATTTAAACAGATATTCGCAGAAGATAAAGTAACATTTTGTATATTAGCTGACTTTGTGGCGAATTTAAATTGAAATCGATTATAGGAGTTCTCTTATGATGTGCTAAGCATCTACAAGAGTTTGTCTACGTGGCTTATGTATGTTTGTGTGTATTTATGTGTGTGTGTGTGTGTTTGTTTGTTTGTTTGTTTGTTAGTTCCAATAAATGTTGTATTTGTATGTGTGTATGCAGACATTGGCGTACTCTCACTAAAAATGAATGCCAAAATATACAAGTACAATACATAATTTTTATACTTCATTACTTTTTCAAAAAAATAAATCAATTTTAATGGTGTACACAAAAACAGTTCGTTAGTAAAAAGTAATGTTCTGCTTTTAATTACATCAACACTAGTGTTTAAAAAAAATATATGTGTATTTTTGTTTTATATTTATATTTAAATAATCTTGATCTGTCTTCCTTCCTTCCTATAACTTTATTAATTCTTTTTCCTAATCTTGGCCTAACACTTTTAATCTTACAATGTTTGTTATGAAGATTATAAACGATCATAAAACAAAAACCTATTCTCGTAAACTAGAAATATATATATGTGTGTGTGGGTATGAGTGTTTAAACACACCTTTTAGTTATTTGTTGCTTCTTTACTGCTTAAACGTTAATCACTAAGATCACCCGAGAGAGATACAAACGCACGCGAACGCGACCGAATTCCGCGATGAATTCAGTTTAAGGTACAACGAAATCACGATTTATATTTTAATCAATTTTTTTAATTTAATTTCATTTGATTATATTTAGTTTATAATTGTTATTATATGGGACCTGGGGGCGAGAATCCCTTCATTTGTTAGTTTTTAGTATAACGCGACGCGAACGAACGAACCCGAAGTTACTTTATTATCACACGTTCCCCCATTTCGGAAAAAATGAAAGACAAACAAAAACACAGTTTGCATAATTAATACTATTACTTAGATTTTACATATACATACATATGTACTTATAGTTTTGAGTGAGTGGTTGTTTGTTCCGCGACGATTTCAAAGACTTTTGTTTCCCATTTAGTAGTAAACTTTATACCTAATTGTTAAATTTATTTCTGTACAATCATCATAAATTATTATGTATTACGCAAAAACCATCCTATACAAATAATAGCAAAGTTTTAAAATGAATAACATGTGTTCCTATACAAATTATACAATAATACTTTAAAAAGTGATCAGCCATTGGTCTTTAAGGATCGCACAAAATTAAAGATCATCATATTCATAACCAACGGAATTCTAATCTCAAATAGTTGTTTTTCTTTTTGTAATTTAAAAACGAAAAAATAAACTCATCTAATTTGTATAGCGCATATGAATATCATATCGTATATAAGTAAATTTGTATCAGTAACAGTTGGACTTATTTTTATTATTTAAATATTATTTGTTTTTTCATTTATTAGATTTTATATCCGACGCGAGCGAACGAACGAACGAGCGACGATTAAACGCGAACGCGAGACCGTAGGAACCCGAAACGCGACGACGACAACGACGACAGTTATATAAGAAAGTTATTGGGTTATTTGTGAAAAGATATAGATAATTCAATTTGTAGTCACAAAAAACAACCAAAAGTAAATAATATCTATGCATGTCTATGGATTTGAACGGAGTTTTTGTTTTACATCAGTCTTTATAGATATATATTTGTAACTTTTTGATAAAATTCTTTAGAGATTGATTTCATTTTGATTTGATTTATTTCACAAGTAGCCCAATGCTTTCTTTTTAAATCGTTGATTTCCCTTTTTTTCATATTTTATTATAATTAATTATACGCGACACGAACCGCAATATCATTTTGTTTGGCGATTTTTCATAACGTTTTCTCCTTTTTAATGTTTACAATGATTCTAACTTTACAGCATGCATAATGAAAAATGGTTTGATTTGTTTTTTATTCAACTAGGTCTGTATGTATCCTATTTAATAAGCACTGCTAATTCAACAAGTTCAACTGAATCGGTTGGTAGCTGGTTGGAATACGATTAGACATAGACATTTGATTTATAAAACCCTTTATGCGTGTATGAGACTAAGTATATTGATAGTTACTGTTTTTTTTTTCTTTTTTTTTTTTGTTAGTAAGGTAGCACTAAGAACCCGGTTAAGTACGGCCGGAACACACAGATTTGAATTTATTGCCGTTAGGGTTAGATGAGCTCAACTACAAGAAATACTTTCTGCATACACAAAGAAAAAGACATAAGATTTTATATATTCAACATATAGAGCGTAAGACCCTATACACCTACCTACAAGTGCCTGTCTATATTTTCTGATAAATACATATGTGTGTATCTATATAGTTGGAAGCAGTCAGACAAGTATTGGACAAATGGCCCTATTACAAAATCAAAGCCACGAATCTAGTAAATCCATTATCTTGCTTTCCCTTTAATATGAACGAATATATAACTTTGTATCTGGTCATCGTTTATCGATATTTATGTAATGGAGAGTAGTTTATAGATATTTTTATGTGCGTGTGTGTATGGGTATGTGTTGTGTGTGAGAGTTTGGGAGTAAGGGTTTGTTCATTATATTATTACCGACATTTTTTGTTTACTTTAGAAGCTTAAATTCAAATATGATCGTATCATTCGAATTCAATCGAACCTCATTATTTAAACATCTCTGCGTTTCTACTTAAGTTAATGAAGATACGCTTACTTGCATATTTGTAATTGTCTGGTTAAGTAAAGTGATTTAATAGTGGCTGATCTGGTATTTTGATTGCTGTGCTCTGTATGCTCTAAATGTTGTACATAGCAACCAATCGTTCAGCTAAATTCGGCGGAAATTGTTCAACAAATCGGCGCCAATTCTCCTCACCCACTTGCGTTTTGAAGCCATGGAGAATCTGTATGAAAATATGTTATATTAGCAATAAATTTAAAACCATTTCATCTGAGTTCCACACTAACCTTCTGTATCATCTGATGCAGGTCTTGTGGGGGGTTCACCCATGAGGCAATCGCATCGCAGAAGAATATAAAGTCGGGCACCACGCCAGCCGGATTTACAGTTATCATGTGGCACATGCCACGAAAAGCGGAGTCTTTCTCGTCATTGTCTCGTATGTGACGCAACGATGTGCACCTGTTTTTTGACAAATCATAAATATTAACAAATATCCCCAGATACCATTTCAAAAGGCAAACATTGAAATGTAGCGAAAAAAAAATGTTGAGAAAAAAGAATACGCAAATATAAAACTGTGTTAAAGAAAATGCATCAGTTGTGAGGAAGTAAGGAAATAATGTATGTAGTTTTGAGTGTAAGCAAAATTTAACGTTTCAGTCAGTTTAATAAAAAGGATAAATGGGGTAAGAAAATAATAAAACTAGTTTAAATTGTGTTACACACCACTGTCGTACAAAATCGGGCAAATAAGGAGCCACTTCAACTGGGCACACATAACCTAGACGACCGATTGTTATTGCTAAAAAAACAGAAAAATATAAATAAATCAACTTAATAAATTATATTACACATATTGTTGCTTTGTTTGATTGATTGATTCAATTGGATTAATTGCATACAACGAATTTAGCATACACTTATTTACGGCAAGCTAACTATCTATATATGTAAATGTGTATGTATTTGTACATGATTGTTGATTCTTGCTGCAATCGTCGACTGGCGATCGACACCTTGCAGCAATAACATAAAACAATGCACTCTGATTGACACGGTTAAATAAACAAGTATAGATATTGAGAGGAGTAAACATAATTATCGCGCTTTCACATACATCTATATGGTATTTATACGTATGTATGTACGTATATACAAATGTACACATATTCGAGAGACAGCTTATGAAAACATTGATTGCTATTATTAATATGCCAAATTATTTAATCGCTCACCTGTGTTCTCCAAAAGGGTTTTTGGTGTATTGGGCCGATTAATGATGATAAACAGGTCGTTAAGTACCAGATGTATATACTGCTTAGTTTCCTCACCTAAATAAATTTTAATCAAACATTTAATAAGTAAACATATTCCTCAAGTATCATACTACAACAGATACGAACCCAATTTCATACAGATTTCACCAATGGCCCATGTGGCATTATTGCAAACCGAAATTATATCTGGATTCAAGTTCTGACCTAGTATGGGAAAGAATTCGCCCATAAAGGGATGCACATGTGGGAAGCAAGCCTTGGTCAGGTCTCCAAGCAGCGCAAAGGAAGATTGGCGCACCTATTAAGAACCAACAATAAACAAATTTATTAACATTATCAAAGTTTTAAGCTACAATATGTTGCCATACCTCGGTCTGCACATCCTGCATGCACTGATAGAGCAAATGCATGATGTTGCTGTTTGCCACCAAGGTTTCGATATGGCGATCCAAGCCCTCAGCTAAACCAGACAGCAAGTCTAATGCGACAATCATGCGCTCCTTGTCCGGGTGCTCGAACGTCTGGTTTTGTTTGCACAACTACAACGAAATCACATTGTTATTTCGCAATTCAATATGCTAATATAGCACTTACCATTTCCTGATTAATTGTTTGCTCTATTAACGATATACATCTTCTATAGACTGGGTCACAATAGGGAAGAAAGCCCGACTGCAGGGCAGTGGCAATGCTAGACAGACATTCCAATAGAGGGAACAAATCTTTGTCATCGTCTTTAAGCAAGTTCCATTTATCAATAAGCGGTGGCATCAAAATGTCAATGTACTGCGGCTTGTTTAAATGATGGCCCACAGAATCAGCAAGCGTGCCCACAGCATCGTACAAAATCAATAGATTCTTATGCTGATACTTCGAGAAGGCAAACACCAGTGTCTTTAATATGTACTCCAAGTATGGTACCAGCTCGGTACAAGCTTCTTCTTCGAGCGTTGCAAATGAGGAGCAGGCAGCCTCCTGCACTCGCTTATTCGAGTCCAGAATGCGTTTCAGCATCTCCTCCATCAGTGGCTTCAAGTATTGATCATGCGGCTGATTGACCACCCAATTGGCGTAGCGAGAAAGCGTCCAACAAGTGATCGAGCGTACCAGCGCTTTTTTGTCCGATAGGCAACTAATCAAATATGGTATCAATTCCGGCAAATGTTGAATCATGCCCTGCATGCAGCCCTCGGCAATGGCACCTAACGCAAGTACACCACTCTCCTTAATCACCCATTCTTGATGGAACAGCGTGTCCTTCAATATAGGCAACACAATTGGCAAGCAATCCTCATGGAATACATTAGCCAACACATCCAAAGCGGCAGCACTACATTTGCGTAAATTCCATTCAGATAGCGAACTATCATCGTCCAGACCATCATCGAAATCCTCATCCTCGTCATCGCCGGCCGCTTGGCTGGTGTCGCCCGACTTCACAGTATGTGTGCGCGATTTGTGAAAACGTGGACGTATGTCCTCCTCGCGATCTGGCACCATATCGTCCTCCTCCACATTTCCCTTCAAGAGTATTATATCAATCTCGGAATATCTCATGCCGCGCACCAACACAGGCGCTAATTGGGGCAAATATGGCGCAAGCACATCTTTGCAAATGCTTTGTTCCGCCAACGAAAGCCAAAACTCAGAGGCCTCCAGCGCAACGCCTTCGTCTGAATCCTGTGTTCGTAGCAGCATATACTACAGAAAAATAACAATAAATTGTTAATGTATTATAAAATGCAATGAAATTAAACAACCCACCTCAATGATTTGCGACATATGCGGCATAAGTCTGTCCATTCGCACCTCGAGCAACATGACCAAGCCATGGCAAACATTTTTGCGCACCTCGTGATCTTCGTCAGATGACAAGTTAAATAAATTCTCAATGAACGTATCTATGTGAAGCATCAACGCCTGTGAGCGATTAATAATGAACTGATTGATGCAGGCGATGGCATGGGAGCGGATTTTGGGGCTGCTGTGCTTAAAGTATTGCAAGAATTTAGGTATCATCACGTTCAACGGTCTGTTAAGTGCCGCTGAATCGAGGATTTCGGCCGAATCCTCGCAGATTTTTTGCAATGCACTAAACGCACCCTCACAGACATTAAAGTCCTGGGCATCAAGCATGTCACACAACGATGGTAATAATTGTGGCCAATTGTGAAGGCCGCCATTGCTGGCAATAGTTGTGATTAATATGCCCACAGTTGCTCGGATCAAAGGAGAGGCATCGCCTAACGCCTGTAGACACTCGTGCTTTATATATTCAACAATCTCCGGTTGCAAACTGCTACCATGCATACGTATGTTATTTTTTAATATGAGACCGCTTAATGAACGTGTGGGCTCGTCTTCTGTTTTCAGTTTAGTCAGCACGTAGATCAAATAGTTGTTGAAGTCTGGGTATCGATTAAATTCCTCCAGTTTCTAGAGTGGGGAAAAACGAGAAGTTTAAATTACCACATATATAAAATTCTGTTTATTTACACTTACCATTTGCACAGCCATTTGAGTAGCTGTGTCTGGTGACTGAGACTCCTTTAAAATCGCAATGATCTGTTGGAGACCTTCTGCCTGTGGTTCCCACGTCATTTTGCTGTCTTTTCCTTTTCCTGTGTCCTATCTTCAATATATGTATTTATATAGTTGCTGTCGGGTAAGTAAATACAGAGATTAAGTGGAGTTCTCTAATCACTTGCTGTCCACGGACACCAATATTCCATAAATTATCTGGGCTCTGATTGCACCTACAAGTTGAATGCCCTCTTAAAGGGTAGCACGGCACGTTTGTTCGAGGCCATCTCTACACACATACACACATAGTTACACATGCACACACACCCACATACACCACCGTGCCTGTATCCATCTTCATATGTAATAGACAAATACACATTAATTGCAAATGCAATAATATGATAATTTTACGTTTGTAACTCCTTCTATGGGCACTCTTTATATTGAATTAGGACGACGATGAATCAGACGATATCTGGGAATTGAGCATTCAACCAGCCGCCCGACACACCGCCATGACTTTTCGCAACCCCACTCTTTATATTCTTATAAAATCAATTTTATCGCGAAACTGCATTCACCTGTTGCAGCGAACACTTACCCTTCACAGTGCGTAGTGTGCTTTAAAACTATTTCAAGTCGACTTGAAATTATCCGCAATTTTCCTTAATTTTCACCCGTTTTCGCAAGTGATGAGTGGAAACTTTCAATGAATGCTTGTTATCGCTTTATTCCTTGTGCTGAAAATTGGCTGCGTTCAGCAGCAAAAAACTATCGATTTTATTTTCGTTCTATACATACGCACATTCTGCATTTAATACGAAGGGTTAGAAATAATTTGGACTTCTTTTGTGGGGATAATCCTATAAATGTAGCCACTAGTATACATAATAAATATGTTTAGTTGTCAATCCAAACGTACATCGATATTTCTTTCAACACGCCATTCGATATTTTGACAGTACATGCATGCGCTCCCATCTCTATATTGAATATTGTTTGGTTTGGGAGAAGCAGATAAACGCAGACACATTAATTTTAAACAAAGGAGCACGTTTCAGGACATTCATCCCGCGAACAAACAAAGTATACAGCAGACGGTCAAGTGAAAGTACTTGAACTGCTCGCATTCTAACAGCAGCTGTGGCCAAAGCCAGACATGAACAAGCGCAATAACGTGAGTGGTAGTCGAACAAAATTATATTTCAGACTAATTAGCATAAAAATAACGTTTACAGATCCGTTTGCCACCTGAGGTGAACCGACTCTTGTATGTGCGCAATTTGCCATACAAAATAACATCAGACGAAATGTACGACATATTTGGCAAGTTTGGTGCAATTCGCCAAATACGAGTGTAAGTTCTAATTGTTACCTGTATATTTACATATGTACATACGTAGTACGTATATACAAGTATTTCTGTGTAATTGTTAACCATATGCTTTATTTTTCCCCACCGACAGTGGTAATACACCAGAGACCCGTGGCACCGCCTTTGTTGTCTACGAGGATATTTTCGATGCCAAAAACGCTTGCGACCATTTATCCGGATTTAATGTGTGTAATCGCTATTTGGTTGTTCTCTATTATCAATCAAACAAAGCGTTTAAGCGTGTTGATGTCGACAAGAAGCAAGAAGAGCTCAACAATATTAAGTCCAAATACAATTTAAAAACTCCGGAGGCACCTTGAATGCCGCCAACGGGAAACGTTCATTGCACTTTCTTCGTAGTTTTAAACAAAAATTTTTTAAAATCAAATTTAAAAACTTCTTGCTATGTTAAAACGCAATTTATGCAATATCTTGCTAAGTGTAAACTTTTTATATACCCTTTTCGAATTATCATCATCATCTTTGCAATCATGTAGCATAATTTCATAAATCATCACAGGTCGTTTGGAAATCAAATCATCATTTCGTCCACGCGACCTATCATTAAACACATAAACTCATCAAAATATAACAAGCAAGTTGAAAAAAATTTCTGATTTCTCCTAAGTCAATTTATTTGAGGTTTTCTAGTTCTATGAACTCTATATTTTACAGGTAGCTACTTTCTTTAACAGTCATAGATGTGATACAGCATATGATTTTCCAGGATTTCAAACGCCATTGGGAACTATAAAGCTTGCCTTGCATTAAGCTTTGAATCCATTCAAGTACTTATTTCCTACCTCCATGTGATGTCTTTTCCTCTGGCACCTTTTAAGGATGTTCATTAGGCTCGGATGACGCTGACGCCGCTGCCTGGTTCTGATATTGCTCGTAGGTGTTCTGATTTTTCTCAAGAGCTCTCTGCTTGGCCATATCCTCCAATTGCTCTTTGGCCGCTTCAGCGATTTCTTTTCGGCGCTCTTCGACTTTACGTTTTCTTTCGCTTTTCGCAAGTTCCCTTTCCCGATCTTTCTCGGTTATTCCTTTGGGGGGTTTCGGTGGTTTTGGTGGCTTTTCATCGTGCACCTTTTGATGCCGTATGAGAGCTGCCTCCTGTCTAAAATTGGTACCACATTCCTTGCAGGCATATGGCTTCTCACCTGTGTGAATCCATTCGTGTTGCTTTAGAGATTGCGAATTAGCAAAGCGCCGTGAACAAAAGCGGCATTCGAAATCTTTGACTTTCTCATGCACACTCTTGTAATGGCGCTTCATATTTCCCAAATTATTGAAGCCCTGATTGCAGTCTGGACACATGTGCATGCCCTCCTTTTGAACAAACTTAACCGGCGAGGGCGCAATGGCCGAGGGGACAGACACCGATGGTATAGGATTTACCACAGTGCCAGCCAATTCAGATATATCGACGCGTTGTACGCGACGAGGATCTTTCGGTATGGTCGCCACGGATTCGGCACACACCTTCAAAAGTTGATCGGCCGCATTCGCATCGACATTACTGCTATTTGCTTCATTCGAAGTCATTTCAACGGATACCCCAGAAAGCTCCACTTGCCGTTGACGATACGTCTCTATGGCCCGTTCCACACTTTTCTCATGTATCTTTAGATGCTTTGTCAGGCTCTCAGTATAGAGAAATTTTTTGCCACACACCTTGCACTCGCAGCGTTTCTCACCGGTGTGGGTCATCTCATGAATTTTGCAGGCATGTGATTTCCCAAATGTTTTCCCACAATACTGGCAGGCATAATTTCTAACTTTTTCGTGCACTATTTTTATGTGATTGTCCAATGCACGCTTCGTGTGCGTGGCGTGCTCGCAAAGCTGGCACTTGAACATTTTCTCCTGGGTATGCGTTAAGATGTGTTTGCTCCACTCCTGGCGTGTGGTCTTGCCCACTCCGCAATAGTGACACACGTAGTTCTTGATGCCGGCATGACGCAAAAGGTGATTCTTTAAAGCGCTGTTTATGTGGAAGCCCTTGCCGCAGATATTACAAGGATACGGCAGTTCTTGGCCAGTGTGCTTGTACATGTGCTTTTTTAAAGCCACAGGACAACGAAAGAGAACGCCGCATTCACTACAGGACTGGGAAACGCGGGGAGCATTGGTACGGATCAAATTGTGAACCTTTTTAAGATGAATGGTCAGCAATCGAACGCGTGGGAATAACAACTTACAGTCCTCTACAGTGCACGGAATTTCCTCACTACTTTTCGTATGCGCATAATCCACATGAAGCCGTAATGCGGCCGCAGTTGTGAATCCCTTTTTACACGCTTCCATTGTGCACTGGTACGGCAGGAGATCATTGTGATGTTTCATATGCTCTTCATATTTAAATTGCTTCTTGAATTTCTGCTGACAAATTTGACAAGTTATAATTCGATGCAGGTGGCGCTCTACGGCGGGAATGCGTTTCCGTTTAGGTTTTCTGTTTGGCTCATCCAGCGTTGAACTTGATTCATTGTCGAAATTACTGAAAGCCAATCGCTGAGCCAATGGCATATCGTCCTCACTGTCGCTATTCGGCGAGGATGCATCGCTAAAAACTTTCTTTTCTTTAAGCCCACCCACAATATCACGTTCCACCAGCTGAGCTTCTTTGTTGACATGCTCCAGCATTTTGAAAACTTCTTCCTCGTTTACAATCAGCTCCGCCTTGTGGTTAAGCAGCGGATCATAGCTGTTGTGTTCATCTTTATCCAGCTCCGCCTGGGTGTTCGCCACGGGTTCAAAGACCGTGCTGACAACAACTCTGTTGTTGGCCACCATATCTCTAAAGAGTTTTACAGATTGAACGCAAATCTTATGAAAATCATACATTTCATTAAGCCGGCTATAACAGTTACTACACAAATTCCTGGGGAAACCGTCCTGCGACTCCACAGGCAATGAGGTAAAACTTGTAAGCTTCTTGGCTAGATCGGGCACCAAAAACAGATCGTAAACAGTGCTGGCCTCCAAGTGCAGAAGGCAAATTCGGCAAATGGAGTCTACAGAGTATGGAATCTCTGTGCTCATGTCCGTAAATAAAAATTTAGCCTTTAACAATAACAAAATGATTACAAGTTTACGCGTTTCTAGAGACGTCGCAGTTCAGTTCGAGTACTTCGTACAAGTACTCAACTGTCGGTACCATCTCTAGTAACTGGTAATCGTTTGGATGTTGTTTTATTGGTACTCGTCTTTTATGAGAACTCGTTCTTTTCTGCGACAGAAATTAATTATTTTTTAACACACAAAGCATTGTTTTAAAACTAAAAGGTGTGAATTAATTGTTAACGCAAGATGGACGGGAGTCAATACTCCATTCATTCAATATGCCGCATTTGTTTAAACCACCTGCAAAACGATGCTACATACGACCTCTTCTTGATTCCGGGCTTGGCCAAAAAGCTGTGTATGTGCACGTCACTGTCGGTGGAGCAGCAGGATGGCTTTCCGAAGAACCTCTGCACCAGTTGCTACACCAGGCTGAACGACATGCATGACTTTCAGAAACTGTGCGCGGACTCGGTACAGAAATTTCAAGATCTGGTTGCTAAAAATACTTTTACCTGCAACTTTGACGTCCTAGACCCAAGTGCGTCTCAGGATGGAGATTTGGCAGGCGACGATGAGGACCGATTAAACTACGACCCACTACTAAATCATAAAATGGAATTGATCGAGAATGAGGAGGATGTTTTTAAAATGCTGGAGGACGTCGACAAGGAAGCCGAGGAAGTAGAAAAGGAGGTCAAGAACGTTGAGGTGGCACCGATTGAGACGAAAATGTTTGACGATTACTCCTCATATGAAAGTGGCAACGACAATGATCGCGATGTTGATTTTGAGCCGGACAGCAGTGATGATGATGTGCCATTGGCGCAGCGCCTTCGAGACAAAGCGATGGGCTCACAAAAGTCGAAGTCTAAAAAGAAAGATGTATTCGATGACGACAGCGATAGTTCTAGCTCAGAATCGGATAGCACAATAAATGGTGGACCCAAAGAGAAACCAAAGCGTAAGCGTATTCCAGCAGCAGAGCGCCACTTGCATCGCATCATCGAGTGCCACATTTGTCATCAAAAGTTCAAGAAAGCAATACGATATGAGGAGCACATGAAGTACCACAACGATCTGCTGCCATTTCAATGCAAAGTGGAAACTTGTAAGAAGGGTTTCACAACCGCCGGCGGCCTCCGCCTGCATGTTGATCATGCACATACTGAACTCTCCGAGGTCCATCCCTGTACTGTTGAAGGTTGTGACAAGACATTCCCCCGCATCCGTTTGCTGACTTTCCACATGAAGAAGGTGCACAACATATCGAAGGCATCCGCGCCACCAAGAGACTACCCCTGCACCGAATGTCAAACAGTTTTCCGCTGTCCTACAGCACTAAAGAAGCACATGTACAAGCACGATGGCAAGGAGCTACCATTCCCATGTAATATCTGCGGCAAACGGTTCGTTATTAACAGCGCTCTAAGGGATCATTTGATGCGGCACGCCGGTATCAAGAACCATGTCTGTCCGTACTGTGGCGTAGGCAAGACCACACGCCAGGAATGGAATGCTCATATTTTGACGCATACCCAGGAGAAAAAATTCAAATGTACCATTTGCGATCATGCTTCTCACAATCGCCAGAGCTTGGCCAACCACATAAAGGTAGTACATCAGAAAATCAAAAATTATTCCTGCCAATATTGTGGCAAACCTTTTGGCAAGTCGTATGCCTGCAAAATACACGAAAGAAGCCACACTGGCGAGAAATGTTCCGAGTGCAAGATCTGTGGTAGGGTTTTCCTATGCGCCAAGAGTTTGACAAAACATTTGAAGACACACGAAAAGCGTGATTTGCCACCACCGGAAACGCTTGTTAATCAGCCGCTAGATCCGACAATTGCTGCTCCAGGAAATATGGGAGGCACTGAGTCGACAATGGTACCAAATGTTGCAAATGAATTGTTCAACATATGCGGGGAACCTATGCCACCTCTACCTACGGCTGCAGAAGCAAAACAGAAGAAATCACGCCGTGTTCAACGTGTCGATATATCTCAACTGGCGGGCACAGCGGTTAATCCCATACCATCAGTGTCTGTACCGTCTTGGCCTCAAAACAACTTCACAAAGAAAGAGGGCCAACACATGTGTCCCGGATGTGGACGAGGCTTCAATAACTTGGGTAACATGAAGCTACACTACAAAATTATTCATCAAAAGGTCAAAGATTTCGCATGTCGCTTTTGCCCGAAGAGATTCTCTAAAGCACAAATATTACGACATCATGAATGGATCCACACTGGCGAAAAGCCATTCGAATGCAAAACTTGCGGCAAACATTTCCGACAGGAGACAGCTTTAAAGAAGCACTACCAAACACATGAGAAGGGTACAACAAGACGTAGAGTAAGTGCAGAAAAGACTAAGGAGAACTATCATGCTCGCCAAAAAACGCAACGCGCTGAACCGGCCGTCATCAATCCAGAATACCAGGACCCAGCCGCCGAACGAGCTGCTGCTTCAGCAGAATTGCAAGAATTGCAGATGGAGGAGAACGCGGCCAAGCGCAAGGCAGATGAAGAACGGCGTAAGATTCAGGAAGCCGCCTATGAACAGTTGCAGAAACTGCAGAAACAACAGGAAATTGAGAAGGCGCAATCGTCCTATGACGGTTACTTTGCCCAAAAAGTCCAGGCCGATGGAACCAGCATCGATGCTTTCAAACTGGACCATGTCTAAATTGATCACTGCAAGGGGCTTTCCAACGTATATGCATAAGTAAGACTTTAACTTTCTTTTCAAGCTTCAGTACATCATATTTGTTCTCAATAGAAACAAACAAAGAACTACCAGGTACGCGCGCCTATACAAATACACAAAAACTTTCTGACGTAAGATGGATGCTCTTTGTTGCCTATCAATAGGTAATCAGGGATATTGAAGCATAACAGGCGTTACGCCCAACTCGACAGCCTAATGAATAGCGCCGTCGTGAAGCCACCACCTAATTCTTTGTTCTATTCTCAATCGGGTCTGGTCCAGTTTCGCTTGCGAATTGATAAATAAATCTCTTATTTGAAAAATCATAACGTAAAATATAGCTTTATATTTCTCATTTCACAAAATAACTTTCGATTATAAAATACATTTTAAAATTATTATTTGTGCATTACCCCCCATTGGAAAAGAAAAATTTTGGTACTAAAATATAAGCATTTTAATATAAAATCAAGCGACTTGAATGCGCTTAAGAATTGGAAAACTCAGAGCAGATCCGAATGCGATATTAAAAAAAAAGAAGACCAGCAACTGCTTTTAAGCTGATTTATATTACACAATATATTGTACATTGAAGAAAAAATAACTGAATGTATTAGTGTGTAATTTTATTATATAATTATTCACATCGATGGTTATGGTGTTATCTATGTATATTGCACCAAGTTTTTACTATTCCCATTTTGTAATATTATACTAAACTGAACACTTGAAGTACTATTGCTAAAATTGTCGCTCAAATTTCGCGAATTGCAACATTTAAGCAACTACCGCAGAGCAGATCCCAGTTTAAAATTACTATCTAAAGTTTATAGCTTCATTGTGCCGGAATTTCGGTTGGGGTTCAAGTGATTAGTTTAGTCTAATGTCATGTGGGTCTACGTAGCATGCCATTTATTGAACATCGTTTCTATGGCAGCTAGATATAAGATGTAGTTCATTAAACTTTGACACATAAATTAATTGCCTGTTCTTTAAGCAATGGGATTTTTAAATAAAATATTATTAATAAAACCCTTAAATTAGTGTGGTATGCAAGACTCTTTTTAATTACCATGGGGTAACGCAAAAATACATATAAATCCAGACGAGAAGGAGATATTCACCTCTCTTGGCAGTTTTTTTTTAGCAGGGATGACTTCAAACACCAATTCGTTTTTAAATTTATTACGCAGAATCGCGGCTGAAAACTCTTATATTTTACATTTTCTCCTAGTTTGGGGTTCCTACGAGCCAACATTTATATATGTCTAGACATGTACGAATTATGAAACAGCATTGCTAAAAAGAACGATATAATAAAAAATAAAGAAATTATAAAATTGTTTTCTGGTCCTTAAAAAAAAAACTTATGAGAGCGTACGGTAGCAGACAAATATATGCATCTATAGTATTTATATATTACATTTAGAGGCGGGCTCATGGTCGCGCTGAAAGCCATGTTTTGATAACACGAGGGGTGTTTCTTCTGTATGTATGTTAAGTCTTGTTTGTTTATTTTGAAACTTCTAGAGATGGAAGCTGTTGGTAATTGTGCAAGCTAGGGATGGAACCTACACACAAGAAGAGAATGCGATGAACTAGCCGGCATTGCTCTATTAACACCTAAGAAGGGCCTCTGGGCTATGGCCGGGCCCAAAACTTGTCTTGGTTTTTTTTTTATTCCGAAAAACGTCAAAGTTCAATGCTATGTGTTTAAACTATTATTTAGTATTATTTTGTATCCCCCTTCAGCTTATAAGAATAAAGCTATGAGTTAGTTAGTTCTTTATTGAAGCACATTTGTTTTTGATTAGAGATGTGAATGACTAGCGATAGAGTAGGTAGTAATCGGCTTATAGTACTCGTTCTTTTTTCTCTGACGCGTATTACTTTTCCCTGATTGGGCTATTTGTTTCGAAATTGTATTTTAATAAACATTGATCCCGCAACATGAACGTGGGGAGTGCATACTCCATACACACGGTGTGTCGCATTTGTTTAAAGTACCTGCAAAACGATGCTGCGTACGACCTCTTTTTGGTTCCTGGACTGGCGAAAAAACTCTGTGTGTGCACGTCGTTGTCAGTCGAGCAGCAAGACGGATTTCCAAAAAATTTATGCTCCAATTGTTACACCAGGTTGAACGACATGCACGATTTTCAGAAACTTTGCGTCGATTCTGTGCAGAAGTTTCAAGAAATGGTCGCAAGCAATGTATTCACTTGTCAAGTTAGCAGCTTCGATGTCATGGACCCGGTTGTAGCTAATGAGGCAGAATTGGCGGCCGAAGATGAGGATCGAATTAACTACGATCCCCTGCTTAACCATAAAATGGAGTTAATTGAAAATGAGGAGGATGTATTCAAGATGTTGGAACATGTAGATAAAGAGGCCGAGGACGTGCTTAACGAAGTCAAGCATGATGAGGCAGCATTTGAAATCAAAATATTCGACAACGAACAGTCCTCTTTTGAAAGTGACAATGACAATGACAACGATGTGGATTTTGAGCCCAACAGTAGTGATGACGATATGCCGCTGGCGCAACGCCTACGGGGCTCTAAGCCCAAAGGTGCATCCAAGACAAAATCCAAGCAAAAAGTTCCTGATGATGATAATGATTTTAGCTCCGAGTCCGATGACGATGAGGACGATGATGACAAAGAAAGACCAAAGCGCAAACGCATTCCGGCGGCTGAGCGCCACTTGCATCGTATCATTGATTGCCACATTTGTCATCAGAAATTCAAAAAAGCTATTAGATATGAGGAGCACATGAAACATCACAATGATTTGCTGCCGTTTCAGTGTAAGGTGGAAACGTGTAGAAAAGGTTTTACAACTGCCGGTGGGCTGCGCCTTCACGTTGACCATGCGCACACGGAACTATCCGAGGTGCATGCTTGCAATGTTGAAGGATGCGGCAAGACATTCCCCCGCATTCGCCTGTTGACTTTCCACATGAAGAAGGTGCACAACATATCGAAGGCATCGGCGCCACCAAGGGATTACCCCTGCACCGAATGCGAAAAGGTTTTCCGTTGCCCCATGGCCTTAAAAAAGCACATGTACAAGCACGATGGCAAGGAGCTACCATTTCCATGCAACATCTGCGGTAAACGATTCGTTATTAACAGCGCTCTTAAGGATCACCTTATGCGACATGCCGGTATTAAAAACTATGTATGTCCCTACTGCGGTGTGGGCAAGACCACTCGTCAAGAATGGAACACACACATCCTTACCCACACCCAGGAGAAGAAGTTCAAATGCCATATCTGTGAGCATGCTTCGCACAATAAACAGAGTCTGGCCAATCACATTAAGATCGTTCACGAAAAGATCAAGAACTACGCTTGCCAATACTGTGGCAAAACATTTGGCAAGTCACATGCTTGTAAGATCCATGAGATGACGCATACAGGCGAGAAGCGTTGCGAATGCAAGGTGTGTGGCAAGAAATTCCTTTATCCAAAGAGTTTAACAAAACACTTGAAGACGCACGAGAAACGCGTTCTTCGTGCTATTGAAACTTACCGGCAGCGGCAAGTGGAGCTTGGCGAAGGCTCCACCGAGCAGGCAGACAATCCACCGGAAGGTATACCTGCCAGTGTAGAGACTGAAGGTCTCTCTCAAAATGCCGCAGATGAGTTGCTTAAGGTTTGCGCCGAGTCTGTGGCTACAATACCAAAAGATCCTCGTCGAGTACAACGTGTTGACATCTCTCAATTGGCGGGCACCGCTGTAAATCCCATACCCTCAGTATCGGTCCCATCCTGGTCACCACAAGTGAACTTTACCAAAAAGGAGGGTAAACATATTTGTCCCGGCTGTGGCCAAGGCTTCAACAACATCGGCAACATGAAACGTCACTACAAAATCATACATGAAAAGGTCAAGGACTTCGCCTGCCGCTTTTGTCCCAAACGCTTTGCAAAAGCACAAACGCTTCGACATCACGAATGGATACACACTGGCGAAAAACCGTTTGAGTGTAAGACATGCGGCACGCATTTCCGTCAGGAGACAGCGCTCAAGCGGCATCAAAGGACGCACGAGAACAGGCCGCCTGTCATCTCATCCAAGTTCTACGCCGCCCGCGAAGAGTTGGAGGAGCAAGAGCGCAGAAAACGGGAGGCTAGACGCAAAGCAGACGCGAAGCGAAAGGAAATTGCGGAAGCGGCAAAAGAGCAATTACAGACGCTGCACAAAATCGAAGCAACGGACAAGAATTTGCACTCTTATGATGAGTACCAGGAAGCAGCCGCAGAGCGGGCAGCCGCCTCTGCAGAATTGCAGGCTCAACAGTTTGAAGAGAACGAGATAAAGCGCAAAGCGGAGGAAGAACGCCGGAAGGTTCAAGAGGCTGCCTACGAGCAGTTACAAATACTGCAACAGCAACAGGAAATCGAGAAAGCTCAAAGCTCCTACGATGGGTACTTTGCTCAAAAAGCGCACGCTGATGGAACCAGCCTCGATGCCCTCAAAATAGACCATGTGTGAATCTTGCGAGTCAAGCTCTGACAATTATTAAGTCTAATTTAATATTTCTGTTTGTGCGATAAGGGTTCTATGGGTAGTGGATGAGGAAAGCAAGCAACGCTTTTTTAAAGCAATACTTTATATACATAAATGATATTCTCTCAATCGCATCGGCTGGGTACGCGGTCGAATCTCGCACACTAACAACATGGCTGGGGTACATTAGAATTCAACTGCAATAGGCCACCATTGGTATATGCCACCCAGTTAATTCCCGGAATTATTTGAAAGAAAAAGATCTTACATTTGTACAGTTTGCGCTGCCTATGCGTTTAAGAGAATTATCATTATAATTCTTAAGAGATACAAAAAAATCTATGGATATGATATACACACTAAGTAATAAATATACTTAAGCATAAAGTGCATAATATATATATGTTAACAAAATAACAAATATAGTATACATACAAACACTTCAATTTGTTTAGAGTACTTCACACTTGTTCTGGTAATGCTTAAAATGTTCCGCTAAGACTAAATTAGTGAATCAGTTGAGGGCACATGTGAATTGAAGGTTCGGAGCCCAAATCTTTAATTAATTTGATAGCTTTTAGATATCATGTAGGCTGTGATTCTTTTGTTAGATCTGTGGGTATAGTAACAAACTTTCCACTTCCAATTTGATTTCATATCTTCCTAGACCAAAACATGAAGAAAGAAATTTAGAAGTTGCACAGGACAATATTATCTATAGTAATATGACTATAGCGATTGTTCTCATAATTTCTGTAATATTACATTGGATTTACCACCCCTCCTTCTATTCTAACACCACATATCTTTTGCAACGATTTACAAGATACATATGTATGTATAATGGCCTAAGCCATTTGCTGTCTTTTCTTTTGGATATATAGATCAGCGATGGGCACGTAGTGGCTCTTTGGGCTTCCAGGGATCTTTCCGTTATGTTTTAGTAAGTGGCGCCAGCCAGGCGCACAAGCAAAAGATCGAGCGCGAAAATACATGTAGTTGTCGCCAGCCAGACACACAAGCAGATTGATGCAAAAACAAAATACACATAGTTCCTGTGTCGTTGCTCGATTTTCAGTAGCATTTATTCAGAAGTCTAGCGGTAATTTTTGTTGTAGGGATCTCGATTTGAAATTTCGTACCCACCGCTGATATAGATCGTGAAATATGATATGATAATCGAGCGTTCTTACAATAGAAATATACCATTGTAATGGTATTTTCCATAGGTTTCGATTCGTAATTAATTCTTCTTAATTCGTTGTAAATAAATATTATCACAAGAAGATCATTTTGAAGTGTTTGAGAGCGGTGAGGTGCGGGCAGGCTATTTTCGTGGAGTATTCGGAAGTTTTGACTTCTTAAGCTATGGGTAGTGATGAATGATCAATAGAGGTGGAAATTTGAAAAATTAATTGGCACTTACTCAAAACTATTTGTTTTCTTTAAGTTTGAACAGCTCCTTTAGGCTTTCAAGTGTCATATTCTCCAAGTCCCAGTGCGTAGATAAAGTCTTATTGTCATCGGCCGAAGCAATCAGCGACAGAATATTTTCTTCTATTGTACCATTAACGATAAAGCGATGGACAGTTGTGGGCCTGTTTAAAATACATTTATATACATAAAAATCAATTCACTCTATATTTTAAAATATATTTCTTAGATTACATAAATATCTCAAAAGGTAACACTTTTGACACATCAATTTAGATCATATTCCATCAGATTAGTATCTGTAATTCGATGGAGTTACTTCAGCTATGATTGAATATATTAATAAACCAAATGTGGTTCATTCCTAGTAGCAGCTTTATGCCTTAATATATAATTACAATATTTAGAGGGCGCAGGAAATAGTAAATGTTATTTATTAGATTGATAGTGCCAGATAACTTTTAACTTACTTTGTCTGACCAAACCGATGAACGCGTCCAATCGCTTGCAATTCTTCGCCTGGATTCAGAATGGGCTCGACTAGAAAGACATGCGTCGCCTCAATTAGATTCAATCCTTTCGAGCCACGAGAGAGAGGCATCAGCAAGCAAGTAATATTACGGTTGGCATCCTATAACAAAACGACTAGGACTTCGAATCAAACGAATACAAAATCGTAATATTTAAAAACAAACCTTAAATTCTTCAATATCGCGATTCGTACATTTGTTGCGATATTCGACATCATTTTGGCCCAAGGCCTGCGCAATGTGCTTAAGGATAGATTGCCATTGTGAGAATATTAATATTTTTGCTTTATTTTCCTCGGAACTGTCTGCCTTCAGACTTAACACCTTTCTCACAATATATGCTATTTTACTCGAAAAATTTCCTGCCAGAGCCTTTGTTTTAGCCGACCGCGCCGCGTAATAAATTCTGTAATATGTCAAAAGAGAGATTGTGGAGAGTTCCAAATATTTTGATTGTAATAACATACTGTGGAGACTCCTGGCGACATATTGGACATTTACTTATGGTTTCCTTAGATGACATCCTCATTTTATCTAGACAATGTTGGCATATAAAGTGACCGCAGACAAGCACAACGTACTGAAACATGTAAAATATTAAACGGCTTGTACAGGCTTGGAGTTAATGGTCTGAAGGGTTTTTACTTACACGATCATCATCCTGAGTCTGACAAATGGGACAGACTTTGTCATTGGTGTCCTCTTTTAAATGCTTCAAATATTTGAGACGTCCAGCTAAACGGGTAAAATTTAATTGAGCTTCGTTTACATTTGCTAAATTGTTCTCCATCAGTTCATCCAACTGAATTTAAATGGGAATAATTATTGTTAGTGATGTATTTAACTGCCTTTTAAAAGAATCAAGAATAATGTTGTTAAATAGGCAAAAACATATCTATACTACAACGTATTTCTTTAGAAGTTTCAACGCATATTAATGAAATTACATAAATTTGTGTGCAAACTTGTTGTTTAAAGATACCTGACACTCCAAAACTCGATAGTTAGACTGTTCATCCGGATTGTCAGTTAGCAAAATGCGCATTTTACACATTTCCAGCTCATCGAATGCCTTCACCACATACTCAACTTCGATCCAGTACTTAATCTGAAGTTTGCTAAGATTTTGTAAACAATTCAGTGTCTCCAATTTATTGCTGCACTCCGTTTGCCATGTGTGGAACTCAGTTTTCGAGCGTATAAACATTAAGATTACTGTAAAAGACAAAGCTTTTGATTAACAAACATAAAGATTACTAAACTGGCTTATAAACACCTTTGATGAGAGTCATCTCAACACTGGGCTTTTCCACACCATCTGTTACAGTGGCCTCCTTTTCCAGCTCTTTGTCAAATAACAGGCACTCAAACTGATTGATCTGATCCCTAATCGTGCACAAACGACACCGCTTTTTCTTTGGTTTTTCATTTGTCATTTTGGGATTGTCTTCCTATAAAAAAAATTAAAGATAATTTTTAGCTTTGATCTGAAAATTGTATTCTACATGCACTTACCAGAATATCTGCCAAGTGGCAATCAGAGATACTACTAATGAAATTTGTCACTTCCAATGACAAACTATCTCCTTTCTCTACGGCTCCACAAGCCGTGCTCATTATGCTGCTTAGATCCTGGAATTCCTTGCGCAGTTTGTTTTTGAGCTTTAGCAGTTTTTGGTACCATGTATCTATGATATATATTATGCCTGACATTGATGAAACATTTTGCAGTTTCTCGGTCGAAACATTCTGACGAATAAATACATCGAGGGTCCTATTCCATAAAGCATCGTGAAATGCCGTACTTTCTGTAATCAGTGTAGCTAACAACTCAATAATATTGGCGGAGAATTCTTGCTCTAAGCGCTCCAAGTCCTCAAGTTTTGTCTCATACGCTCCTCCGGCTGACCTCAACACTTTCGTATTATCCTCGAGATATTTCCATTCCAACTTTTTCAAGTGCGTTTGGTATTTTTCCAACTCCTCATCTTTCATTCCTTCTTGGGTGGGAGCCAAGTTAGTGGCCTGTATTATGTTATGGAGTGCATGTATTTGGAGCACACTGTCCACGCTGTAAGCAACAAGAAGATAGACTTTATTTTTAAACCATATTATAGACATAGCAGTAAATTTCATTATTTAAAATCTAATTAGGATATCCCACTTTTAATTAATATATCTTTCTACGCAGATAGATGCATAGATTTGTGGTTGGGGAGATGGTTTCTGAGGTTATATATAAAATGAGCAGTGAAAATGGAAGACAGTAAGGATGTAAAGGCACATCTGCGTGCAGTCCTACTGGAAGTGGGTGTGAAGTTCAGTTGTGTTTATCAGAAATATCTTTGCTGCTACAACAAATATTTTTGGGATTTAGTTTTAAAATATACTCCAATATGCGTGACTATAGCTTTTACTTACTTTTAAAGATATATCATATATCTTATATGTATATATTTTGGCATGATATATTATTCTAAACTGTAGTTCTAACCCAAAATTCTAGTTCTTAGTAGTAAGTTGTTAATTAAATCTAAAGTAACTTAAGATTTACCATTACGTAGTAATTTCTATACTACTTACGAAATTTGTTCCTCATTGTAATCTTGAGCCAATTTTAAGACCAGCTTATAGTACTTAGCAGCCATCTGGTAATTGTTCCTTATGAAGAAAATAGCTGCCATGCCATTGTAGGATGAAGCCCATGTACGCAGCTGAGATTTGCATTCCACTTCGTTGGTGGCCTTTAAATGCGATAAAAGCTCTTGAGGATTTAGATACTCCGTTGTAGAAACATTGTTGTTGAGCACGACTGGCACAGAACACGTTTGGCGTATGCGCAGAAATGGTTTAAGAATCAATTTTAGCAGCTGCGGTGAGATGGAGGCCAGGCGCGACGTGTTGTCGTTGGGATTGTAGCGGGTGTGCTTTGCCACAGCGGCGAGAAACTGATCCGAGCACTTAAAGTGTTCCTCCCGATAGTATAAGGACTCAACATTGCTGAGCTCGAGACGATGGACAACCTCGGTTTGTGGTGGAATGCCCAATTCATGCTCTACCTTCGATTTGCATGTGCGCCACATGCAAGGCTGAAGAATCTCCATCAAGGCATCAGTGTTGTGATTTAGCAAAAACGAATTAGCGACTGTTTGCCAGGCTTCTAAAGGCTCACAACCGTCGACAAAGCCAACAAATCGCAGGAGAGGCGCCAGATCGTCAATGGACCGTTGAATAGGGGTGCCTGTGACGGCCCAGCGATTAATTGCCGGCAATTTGCGCACCATTTCAGCCACCTGTGACGTGTTGCTCTCCACCATTTGGGCCTCGTCCAGGCACACTCGCCACCACTTCACCATAAGCAGTGGAGAGATGGGACGCATAAAACGGGGCTGGTGTCGCATTGTGCGATCCGATACGTAATCCCTCGTATGATAAATCTCGCTACGCAATATGCTATAGTCTGTCAGCACAATGTCGTATTTGGCCAACTCCAGAGGACTAATCCAACTGCCAGAATGCAGTCCTGTATAGAGCAGAACCATCGGCGGGGGAGATATGTGTCTGCTAATCTCATAAAACCATTGCATTTTGATAGCACTGGGCGACACAATAATTGTAGCCCCGGATTCTACCAGATCGGTGACTGCCAATTCTGTCCAGCATTCCGGACACATGTATGAATCTTCATTGAATTCATCTTTATGCCGAACACAGTGTTTGTGTTGCCATAAATGGCAACGACTGCACTGCACAGAGGGCTTCCGTTTCTTTGTGCAAATACACAACTCAGCATCCTGAACACACCTCCGTTTCAGCGGTATCTCGTCTTGCATTTCGTCTATCAGGTTGTACCAGTATGCGTTGCTTACATCGCGTCTGGGATTAAGCATAACCAATGCGAGCAGCTCTACTGTCTTACCTAGACCCATTTCATCGGCTAATATGCCACCAGGAGGCACGGAGATTTGTGGCAGTGTTCCCGTATAGGCATCGAAATGCAGGCAGTACTTGTGCTTTAATACTTCACTTTTTCCATCAATGGATTTGTAGACAACGTAATAAGCTGGAAGCTCCGTCGCTTCTTGTTCTCTACTAAGCATCCATTTGACGGTACATTCCTGATATTGGCGTAGTGTCGACTTAAAACTGGATGGAATTGAAATTGATGAATCCATTCCTTGGAATGTAGTCTGGTGCCGGTTATAGAGTGCATCGTATAGCTTTGTGGTTACATAGCTTTGTAGGACTCTTTGGTGCTGTTGCTCTGCCACCTCGAACTCCAAACTGGGAGTGTAGTTTGTAAAAATGATAGGAAACAGCTTGGACGCGACTTCAAGCTCTATGGCACGAGCTCTGCATTTGGTAAACCAATGGTAAACCAGTACAAGAGTCGTTGCACAAAACAATCCTTCTCCAGCCGAACTCTGGGAAACGGCTTTGAAGCGAAGCTTAGATGTACGAGCATCCCTGCCTGGAAATAAAGAATTTAAGATTGGAAAGCTGATGGACAATCGCAGCAAATAATCTTACATTTGAAGATGCACTCGATCACAGTCTTTGCCTTTTCCGCCAGATATGCCTTTAAGCGCCACTGTTTTTTTCCAAAATCAAAGTCCGAATCCACTGAACTACCAGTGCATTCATCTGCAATTTCACATAGTACCACACTCTGCCCATCCATAATGGACAAAATTTAAACAATACAAAGCCTACACGGAAATCGCGCTCGGAACTATAAACAAAGAGGAACAGTGAACTATTGAACTAGAACGTCAACTCTTTACCGGTGATTCCTGCTGAGAGAACATTAAAGGGCATTCAAACTCTATTAGAAACCATAACATGAACTGTGAATTAAATACGTAATGTTTGTCAATTATTCTGCAGTAAATAAACTGCAATTATTAAACGTATTAATATAGTATGCACAAAAGCATTCCGATACTAATCGATATTCGTGAGTTGAGTTTATCGAACAATGCAAATCCCTACAAAGATTTTGCTAATGATAACAATTGTTATTGCAACGGTTTTAGGCAGGATCCAATCAAATATGCATCTGTTGTGCTGTTTCATGGATAAGACCCTTTAAGGATTTTACTGTAAGGAATAAGAAGAGATTTACGTACATATGTATGTATGTATGCTTCGCAAACTCGTGACTAACTGCTGGTAAGCCCCCTCTCCATTCGTTATGAATGCTGTGATTGCTCTTTGTCACTTCTGCGAGGCGCACGGTCCATGCGCAATATTCTGTACACAGACGCTGCGAGATACCAAAATCGAGGATCTCCAGCTAGACCAACAACAACATAGTCAAAAGGAATGCTCAGCTTGCAACTATACTACAACAACGGGACGAAATAATATTTACAGTAAGGACACAGAGAGTGGCGCTACTTTTTTGAGTACGCAAACATCTGTGCTGCCGGAAGTGGCGACATTGGTGAAGCAAGCGGCTGTTCGTAGTCTTAGCTGCGAAATAAACACCAATAAGGATAAGGATGGTGGATTCGTATTCTTTGGGGACTCAGCCCGCGGCCATGTATTGAGCCATACATTTCGAGTGTGCGATTTGCAGACTCGCGGCTTTTATCAACTCTTCTCGATTATTGTGCTTATGAAGGACAAATACTTTTTGCTAAATATAAAACCGTTTCTGGCAGAGCACCTGAAAAAAATCTCGTCAGAGTTGCAGGCTGCCGCCCAGCGGACTAAGGAGGCAGAAGAGGTCAATTACTCGGCACGTCAAAGGCGTTTGTCAGGCGCCCAGTTTCTAATGCCAACGCCACGTTCATTGGTGGAATTAACCTGCGAGCAGAATGTCTTCGCCCAGCTGCATTCCCATTTTGCCTGGATACTGCTGGCTGGGTCACGATTCCTCACGGAGCATGTGACCTTTGGCAACCTGCCCTGGCTACCACCGCAAAGCAGTGGCCGACCACCTGCCCAACGCCTCACCTACAACAGCTCCACCCTGCCCATGATAGAGAAGTACGAGGAGAGCATTGACGATCAGGAGGAGTTCTTCTCGCTGCGGCACATTAAGCAAGTAGTGCGCAAGGATGACTTTGCTAACGTTTGCTACTGCGCTCTCACCGGCGTCAAGATTATTGTGCGTGGCGCACCTGAGCGCACGTTTAACTTCATGATGTGCCTTAAAAAACTACTCCCCGAACCTATGCACAACTTGATGCGCATAGATGCACAGCATCAGCATTCAATAAGCTCCGAGTACAAGATAATTTCAGTGTCGAATGATATAGCTGTACCTGTTGCTAGCAGTTCGGTGTTTCGCATCGATTTTTTGGACGAGCACCTCAATGGACACGACGTGTCTGTCAAGTGGCAAGGCGAACTGCCCAGAAAATGTAAGTAAGCCACTTTCTATTTATAAAGCAAGTTAAAAGGCTCATCTCCACATTTCAGTGCCGGATCTAATGGTGAAGTTGCAGAGGGCGGTGGAGGAGAAAACATTCACTGAATTGGTGCTCAATAAACAGACTAAAGTACACATAGAGGAGTGGAAGAAGTAAGTGGCATTGTTTATGGTTTCCAATTATGTTGCCTGAATTCTCCTCTTTGTAGCAAAGTCAAATGCTTGAATCATGCGAAGTCTACAAGTGTCCAGACCAAGTTGAAAAAGGTGCTCGGCGTGCAGCCCCAGGATCAGCCGCTTATCAATTACTGGAGCACGCATCTACACTAAAGAATTTTGTATATATAACGTTTCAGACGCTTATTAATTACTGGAGCACGCATCTATACTAAGTTTGTATATAAAATATCGTTTCACTTTTTGGAATAAAAATTCTTTATTGCCCACGAGAGTGCAACAACACAATTACCGATTCCGACTGACTTTTTTTAATCAATATCTTAACCAAAAAGTGACAAACGGGTCCTGGTCCAGTTTTAACTGCTTACTTCTTGTAGCCACAGCTAGAGCGACGACCACGAGCACGTTCGAACTTACGTCCCTTAGAGCGTACATAGGGGCGGGTGTGCGAATGGGGTACACCAGGTGCCTTGCCGAAGTGCTTGCAGGCAGTACGAGCGGTACGCTTTCCTTGCAGCAACAAAGTATTTTTGCCTGTGGGCGAGCGCAATGCCAGCTGATCAAAAGTCAAAACCTCGCCGCCGGCCTTTAGGATACGCTCGCGAGCCGTCTCCGTCACATGCAGAGCACACAGTGTCAATTTAGGGACCTTCAGAAGACGCACATCATTGGTGACGCTACCAACAACCACAACGGTGGATTCGGGCTGCTTGGCGACATTGAAGAACCGAACGACACGCTGCAGCGACATTGGTGGCCTATTGATTTTGCTCATGAACAAACGCTTCAGAATGATGCGATTGAACTTCTTGTTGGTGCGTCGCTGCAGGAAGCGGTACAGCTGCAAATTAAATTAAAATTAATGCGATTTTTGGATTCTGGTTTAATTTCATTTAAGAGTTTCACACTCACCTTGACGAGCAAGCGCAGGTAAACATCCTGTGATTTTGGCTCGGTTCTGCGAACCTTGCGATCGTACTTGTGGCTGATATCAATACCCTGCAAACCAAACAAAATTTCATTACTATCTAGTTGCTAACGACTTCAATTTAATATCCTCCGACTGCCAAAAGATATTTCGCATTCGTGTTTTGGATGTTTACAAATTATTTTCTGCCTTTGGAAAAGAATCCGTCGCTTACCATTTCGGCGACCGGAAAAAGAAAGAGACGGGCATACAAAATGACAGCTATTTGACAGTTCTGATACTGGCTGACAAATGCTCAATGCGCTGTAACGGTTAGCGGCCTAGCAAACATCCAGCATGACTGGCGGAGTTGCCACAGTTTTATATTGCCTTTAGCCGTGCTAAAACTGCAATAGAAAAAGAAAACAATGACTCTTTTATGGTGAAGTGGCATTACCATCATATTTGTTGTTCGTCGTGTCCTCTATATGTTTAATGTTTTTTAGTTTTAAATCGCTAAAATGGCTACAAAATTGAACGTTAACATTCGGACACTGCTTACCAACTGTGAGGAGCTCGCTAAGAGTGAAGACAATTTTTGGCGCCTGCAAAAATTCATTAAGTCCCTCGATACAATGATTGCTGAGCTGGTGGCAATGGAAGAGTGAGTAAGCCGTTGAAGATTGTGAAGCCTTCCCCAAGTCATGCCTTACATATGTATATAAAACAGCCCGCAAAGTGCAGCTAAAATACCGAGCTACACAGATCGAGTAGCTGCTTTAAAGCTGGCCACAAATTACACAGACCACACCCAAAACAATGCGTCGGGAGGGGCTCGCAATAGCAACGAAGCTGGCGAAAATGCACTAAAGGAGATACGCCAGATACAGGACACTAAGCAATACAATGAACTGCGGAAGGATCTGCTACAAGGTGCCATGGGACTTGCATGTAGCTACCATTTCAATCGGCATTATTTAACGATATAATTGCATTTATACAGATGGGGACTCATTGCGGCGGCGACGTGGCCCCGATAATGCATTGGGGGCCAACTCGGCAGCGACGACGACTGACAATATGAACGAGGCTGTCAAGTATTACAATAGTGCTCAGGAGAAAATTACCGAACACATGCTCTCACTGACACGCAACCTGAAGGAGCAGACCGAGACTGCGAATCGTATAATAAGACGCGATACAGAAGTGGTGTCTCGATCAACGGGTATGGCAGATAGGAATATCAACTCACTTGGCAAGGAGGCAGAAAAGTTGGAACAGCATTCGCGCAAGGCCTATAAATGTTGGCTGTGGCTAATGATAGTCTTCGTTATTGTGGTTTTTATTGGTTAGTACTTAGGGGCGTAGAATTGTGGAACTTAAAAAATAAAAATTAATTTTTTTTTTTCAGGTATGGTACTTTTTATGAAAATAATGAAAAAGAAAAAAACGTAAAACTATTGGAAGCTGTTGATAATAAAAATAAAATCAGATTAAATCAATATAAAATAAAACTTGTGGAATACTTGTACAAATACAGTGAACGTTTAAATACTAAATAGTGTTTTAACTAAATTTTCAAAAATTTTACAATGATAATTTTTGGAAAACCGCTAAATATAATACATATATTAGCACTAATGCAATTTTGAAACATAAAATAATTAAAAATATGAGAAATGGTACGATCAGTCAGTGATAGCGATATCTTCTTCCCCAATAGCAATTCACGTCTCCTGCACGCATTTTGAACTTTTTTTTCATAAACACCAACATTTTTACATAATTAAAGAATTTGGAAAGCAGGCAACATGTTTTTATTTATTTTATTTTACATATGTTTTTGGTAGACTCTTGATTATATTTTTAAGCACTAAAAACCTTAGCTAGAAAGCAGGCTTCGAAATGGCTTCTCCAAAACTGCCAGCCAATACACACTGTGCGTTTCGTGTACGAGTTCAAAAGGTTATCCACATCCTAATGGTGTAAGCAATAAACATACACAATAATCTTAAGCCACAAACAAGTTTATTTATAGTTTTTGTTCAGCACCAAGCCAAAATGTATATACATGAGTATGGATATTTATATTTGTAGTCGTATCATTTTTTAAATTGGGCTTCCAATAGTCAGGATCTAGTCTGATCTGTGTCGCCTTATTCTGCAGCTACTAATTTTGTAACACCATTCGTTGTGATGAGTTGCAACAGCGACCCTGTTTTCGGACGATCCAGCGACTGTGTCCATTTTTGAAACAGCTCGGCAACATCTGTGAGTGGTGTCCATGTGCTGAAATCGGCTTTTGGCATCCACTTTCGATTCATGGGCGTATCCAAGGTAACTGGCAAAATAGCCACGACAATGGCATCCGTTGGAAGACCAGAATTTTCGCCAGCGAGAGAACGTGTGAGCTGATGGACCGCTGCCTTGGCCATTCCATAGCCAATCATGCCTGGTGTGCCTTCGAGGGCAGGCTTCGCACCAGTGAGCGCCAGCAGACCACCATCCTTTAAATGTTGAGCGGCAACTGTTGCGGATATACTAGAGGTCCATACGCTCTGACGCCACATCAGATCAGCATTTTTGGCCAAGTCTATGAATGAAAAAAATCCCGTATAATGCTAGTCCCATCGAGCTCCACTAAAACGTACCTTTCTTAGCATTGCCTCCTGCCCAACCACCAGCCACACAGATCACAGCATCGAGTTTCTCACCGTTTAAAGTTTCGCCCACCTTGCCAACAATTTCTGACTCCTGTTCCGCCCAATTGCTATCGCGAGGCACCACAATGCTCACATCAGCCTTCTCGTTTTCACTCAAGTCAATGCTGCCGACCCACTAAAGTTTGAAGGTTGCAAAATTAACAACAAAATTCAACAAACATTGTTCTTGAGTAATAAGGCCAATTAAGTGAAAGGTAACACTCACGTAGTCTTTGTTTTTAAAGTGTTCAACACACGCTGCACCTAGCGCGCCCTTTCCTCCGTAAACTAATACTCGACCAGCGGACATTATGCGATTTTTGATTGCTCCACAAGTAGCCAGCTTCACGGTTGGGATTCAACTGAACTAAAGACTTTGCTGTATGACTCAAACAGAGCTTTGAATTTAGCCGTGATATCAAAATCAAGTTTAACACGGAGACAACAACGACTTCAACTTTGAGAACGAGATGTGAATGACTCGTAATGCTGCTAAGTTCGCTTGCTTACTAATTATAAAAATAACCGGCACTGATCATACGTAATACGAGGCGGGTGATAATTCGAATATTTATTCAAAAGGAGAACTGGAACTTAAATACACATAAACAACAATCGAGCAACAAGTAAAAAATCAATACAATTGCAGCTGCACATCGAACAGGGTAACTCAAGTCCAGACAATAAATACTCGATATGAGGAATTGAGATGCACGGCAACAACTGTAACTGAAGTACAAATTCTACGTTTATTATTACTTATATATTTTAAAAACACTTGCAAAATTCTGGTTTCTCAGTTGTTGAATTGTTTTTGTAAATACGCAAATTATTCGATTACTTGTTTTTAAACGCATTTAATAGATGTACATACATACATATATACATTGATATGTATGTATGTACATAATTTCAACCGCTCTTGGAGAGGAGCGCTTTCACTTTAAAAATAACAGCCAATACTATGTCAGGGTTTTCTTATAGAATAAGCAACAAAGAAACATTAAAAATATATAAAATATTATATTATAATAAATATATTTTATACATTTATACATATTTAAAAAACCTTTTATCTAAAGAACTTGTTTGCGGAATTTCCATAACAAAGTAAAGGCAATTTGCTTTTCGCATTCAGCATTCAATCAACCAACGTGACCGGGGAGATCAAGTACCCGTAATTTAGTCACTGCTACACTTGTTCGGCTCATCGCTAATCTCTAACCCCAACACGTACACACAATTTTGTCGTGATTTCTTTTATTTGTTTAAATTTCATTTTGTGAAATGTGCAATTGTAAATAATTAAAGTTAACACAAATATGTTACGTGTTTTCTTTGTGTGTATATTTTCGTTGTGTCCCATTTTATTGTAAAACCCCGCAATAAACTGCACCAGCGGGGGCAATAAACGCAGCGTTCTTGGTGCGCTGGCAGAGCGAGATAAAATAGTTTTCCACTTAGTAGAAAAACTCTGCTGTTATTGTTGGCGGTTTAATCGTGCAAACAAATAAACTGACCTACGGAAATGGAGCGGCGGGTTAAGCTAAAAACTATCAATCCCCACATTACGTGTAAAATCTGCGGCGGCTATTTCATCGATGCGACAACAGTGACGGAGTGCTTGCACACATGTGAGTAATGAATCCCGCACCTGCACCGGCTACACCCCCCAATCAACAGAGATAATATTCGTATTCTTTTGTTATTCCTATTTGGCCGATAGTCTGCAAGAGCTGCTTGGTAAAGCATCTGGAGGAGAAGAAAACATGCCCCACCTGCGATAATATTATACACCAGTCACACCCGCTGCAATACATCAGCTTTGATCGCACCATGCAGGACATTGTGTACAAATTGGTGCCGAAACTGCAAGAGGGTAAGTGCCCATATTTTAACACTAGCGTATTGCTAAACAATTAATTTACACAGATGAATCCCGACGCGAGCGAGACTTCTACAAAAGCCGAAATATGCCGTGCCCGAAGGATATAACGCAGAACCACGAGGAGGACAACGAGAAGGTCATGGAAGCGCATGCTGAATCCGATTTTCATCGTTTGGACGAACAGGTTAACGTGTGCCTAGAGTGTATTAGCAATAACTTTAAGAATTTGCAACGGCGCTTCATACGTTGCAGCTCTCAGGCGACAATAACACACCTGAAAAAACTTGTCGCCAAGAAAATATTAAATGGAATCGAAAAGTACAGAGAAGTGAGTATAGTACAGTGCAGTAATATAATTGCAACAAGCGTGACCACTAACCAAATCGAATTGTATCTGTATTAGATCGACATTTTGTGCAACGAAGAGCTCTTAGGCAAAGACCATACGCTGAAATTTGTATACGTGACGCGTTGGCGTTTTAGAGATCCCCCTTTGCGGTTGCAGTTTCGTCCCAGAGTCGAGCTCTAACAGAAGAACTTCTGAAACAATCTCGTACTGCATTTAAGCTGCATGCGAGCCATTGGTGCGCGTCACAAAAATGATCTATTTTTATAATTTATTGACAAAGTGCTCAGTGTGGCGCATTAATTTTAAGAGTCCTAGTTGTAATTTTCAAAATTTATGTAAATGTTTCTATTGTAAAAAGTCCTAATTACGTACATACTTGTAGATGTTAATATGCTAGTGTCTTCGTGTGAATTATTTCATTACCTTCCTATACTGTATTTTTAAAATAATTGCAATATCTGTATATGTATGTCTTCTTTTTTAGTTTCAAATATATACATATTTATTATTTTATTCCATTTTGTTTTTGTACAACACACGAATGTATATAGCAGTTGAGTAAATACATTTTTAAATATTTAAGAACTAAAGCGTCTATAATTATTTCATTAACTAAAACGAGGATTGTTCGGACGTGATCGGTGTCTATGAGACATCGGGGGCGGTCAATATGCTCCGAAGTAACTAGGTGGTGGCGGCAGGCGTCCTCTAAACTGATCCCACGGCGGATGGTGGTGTATGGGGAATGACAAAGGTGCGTACATGGCATTAAAAAGCTGTTTAGAAATAAATATAAAGTAAACATAGTCGGCGGATAACTACTATCGATAACTACTAACATAACCATAGGGATCGGCGGCTGGCACCGGGACTGGCACACTTATTATGGGAGGTGCGGGCGAACGCCAACGTGTGCGCCGACGAGGCGAACAGTCTCGGGAAGATGTATCTCTTGAATAGCTACGTCGACGTTCACTGGTTGTTGAGCCTCTTTGATTAGCATTCCTGTCCTGATAACGACGACCGCATGAGGTTCTACGAGTTCTTCTCTCTCTGGAACGTGATCTGGATCTAGTTCTTTTCTCCAGGTCTCTCAGATGATCATGCTGTTTAGAAATAAATATAAAGTCAACATAGTTGGCGGATAACTACTATCGATAACTACTAACATAATCAAAGGGAAAATCAGCGGCTGCCACCGGGACTGGCACTGTTATAATGCGAGGTGCGGGCGAACGCGAACGTGTGCGCCGACGAGGCGAACGATCTCGCGAGGATGTATCTCTTGAATAGCTACGTCGACGTCGACGTTCACTGGTTGTTGATCCTCTGTGATTAGCATTCGTGTCCTGATAACGACGGTCGCAAGAGGTTCTACGAGTTCTCTCTCTGGAACGTGATCTGTGTCTAGTGCTATCTTTTCCACGTTTCGGAGACTTTGATGTGCGTTTTGTTCTTTTCTCCAGGTCTCTCAGACGATCATGCTGTTTAGAAATAAATATAAAGTAAACATAGTCGGCGGATAACTACTATCGATAACTACTAACATAACCATAGGGAAAATCGGCGGCAGGCACCGGGACTGGCACTGTTATAATGCAAGCTGCGGCCGAACGCGAACGTGTGCCCCGACGAGGCGAACGGTCTTGTGAGGATGTATCTCTTGAATAGCCACGTCGACTTTCACTGGTTGTTGAGCCTCTGTGATTTGAATTCCTGTCCTGATAACGACGATCGCATGAGGGTCTACGAGTTCTTCTCTCTCTGGAACGTGATCTGGATCTAGTGCCGACTTTTTCACGTTTTGGCGGAGACTTTGATGTGCGTTTTGTTCTTTTCTCCAGGTTTCTCAGACGATCATTCTCCCGTTTCGCGTTACCGATGAAATATGGCAGCTTTTCCAGGCGCTCTATATGACGTGTATACGAAGTTGACGACGATACTTCATTATCCTGTTTGTCGTCAAAAATATGAATTTGCAGCACTAAAAACAAAAACAAAATTGTTTACACTTTTTGTCTTCACTTTCAAATTGATGATACGGACCTCGTGCAGTATATCCACTGCTGTCTGGGTCCATTTTGAATAAATAAAAAAAAAAACAATAATATTCTTCAATTGCACTAGTAAATAATGTAGGGATGAAAGAAAACATCGATTTTTTTTGCTTTCGATGCATCGTCGACCCATCGATGTTTGTCCAACATCGAACATTTTTCATGTTTTGTTGGGTGGTCACATTTCTTTGTATGGTTTACCGGAAAAGGTACATATATTCGTATTTTAAATTTTTTGATGTTTTCATTAAAATGTTGAAAATGCGTAACTGCAAAGTGTCCGATTGATTTGTTTTTAAACTGTATATAATTAGTTAATTATTAATTAAAACATACGAGCTCATCAAAATAAAATACTACGACAGCCTCTTTTGATTTGAAAAATTTCTGTGATTTTCTCCTCAATATGAGCCTTTGTTTTCTATGAAAAGTTAATTTTTCAATAAATCGCTCCATCGATGTTTTTTGCAATGCATTAACCATGCATTTATTTTTTACTTCCCTTCGACTTACATCCCTAAAGGAATGCCGGTCAAAAAATTCGTTACATTGGAATACCGGTTACTCTCCTGCTTATCTCAAGCGCGGCTTCATCAGCACCGTCGAGTCCACAGATATACCGGCAAATGCTGGTTATAAAATTTAAATGCGCCTAATAAGGGGCCCGCTGACAGCTAACACACAGCACCCATGGTCAGGAAACTAGCGCCCCCAGTAATAGTGTTACAATCACTACTGACGAGCTGAAATCCCGGCCCCTGAATGCCCAGACGCATGACCAAACGTTTGTTGGACGTATTCTTCCCTTTCATCGATTTGCGCACAACAGTCCTCAATTTGGTGCTACCCCAACACAAGTTCGTGTGGGTGACCTTTAAGGGTAAAAGCTTTTCGTGTTTATGGCTGAACTCACTGGAATTTGAACTACGTGAGATGCTGCGACCGGTTCCACTCAATTGTAAAAACTCCTAATTATGTACACATGTGAATTATTTCATTACCTTCCTGTACTGTATTTTTAAAATAATTGCAATATTTATGTTGTCTTCTTTTTTAGTTTTAATTATATATGTATGTACATATTCATTACATTATTCCTTTTTGTTTTTGTACAGCACACGAATGTACATATGTATATAGCAGTTAAGTAAATACATTTGTTAATATGAGAACTAGAGCGTTGCACGTTAATTTGGTGGTGGTGGCGGCCTATAATTATTTCTGTAGCTAAAACGAGGATTGTATGGACGTGATCGGTGTCTATGGGACATCAGAGGCGGTCGATATGCTCCGAAGTAACTAGGTGGTGGCGGCAGGCGTCCTCTAAACTGATGCCACGGCGGATGGTGGTGTATGGGGAATGACACAGGTGCATACATGGCATTAAAATGCTGTTTAGAAATAAATATAAAGTAATAAAGTAATACTACTATTGATAACTACTAACATAACCATAGGGAAAATCGGCGGCTGGTACCGGGACTGGCACTGTTATAATGCGAGGTGCGGGCGAACGCGAACGTGTGCGCCGACGAGGCGAACGGTCTCGCGAGGATGTATCTCTTGAATAGCTACGTCGACGTCGACGTTCAGTGGTTGTTGAGACTCTGTGATTTGAATTTCTGTCCTGATAACGACGATCGCATGAGGTTCTACGAGTTCTTCTCTCTCTGGAACGTGATCTGGATCTAGTGCCGTCTTTTTCACGTTTTGGCGAAGACTTTGATGTGCGTTTTGTTCTTTTCTCCAGGTTTCTCAGACGATCATGCTCCCGTTTGGCATCGATGAAATATGGCAGCTTTTCCTGACGCTCTCTATGACGTGTATACGAAATTGACGACGATGCTTCATTGCGTCTATGGCTGTTGCGCCTACTTTTATAGTTGGTATCTACATAGGAAAAAGCATACTACAAAATTTAGCATTTTGTTCATCTCTTCTTAAAGGATGGAAGGTTCAGTTTCCGATTGCTTGGGTCCAAGTCCATAGTCCTAGCTTCATTTCGTGGGAGACAGTCTCGGAAAATGAGAACACATTCACAATCACAACTTTGCAGCACTAAAAAAAACAACAAAAACAAAAAAATTGTTTACACTTGGTCTTCACTTATAAATTGATGATACGGACCTCGTGCAGTATATTCACTGCTGTATGGATCCATTTTGAATAAAAAATATACAGAATAATTTTTTTCAATCGCACTAGTAAAAAATGACGGTCAAAGAACTCGTTACATTGGAATAGCGGTTACTCTCCTGCAAATTCACAGGGCTGCAGCACCGCAATGCACTGCCAAATAATTGGTTAATTTTAAAAATAAGAAACATTAACCAACCCACTACCCCCGCTATTTGTTTTTCATTACTCCCGTTCTTGGAATTTTGAGCTTAAATTTGGCATATACATCCAGTTTGAGGTCTGTCCATAAGCCAAATTTCATCATGATAGGTAAATTCTGAAGAAAGTTATAGCCATAAATAATATCGCTGTCCATGCTCTGCCTGTAGCTCTGCCCACAGCTGTTGCTGCTTTATTGCTGATTTATTTCTTTACAGCATACAAGCACGGATACGCATGATTCTGAGTAAATGTATGCTGTTGAAATTGTACATAAACATTTATGTGTGTATGCATGTGTTGAATATTTTTATTTAAATTTAATTAATTATGTAATTAAATTAATCAAATTTTTTAAAATTAATTTTTGTTTTTTTGTGGGGTGGTAGAGAGTATTTAAGAGTTGAGCTCGCTTGACTTTAGTATTCCTTTCTTGTTATTCACACATATTTTTAAGAAACATACACATCTAATACAACTTAAAATTACTATGTAATTTACTTTTAATGAAATAAAGAAAAAGAATTAAATATTAAAAAAAGCAGGCATATTTCTTCATTCTCCATAGATACCACAATGAAAACATCCTTTCTTAATATTTCACGTGCTGGCTTAACAGGCATCTAATACAACTTAAAATTACAATGCAATTTACTTTTAATTAAATGAAGAAAAATAATCAAATATTAAAAATTACAGGCACATTAATTTGTTCATTCTCCATAGATACCACAATTAAAACATCCTTTTTTAAGATTTCACGTTCTGGCTTAACAGGGCAGCGTACCATAATCTCAGCTTGGCCGCCTTCTGGCGCTACATAACATTCTGTGGGCTCGATCTGCAATATGTCCCCCACATTGCAGGTGATTTCAAAATATTGACGTGACTTAAAATAGTTTTCAATAACGACGGACATAACGTTGTGTCCATTCCCTCTTTCTGACCAATCGAATTTTATTGTAGTGGGCTGAACCAACCAATGCCGATCATCCAGTGCTGGCTGTGAAGTGGTATCAGCCTCGAGCAGTTCATCTACAGGCTCCAGCATGTTGCATTGGGTTGGCGTTGGGGAATTGGCTACACAAATTGTGCGAAACAAGACAGTCTCCTCGGCATCGGGCATATACATTAAAGACGTTTCAGCCGACTCATCAATATCACGATTTAATGTCAGTGCGACATCTATAATGCGGACGGATGTGACCAAGTCGAGTATAAATTCTGGTGGCTCCAACAAACTGGCAATATTGCGCATTGTTTGTTCATTTGGAAAACGGTTCCAAATGCTATCCAGCATCGAGGATGTGAGTTGCTCCCGCTGCTTGTTACTCATGCGCTGTACAAGTGAGCGCATGCGCTGTCTATTGGGCTCGTCTCCGCAAAAAATACGCATGTTGGCTAATGTTAGTACTTGTGCCGACTTCTTCAAAATGTTTTTTATATCCTCACGATTTGGTCGAAATGCAATTTTCACTAATGCTTCAGAGTGCGGTGGTATAATCACTTTGCTGGGGCTTATCTCAAACGTTTCACATAAGCGCGGCTTCATCAGCACCGTCGAGTCCACAGATATACCGGCAAATGCTGGCAGTGGTCCCTTGTTATAAAATTTAAATGCGCCTAATAAGGGGCCCGATGACAGCTCACATACATCACCCATGGTCAGGAAACTGGCGCCCACAGGACCCTTTTGAAGGCCTTGTATGCTAATGGAGGCATTACCACCATAGCCGTATAGGGGAATCTCCATTGTGGGCACATTTGAATTATTCATGCCCACAGGTGCGTAAAAAGAGAGAGCACCTTTAGCTGCGCCGCAGACAGTTGGACAAAATGTTATGCTAATGGTACGACATTCCATGGCCTGTAGTGTAATGGTGTTACAGTCACCGCTGACGAGCTGAAATCCCGGCCCCTGAATGCCCAGACGCATGACCAATCGTTTGTCGGCCGTATTCTTCACTTGCATTGATTTGCGCACATCAGTCCTCAATTTGGTGCTGCCCCAACACAAGCTCGTGTGGGTGACCTTTAAGGGTAAAAGCTTTCCGTCTCTATGGCTGAACTCACTGGAATTTGAGCAACGCGAGATGCTGCGACCGGTTCCACTCAATTGGCTGCCATTGACGACAGTTCTTACGCCACTCGTTGAGTTCGCTTCACTTGAAGCTGGCGATGAGTTTATTTTACGCGCCGCACTCGCCATTAGCATTCGGCGATCGGAACTCGTAGTGCTGTCCAGCATTGGTGAGGAAGATAGACAACTGCGTGGCGATGAAAGTGGAGAGGCATTTCGACTTGTTAGTGTGGCATTTGTTGTTGAGGAACTGCGAGCTAGGCTAGGTGAAATGCCAAAATCACACTCCGTGGATGACGATGGGAGGACATCGCAACCATCCAGTCGTGTTGAGCTCAGCGAGGTTGGATTGCGACTCTTCGCCAAGACGTTGCGCTTTAAATTAACTGGTGTCTTGTCCTCATCCACTGCATCATCATCATCTGTAGTAGTTGTGGGCAACAGCTGTAGATCTTGACCTGGGTGTGGACTGACGCTATTTGGCGATTTCGTTCGCCGTATGCGGCGCCCAGGAGATTTTACAGGCGTCGATGGCCATTCATCAATATCTGCCTCGTGAGCTTCAGCATCGTTAGCATCAACTTTGCTGGCTTCGGTCACCGTTATCATCGGCTGAGAGAGTGGGCTTAGCGGCTTGCGTGGCACTAAAATACTCTGCTGGAGTTGAATAAAGTCAGTCGAGTTCAGAACTGAATCTGTGAAATCCATCGTATCTGTGTGCTTATGTGAGCTGCGATTCGTCGACTCCTCGACGACTAACGTCGGCACAGAATTCTCCTTATCTTCCTCATCGTAGGTGGCGGCGGCATGGCCCCGCCCCCAGAGCTTATCAACAACTTCAATGGCAGAAGTGTCGGTGTTTAAGTCCAAATCACCTGTAATTTAGAAACGAATTTTTAAAACTAACAATTATAACCAACTGCATAAACGCTTACATAAAGCTCTATCTATCGCAGAAAGACTTAGCAGCTCAGAGGATGAAGGCCAACGCTTTTCTTTCGGCTGTATGGCATTATTTACTTTCTCTTGTTGCTTTTTCTTCCACATATTCGTCTCGAGTTTGGCGCTTTCCGATTTTGTGTAGGTTTTGTTATCCACTTTTGGTGTTTGGTCTACGATGGCAGACATTACGCTTCCAATGGTGGAGTTTGGGTCTACGAGCGACTGCGGTAAATTCGTGTTGTTTGGAGTTTCGTTGCTTACAATATTCCAGATATTTTCCGAACGTGTTCTAAAGAAGTTACCCACCGAGAAATTTGGATCGCCCGCAATCACAGAGCTATGAAAGTTACATATAATATTATACAAATTCGACTTAATATGATTAACATAAAAAAGTTACTTACTTGGACACGGAGGTCTCTATGTCATATATTTGTGCAGGTGCAGCGGCCTTTTCCATTGCTGGTTTGCTAAGTGTGGCTGTTGGCATGGCTGTGAATTCCTGCGCCCAAGAAATCTCTCCCAAGACCAGTTTCGATTGCATCAATTCGCCTGGTGCGAAATCGGCGTCAGCAATAAAATCACTTTGGTTGAATTCCTGCGCAGCTGCAGAACTGAAGGAGAAGCCGTTACCTCCATTTAAAGACAGATTACTTTGCTGGGACATATCAGCCGTGCGCGGCAAGCTGTGTGAGCAGTTAAGCGATTCGGTCATGCTGCTCAGAGTGGTATTTGTTGGGTCCTGCTCACTATTATTTTGTAATTTCTTCTCTAGCTGACGCGCCTTCTCAACAAATGAACTCTTGAGTATATCAGCAACGGATATGTTCTTTTTTGATTGTACCGATATACTATGCCTAAAAGATTGGTTTTCAGTTTGGCACAATGTGGAACGGCCAGTGATTTCAGCTGGCTCAAATGAAACTGTTGATCCCTTTGGACAAGGCATGGATGCAAAAGAAGCACCGCCACTGCTATTTAAATCAATTGTTTCGTCAGTAATGAGCTCCGATATGTTAATGCTCCTTGCGCCAGATACCATAGACAGCGTGCTATTTCGGCCCATTACTTGGCTTCGGGATGCACGCGGCCTTTCCAGCGTCTCCAAAGCGCGGGCGCGTTCCGCCTGATAAGGTATTTCAATTATGTGTGAGTAGCTTTTAAACAACATTTCCGTGCTTACCTTAAGCCGCGCACTGAGGTTCGATGGTCCAATACTGCTGGAGCTTTTGTCCAAGCTTGATAAATCACCAAAAACTAGAGCAATGTTTCGGATTGTTTAGTATTTGTAAATTACTTAAATTTAAGAGGCACAACCACTTAGTTGGCGCTTTTCAGAGTCGGAAATCTTTACCTTTCAGGTTCTCCATGCTCAAAATGCCCAAAGAATTCTGATCCAGCTCACTATGATTACCCTTGCTTTTATCCATTTTGCAAACAAACAATTTATTAATTCACAAACAACACAAAGGCTGACGCCGAAAAAAATTAATAAAATAGCGCCGATTTTTCGAATATGGTATGCGTGACTCCGCGTGAGCTAGCGTCCAATTACCAGTGCTGACAAATATATGTATAAATACGTATGTTTGTTTGTATGAAAGGAATCGGGCAAGGACACCCTTACTTGGTTACATTTAAGTAAGCATTTACAACGTATTCACTTTTAGTTTTTTTCCGGTAGCACTCGTAATACGGTTTTTAGTTTATCTATAGATGTTTAATATTCAACACTAAAAACATATTTTTGTGCTGTTTTTATTATTCGGTATCCCTAGCGGTTAAAAAACGTGCTTATCGCTATCGATATACCGCACTCTTAAGCACATTTTCGCAATTCGCGTGTGTCCGGCAAGTTGCGCGGGGATTGGTTGGTAAATTTTAATACAATAAAATGGATATCGAGCTGGAGAAGATTATCAACGGATTGTTGTGCACCGACAACGCCCGTATACGACAGGTAAGGGAACTCGAAAATGAAAACTAGCACAACATGTGTATATGCATATAGTATCCTTTTGCGCCCAGCGTCCCGAATGGCTCTCGCTGCCCATACGCATGCACGCCCTTATGTACATACATACATACTTGTAGTATGTAAATCTGTATGGATGAAGTATATAGACTTAGGCCGCGTTGGCGCATCATTCTTATATCCGTATTTCTAAACGAATGTAGTGTTATATATAGTTGCATTTGTATATACAGTACATTCACATATGTATAATAAATACATTAAACTTAATGTTGAAGTATGCAATTCTGATGATTAAATTAATTTGCGCCTATAAGGTAGCGGCCACAATGAAATTGTTTGGAAGACCCGCCTATCTTTTATTCTAAGCTTGCGATAAAAAATGATTTGAAAACCGAAAACATTTTAAACGATTTTTTAATAGTTACAGTTTGAAACAAACAAGAATTTGAAGAATGATGCTTTTTGGCACAGGGTTTTTATTTTGCAGTTAGGGCTTGATATGTGCCTATGAATGTATGTACATACATATATACATACATATATCATGTCTATGCAACTCATACGTTCGTGTTTAGAATTTCTGTTTGTTCAATTGTTTCCCTAAAATAACAATACAACAGCACATTGCATAGAAATTCTTAAAGATGTTTTTTCTAAATTTTTATGCTTATAGGCCACTGCCCAATTGGATCAGGCGTATGAGAATCCCCAAACCTTGCAGGCACTTTGTGAAATTGTGGTCTCAAATCGCGAAAAACAAATACGACAATTTGCCGCAGTTCTTTTGAAGAAACGTCTTTCTAAACTACGATTTTGGCAGCTAGTGCCGAGTGCACAAAAGGAAGCGTAAGTTTGTATTTTTTCATTCCTTATATCTAAACAAATAAAACCTTTATCCTTCATTGCCGGTTTTAGAATAAAGACTGGTATGCTTCAGGCGTTAGTCGAAGAAAAAGAGAAAGCTGTGAAAACTGCAATTGCTCAATTGGTGGGAGCTTTGGTGCGTCACGAGGCTGAAAAAAGAGATTCATGGCTGGGCGAATTGCTAAATTTTATATATGATCGTTGCAACTCACCAGATCCAAAAGAAAGCGAACTTGGCGCATCCATATTCGCCACATTGACAGATGCGGCACCAGACCAATTCATAAGCCACATGCCTTCCATTTGTCAGATGTTCTCCACTGTTCTGATTGCGGCTGAGACTAGAGGCGATTTGGCAACACCAACCGTTTCGCAGATAATGCTGGGAATGACATATCTGGTGCCTTTCGTGATAGGCCACACGGAAGCTGAGCAACTTGTGCTGAGGGCCATGCCTTTAATTGTAAAGGCTGTGCAGGCATTCGCTTATAAAGGAAATGCCGACGAATTTTCCATTGTGTTCGAAATAATGGATTCCCTTGCCGAATATACGCCCAAGTTGCTAAACAACCATGTGAAGCCCCTAGTCGAATTCTGTCTAGATGCGGCAAGTAACAAATCAGTTGATGACGCAATACGTGTGCAGGTCGGGTTGTTCATTGGTCACATGGTGCGCTTGAAAAAGAAGTTGATTGTCAAGCAAAAGCTTTTGGAGCCTATACTTAATGTTGTTTTTGAAATGATGTGTTCCGAGGCAGATGGCGAAGATGGTGAGTTCTTTTCCAGGGAAATATTTGTTCAATGAAATTGTGTTGCATTTAGCTACTATTTAATGGGCCCTTTCACATATATTTTTTTCCATTTGTAGGAGACGATCTATTTGCAGGTGAGAGCAATTGTACCCCAGTTTCGGCTGCCACACAGACGTTAGATCTATTGGCCCTAAATATGTCACCGGAGAAGCTAATACCACCATTGCTTCAATTGTTGGAGCCGGCATTGCAAAGCCAAGACGTCTTGCGCCGGCGCGCAGCTTTTCTGTGCATGGCCATCATTGCTGAAGGCTGCTCGGAGGCAGTATGTGCCAAATATTTGCCAGTTATGCTCAATATTATCAATAGTGGCATTAACGATAACTCGCCTCAAGTCCGCACTGCTGCCTTCTATGCACTTGGTCAGTTCTCGGAGCATCTACAGCCAGAAATATCGAAGTATGCACCACAAATTCTACCCGTGCTGTTTGATTTCTTACACCAGCTTGTCCTCGAACTGAAGGTATGCTGATTTCATTGCATTGTATTTTTTGACTGAGGCAACCCCATTACTACTATATAATTATATTTTGTTTGTGCCGCTGCCGCTTCAACTTGCAATAATGTGCCTTAAGGCTGACCAAAACAGCAACGAATCGAATTTAGTCCCTGGGAGAGATACGATGCAGTATATAGATCACATGCAGATTAAACGCAAATCGCTTTTAAGCAAATATAGGGTGTCTATCTTAGATAAAGTGTTTTTTTATATATATATATATATAAACCTTTGCACCTTTTTTTTACTCAGCTAGGATAGCACATATTGGTGTACATATATTTAAAGATTGAATCACAAAACCATAAATCTTTTAATGTTCAATTAGTAAAACAATTTATTGATTATTGAATAGGATAGGTCAGAAATTGTAAACACTATATCTTTCATTCCACCTGTTATCGACAAAATAACTGATCAGCCTCAGGTTTGGATTTCATCTCAAGATATCTGCCGTTCCATATGAATGGTTCGAAATAATTTTTTCGATATGTACAATATATATCATGGAACTGTGTATGATGTATATTTATAATGGCATATATGTTATTCATCTATTTTTATTTTTTTATACTATTCAAAATTATTCTATTTTTTTAAAAAAGCTTCTTTTGAGCATAGTTTTTTAAAATTTGTCTTGTCCAACCTTTTTAATAATTTAAATTGCGCAAATATCGTTAAGGAGGGTAACGACTACGCTCGATCATAATTTACTTATGTAGTTTATATATAATGTTTTTAAGGGACTATTTTCTCATTTCTTATGCATATTGTGCACGCTTAGATGTGGTTACAAGTTATTATATTATTAAGTCTTAACAAACTTTGTATAATGTTTTTTAAATCATTTTCAGATGGGTCGTCCGGAGCCAAAGCATATGGATCGCATGTTTTATGCCCTAGAGACTTTTTGTGAACACCTTGAGAATGATCTTGAACCTCATTTGCCGCTTTTGATGGACCGGTATACTGAAAACAAAAGCATATTTGTTAAAGCGTCTATTGCACGACTAATGCAAATTTCTACTCTACTTTATTCCCCAGTCTTTTCGACACTCTCGATCCCCACAATTCGATACATGTGCGCGAATTGGCGCTTTCAGCGATTGCAAGTGCTGCATTGGCTGCCAAAGCGAATTTGATGCCGTATTTCCCAAAAATAGTGAGCATACTGCAAAATTATATGGTCAAGAACTGTGATGAGGAACACGCTCAGCTGCGTAATCAGTCTATTGATGCATTGGCCACAATTGCGCGTGTTGTTGGCAAGGAGAACTTTTTGCCCTTAGCTAACGATACAATTAGCTATTGCCTCATGATGCTTGAGGATGGACCCGACGACCCAGATTTCAGGCGCTGTATTTACAACTTAATGGGCGCCCTTTCCACCGTTGTAGGTGATGCCATGTCAAATGTTTTCCCCAAGATAATGGATCGTATGATCGAAACTGTAATTTCATCTGAGGATGTTTTACCCAATGTTAAGGACGAAGTCACTCAAAATTTTGGAGGTGGTGGTGACGCAGCTGATCAGGACATCGATCTGGAGCACACCGACGACGAGGATGATGACGAGTTTGATGGCTACCAGGTGGAAAATGATTTTGTCATCGAGAAGGAAGAGGCTATATTGGTACTGAAAGAATTTTCCGCCAACACTGGAAGCGCTTTTGCCCCATATCTACAAACGGCTTTTGAAAATGTTTATAAAGTGATCGATCATCTACAGGAAGGTGTACGCCGTGCAGCCATTGAGGCGATCTGCGAGTTTGTCATCTCCCTAAACAAAATGGGAGATGCTGCTGGTGTTAAACGAGCTTGCGAGATTGTTATGCCAAAGTTTGCACACATTGCACGCTTCGATGAGGAGCAGGGTGTGGTCATTCATTTGCTAGACACACTCTGCGATGTCTTCAAAGATGTGGGTCGTGCTGCTGTGCCAACAACTGAAATAGCTGAGGCCATATTTGCGTGCATTCGTGATGTGTTACTAAGCAAGATGGCATGCCAGTTCAACGAGCCGACCGGTACTGGCGACGAAGACGAGCCGGAGGAGAGCGAATACGACGAATTGCTTATCGAAAACGCTGGAAATTTGTTGCCTGCCTTTGGCAGTGCACTGGAGCCTCAGACATTCTCATTATACTTTGGACGTGTCAATCAGTTCTATTTAAACAAACTGGTAAGTGTGAACCTTAGTTCTAGCCTATAACCACGTCGTTCTATAAACGAAAAACTTGCAGAACAAAGCCAAGAAAATCGATGCTCCTGATCAGCGTGCCTTCGTGTATGGCGCACTCGCAGACTCATTTCAATCTTTGGGAAATTGTGTAGTAGTTTACTTTGATGTGATGTATCCACTCTTTATGGATGGTATGACTGATCCCGACCCAATAGCACGTCAGAACGCATTCTTTGGCATTGGTGAACTGGTGCTATATGCAGAGCAAAAGTCTTACGAGTAAGTTATAGGTTGAATAAATTGAATTCCTTAATTTAAATTTTTTCTGTTTTTGACCAAAAATGTAATTTATTTACAGCGTCTTTCCACTCGTCCTGCAAGGACTGTCTGATGCCATTTCCAAGGAGACACATCCAGGAGCATTGGATAACATTTGTGGGGCTGTTGCTCGTCTCATTATAACAAATCACACCATGGTGCCGCTGGTGCATGTTCTACCAGTATTCATGTCGAATTTGCCGCTGCGCGAGGATATGCATGAAAACGAAATGGTCCAGAGAGCGTTCCGTGTTCTATACTCGCAGGCTCGTCCACAAGTCGTCGATTTTATTGAGCAGATGCTCGCCGTTACCATACATGTGCTATATAAAAAGGATATGCCCGATCGTGAGAGCAACGAAAATGCCGTGGCCTTTGTTAAGGAAGTACGCGAACACTATCCGACCAAATTTCATACTGTTAGCAATGCTAATCCCGAAGTCTATAATTTTGTGCAGTCACTGTAAGCAGCATATACAATTATATATTCTATTCTATAAATATGCAAAACATATACACACATATTCACACGTATAGGAATTAGAGAATCCTAAACTAACTAGCACTATTTTACAGCCTTTGCTATGTTGGGTCAATGTGAATCAAATCATTATTCTCAGTCTGAAGAAACAATCATAAGTATTTTAAATTCCAGTGTTTTCTGTTTTATCATCACAGCACTGTGACGGCTGTCCCCAAGGATGCGTTCATTTTCATTATTTTAAATTTATTGTGATTCATACAGGATGCGCACCGTGTGTGATAATTATCTTAGTTTCTTTGAGTTTTCGCTATGAACTTAAAATTGTTGTTAGCACATAACCTACCCCAGATATTTCATTGAAAAATATATGAACCGAACGTGATTTGAAATATAAATAAAACGAATATATGCTAATTGTGTTTAAATTTTTGGGCGACGGAAAGTAAACTCAACTTTGAATATATGCCCTTTATTAATAATTGGATTCATTTATGTAAGTGTAAATCCAAGTACCAAGTCGACTGCAAAAGTGTATCTCATTCTATCTTGCGACCCACGTACAGCATTCGTTCTATTAAAAAATGTAATATGTATAAGACATACCAATTTTGGTGACCTTAATAGTTTAAGTATTCGTACGAATGGATGGACGTAAATGTCGATTCGTGTCTTTATCCTGATCATATATATATACATATGTATGTCTAAACATGTGTTCTGTAGCTTTAGATTTTCCGTAATGTTTGAACACTGTTTTAATAACAACATGGTCTCTCAAATATCTGAATAAGATGCTAAATTTTGGGGAGTAGCGACCACTGACTTTCTGGTGCACATTTTAGAATTATCCTAAACTGCAAAAGTATAAATATGTTATTATAATTTAATCTTACGAGAAAAGATGTTTAATTGCGACTTATAAGGTTATGTTAATTTTAAAAAAATAACCTATTGAAATTTTTATTTTACCAGTGGGCATTCAATCTGATGGCCACTTCTTTGACCATGTCAGCATGGTTAGCATGCAGCTTTAGGGATCCGTCCACATCTGTCCAACGCACATTCATTGCATCATCGCCGGCTGTCAAGTTCAGTTGGCCAACTTTGGTACCATCCTGGTCGTGGAAATGTAGTGCCATTGTTTCTATCCAGGCGTTGTCTGTGTTGCGGAAATCGTCGACATATCCACTGTAGACTTGGACACCGCCACTTTTAAAGAACTCCTCCACCATAAGGCCCTTATCGGTGAAGTTCAGTGCCTCTTCGGTGAATTCACGTTTGAGTGTGACGCTAACATTCTCGCCAGGATCCACCATACCGCCAGGAATAGCCCATAATTTGTTATCTTGCCGTTGTATGGCCACCATCTGTAGAATATTCCTAAACGAAAATTTATCTTAAAACTGTCCGGTATGGAATAATATGCGTTACCTACTTTCCGGTCTTCGAATCGCTCACCATGCCGCCACTGTCATTGCGTTTCCAACGAGTAACTATGGGATCGGCAGCATGATTAGGCCCCCACCGTCCCAATAAGCCGCGACCGCTTATGCCAGTCCGTCCAATTGGATTTCGTGGCAGTCCATCCTTAATGTGATAGGCCCCATGATAGGAGACACGATTTACGTTCCCATCTAACTGATTCCATTGTGGCTTGAAGGTTTCACTGGGCAACGGCGCATCTGCCCAGACCTGTCCATTTATGTGAGGAGCTGTATAAAATGGCGGACAGTACTCTCCATAATCCTCCGACCAATACACCAACTCGTCTGGCACTGGATAACGCAGCACTCCGCTCCGCGGATATAGATTGTTGCGGCACATAACATGTCTGAAGATGCCAGGCCTCACAATGGCTGCCATCATTTCGCTACAGGGTGCTCCATCTTGCACGTCCTTTAAAATGCGCCGCAAAGTGGTTCCACTGACGTTAAAATGCTGAGCACGGTGGCGATACGACACATTTGGGTCCTGGGCAACACTCTTTCTTACCATTTCAATTAGTTCATTGGAACGTATTGGTCGTTTATGAACAACATGTGGGCGATCTTCCACTGTACCGTGCTCAACAAAATTTGAGAACAAACGACGAATAGTGTTGTCAGATGGTGCCTGTTTGTTGCGATATTTTCGACGATATGCACGTTGAGTTAACACAACTGAACGACTGTTTTCAATGTAAAGCGTCACTATTTCAGAGCGTTCTTTCGGAGTGAAGCGATTCATGATTAAAATTGTGCTGAACTGAGGTTTTCAACACTGGTCTACTCAAGTCAATCGGTACACTAATGACAAAGTTATTCAATATTTACATACCGACATAAAAGATGGCGCACCCTGTACATACCGACATAAACGATGGCGCACCCTGTATGTTATTATAATTTAATCTTACGTTTAATTGCGATCTTATAAGTTTATGTTGATTTAAAAAAATAACCTATTGACATTTTTATTTTACCAGTGGGCATTCAATCTGATGGCCACTTCTTTGACCATGTCAGCATGGTTAGCATGCAGCTTTAGGGATCCGTCCATATCCGTCCAACGCACATTCATTGCATCATCGCCGGCTGTCAAGTTCAATTGGCCAACTTTGGTACCATCCTGGTCGTGGAAGTTTAGTGCCATTGTTTCTATCCAGGCGTTGTCTGTGTTGCGAAAATCATCGACATATCCACTGTAGACCTGGACACCGCCACTTTTGAAGAACTCCTCCACCATAAGGCCCTTATCGGTGAAGTTCAGTGCCTCTTCGGTGAATTCACGCTTGAGAGTGACGCTAACATTCTCGCCAGGATCCACCATACCGCCAGGAATGGCCCATAATTTGTTATCTTGCCGTTGTATGGCCACCATCTGTAGAATATTCCTAAACAAAAATTGGTCTTAAAGCTGTCCGGCGTGGAATAATATGTGTTACCTACTTTCCGGTCTTCGAATCGCTCACCATGCCGCCACTGTCATTGCGTTTCCAACGAGTCACTATGGGATCGGCAGCATGATTAGGCCCCCACCGTCCCAATAAGCCGCGACCGCTTATGCCAGTCCGTCCAATTGGATTTCGTGGCAGTCCATCCTTAATGTGATAGGCCCCATGATAGGAGACACGATTTACGTTCCCATCTAACTGATTCCATTGTGGTTTGAAGGTTTCACTGGGCAACGGCGCGTCTGCCCAGACCTGTCCATTTATGTGAGGAGCTGTATAAAATGGCGGACAGTACTCTCCATAATCCTCCGACCAATACACCAACTCGTCTGGCACTGGATAACGCAGCACTCCGCTCCGCGGATATAGATTGTTGCGGCACATAACATGCCTGAAGATGCCAGGCCTCACAATGGCCGCAATCATTTCGCTGGATGTGGCAGTAATCAAACCCAAAACAAATAAAACCAAGTGCAGGGACCAAGAGACAGCTGCTATCAAGCTAGTCATTAGCTAGATTGCGATTATTCTTCAAATGTGATGGAAGTGTATTTATTTTTTGAATCTGACAACAGTGTAGTATTGATTTTTGTTTTCGTACAAATCCCATTTGCTTGGGGTGCGTTCAGACGTTGCAAAAATGCCACTTCATTTTTTTTATGTTTTTGTATTCATCCAAGCATGATTTCAATTGCATGAATAATCAAACTTTGTTTTTTGTATAAGTTTTGAAGAGTTGAAAAAATCACAAAATTTTGCTAGCATAGTGTGCCCAGACCTTAATTATAAAGCTTTGCATGACTTACATATGAAAGCAAGACAAAAATAAACAAACTACATAATGGTATTTTAAGTAGAGGCGATTTTATTTAGACAAAAATTTGAAGCTTTATCAAACTTTAATTTTTAAAATAGCTTCATCACTACACAAACAATCCATTCAGATCCATTATATTCATTTGCAGAAATCATATATGTATGTATATTAAAGACATGAGGATCGAAGTTTATGTTATTCCCATAACCACGTTGCCCTTCTAATCCTTGCGGAGGTTTATTGTCATAGACTCAATACCATCCTTGGTAATAATTTTGATTTCAACGAAATCACCAGTGTAGATGTCGCGCTCAGCAGCTGAAATGAATGTGTCCGAAGCCACACTAACAGCGCGCTCTTTTGTAAGTATCGGCTTATCTTTCTCATCCAAGTTCATATTTTTTAATTGAATTTGGTTGTCTAGCACTGGCTGTAACAAAGGTCCTGCAGTGCCGCCAGCACGACACTTTGCATTTTCGCAGTGGCCAATTGGATCGTAGGAAAATACAACGCCCTTGCCGTTCTTGTCGATGCCTGCCAATATGTTGGAGACATAGTATGGGAAGAAACGCCGGTTGTACATGGTAATGGAGAGCATTTGCGCCACTGCGTCAGTGGTCATAGTCCTCAGATGAGTGTGCTCGTACATCTGCATGCGCACTCTCATCAGACTTGTTAACGAGAGTGTGTCACACCAGCAGCCCGTGGACCCCAGCACCGTGAGAGGTGACAACTGGAATAACTTTGTTTGAGTGCGCGAATGGATGCTGTAGCCGCTGCTAAGGCGCGTATCTGCTGCAATCACCGCGAAGTCGTCTCCAGCAATGGCAACAATAGAGCTGTAGTGGCAAATAATTATATGAAGATTCTGATTTTCTAATAACAATTACGCTGTAAACACTTACCCGCCATTCGATTCGTAAGGCGAAAAATCAGGACGCTGTGCTCCATGGACTTTGTAATCGGAGAAATGGTCAATGCTAAGAAAACTCATTTTACGAAAATATGGTTTATATCGGTACCAAAATGATTTGCAAGTTTTATTCGTGCGGCGTTTTATGGAATGACAGTCGCTTTACAGCTGTCAAAGTGTCACCGCGCAATCGTTATCGACTACATATTTATCGCACAGGGCAGTTCAGTTTACGCGTTTTTTCTGTGATTGATTCATGCTGTCAGTTTGAACTATGAAATGATTTATTGAAAATAACGTATGTCTAACAAACTTTGGGTGTATTTTCACAATAAGTATATATTTAAGTTTTCCTAAGACATAGGCGCGATACCTTCTAAACGTTCTCTGCGTAATTGTCCTCGGTTTTTCTGCACGACTTCCTTGACATCATAGAACCATTTGCCTAAAAATATAGTGTGCTTAGAAATCAAATTAACTAAAACCAGATTCTACTAACCTATTCCAGTATTTTGAAGGCAATCTTTAAAGGCTTGGCATCCCTCCATACTGCTTAAAACGCCATACACTGATAGATCAGATAAGCCCGGCTGCTTTCCTGCCATGAACCTAGATTTTTTTTTCTGTAGCTCCCTTGTCCATTTATCTAATGCGTCATAAATATGCGATCTGACGTCATCGCTAAGTGCATGTCGACGTTTTAAAATTTTACTTATACCCCACATTGCAACCGCACCGCAATAGACCATTAAGTCACGCTCCCATTTGGGAAAGTGAATGTCCCATTCTCCAGCCTGGGAGAAATATTCAAAAGTTTCCAGGCTCTCACCTAATGTTTGGTAACAGTTCGGAGATATAAGGTGTACCAAATGATTGTCAGCCCAGTTGCGCCATTTTCGTTCATTTCTGTAGAAAATTATAATAAAGTACATTCAACAATATGATTGCAGACATTCCATTCCTACTTACTCTTCAATTTCTTTTGTGAGGTTCTTAGGTGTGCGGTCCTGATACATAAGGAAGTACTTGTTTAAAATATCCTGCCTCTTCTTGCCATCATCATCGAAATAAGATATTTGGGGATAAAACTGGGCTAAGTCCCCAATGTCCTTGCGGTTGTCATTTAGATAAGTCGCTATAAGTGAAATAATTGCACTGGAATCGCTCATTTGCACATACTGGCCATCACGCTGCCGTATCAGAACCATTGGAACTTTCTTCACAGAAGACCATTTAATATCTTGCCGCAGGACTGCATCTACCTCGACAACAGAATAGGAGATACCCATATAGTCCAGGTATGCTCGCACTTTGCAGCAAAATGGACACGTCTGAAACTGAAAGAGCACAATCTCCAGTCCGGAAGTATCCTTAGGGTTTACAAAGCGTTTAGTTATGCGCACATCCGGTAGCTCCCCAATAACTTTGGGTGGCATGTGTTCGTGCTCCTTGTGCGAATTTCTGTCATTTATATTGGAATATATGGTATAGATCGATCCCGTTGCAGCCCCCACTCCTGCTTGATGGAAAACATATTTTTAAGTAAGTGTATCCTTTAACTTCTTAGATGATTTTACCTGCCCCGAGCAATGCCAGTTTGAACGTTCCATTTCCGCTTTTCTTTTTGCTGAAAGTAGTTAGTTGTCGGCGTGCAATTTGAACGTGACGGAAAGCATTAGGAGAGGTGCTGTTTAGCTGAAGCGGTCGTGTGACGGCAGTGGCTAAACGAAAACAGGACATTTTTCCGGTACGCTTTGCTTTTTAATGCTTTCTGGTGACTAGAAACAAGATTATTATGCAAATGCACAATAAAAAAACAACCGCAGTCGAAAAATTATTCTTCTTCTTTTTGACAGTAGCAATTATAACAGCTGAGCTGTGGTGTGCAAGAATCACCCTGTCACGCATACATAAAATATAAACAAAATATAAAGGCCCAACAATTTGCACGTTCCTCAATTTATTGACAGAATGGCAGCAGAAAATTTAGGAATCTCACTGGATAAATACGAAGACGATGATTTATTTAGCATAATTGTACGGTACGGACTTTTTATCGGCGGCATTTTTCAAGTAGTCTGCATGGCATCCGCAGTCCTTATGACCGGCAACGAAGGAGTGGCAGAAGGCGAGGACACTAATGACAGCAGGAGTATTAACGATTCTACACCAGCGAGTACATCGCGACGCTTTCACAAAATACGCAAGCTAGAAAAGAAAAAGCGACGCTAAGCGGAAACTGAAATTTTAAATTAATTACTTAATTATTTTTAGTTTTAAGTGAAAAGGAACTGTATTAATCTAATAAAAATATTTTATGGGGCTGAACATAGACCATATTATTACTAGATGGTGGAATCAATAGAGGCACCACATCACAGCATATTCGCAATGTGGAACCCACATGAACGTTGCTTCCCAGCAATTTCTTGTCGATTATTACGTTGAATGTGGATGCGCTGATGTCTTCCGTGCGCACCTGCGCTATCGTTACTCCAAAGGTTTCAAATAAATCCACTACAGTTGCAATGGTGCCGGCTGCAGAAAGGTTCGCCAGACACTGTCGATCAATGCGTAACTTCTTCAACTCAGCTTCGAACTCTTCCAGCAATCCGCCTTTAACGCAGCGGCATTTTGTGCTTCGAGTACTTTTTTTAACCATTTCTGTCAGCGGCTGCTGCTGTGGAGCCACAACGTTCCCATCAAGCTCTACCGAGGTGGCTGGTGAACATTCAATTAGTGTGTCTTCAAAGGGTTGACTGTTAACTGGCTCTAAAATAATTGGCGGGCTGTTGATGTCAACGTTACCGCTTTGCTTCGCCTTTGTGCGAAATGGTAATCTTTGTGTCACGCTAACTGCCAATGGCTGAAATTTTGTCCCTGTCATTTGTATTGCTTTACGTTCCTTCTTTCCCAAAGAATTCAGTCTGCTGAATATTGCTTGGGCCCTTCGAGTAGTGCTGCAATTAGTCATTATCTCGTTCTCCTGTTCCTCATCGCTACTATTGCTGGAAATTTGGTGGGCGTGCTTGTGTCTCGAATCGCTTGTGCGTCTGTATTTATTATGTTTTAGCTTCCGTTTAACCGATAATGAAATCGAGATGCTCTGCAGCCGAGGGTTTGCGATGCCACTTTCATCATCACTGCTACTGCTGTTACTTATGACGGACTCGTCAGCAGCTTTAGAAAACATCTCATGATTTGCCCGAAATTTCTTAAGCGTGTTGTTTGTCATAGTCCAACTATAGAAATATACATTACGTACATACATATGTACGTTTTCGACTGTTGAAACATGGGATGAGATGCCGCGCTAAAGTCAGCTGTGCGCCCAGGGCTGCATACTATTTAAGTATTTAGTTACAAAAAGTATAATATAAAATATATATATATATTTTTTAATGGGCCTTTGTTGGTGGTATTGTTTGCAAGTTATTTAGATTTAATAAATCTAAAATTAAATATAATAGAATAGACAAGTTTGGATATATAGTTTGAAATTATTTCCCGCAAAGAAAAGGGGGCACCCTAATCAAATTTAGAACATGCTTTCGAGTTGTTTTTTAAATTGTGGGCCAGATATTTTGTACTTATTGTGAAATTGGCTTTACACAATCTAACGTTTTTAACACCTATTTTTTTTTTAAATAACAAGTCAAAATATGTTTTTTTTTGGCTGTTTATCTTTAATTTTGGGAATAATATAAATTATAATTGTTTTTATTATTATATTTATAATTATATTGTTGTTTTACTTCCCTTTTAACTATGTACGTATGTGTGTGTTGTGTATTAAGATTGTGTTGTATGCTTGTCTATGTCATATGTATTTTGGATGAATTTATTTGTGGAATTATAATTTCTCTCATCAATTTTTCGTTCGTTTTGTTAGGTTTTATAATAATAATTTACTGTTAATTTCTGCGCACATTTTAAATGTCTAATGTCTAAATTGTAAGTCAACTCATTACTTTTAATTTATTATTTGTTTAATTTTCATTGTCTGGGGGCCGTTTCAAAAACGCTAAATTTGATTACAATAACTATTTTAATAGAAAAACCAAATGAAAAATAGTAGTGATAACAGTGTGTCGAAAAGCAAACGAGGAAAATAATTGAAAGCTAACTAGGCGTTGGAGTGATGGAGTTTAGTGTTTGGGTTGTACTGCCAGTGGGGGGAGGTGAGAGGTCATTTGCCTACACACAGATGTATAAACTGATTTTACAAAAAAAAATTAAACTTTAGTGTGTGTATGTACGTTGTTTTTTAGTTTTCTTTTTAGTTAAATTCGCAACATGCTATGTCTTCCCCTTTACTCTATTACACATATAATATTTTGTTTTGCTTTATCGTTATTTATCGTTATCATTTTGTTTGCTTTGTCTAAATTATTGTTTAGTTACTCACAAATGTTGTCGTCATCGTCGTCGCCATTGTCGTCGCTGTCTCGCTGTCTTGCTGTCGTCGTTAACGTTGTCTGCTGAGTCTTCTGCTGTCACAAAATATATTTGCATTTGCTTTGCCCTTAGGTGAAGAGAACACGCCCACACACATATTATTCACACGTCCGTTGTCGTTCGTTAAACAATACCATTCTTAACCAACCAACCATCCCAACGATTCGTCGTCTCATTCAGCCAATACTCGTTCTTCTGCTTCTGCTTCCTCTGTCGCCACCCCCATCACTGTTACCCGCTTTGGCCACCCACTAAGCCTCAGGTAGTGGCTTCAACTCCTTTATCTGCTTGATCAGATACGCCTTCTCGTCATTGAATTGCTCGTCCTCGGAGCGATCCGTATGGAAATTGGTGAGAAAATCGACCAGTTTCGTTTGGTTGCGCAGCAGGATGTCCAGAATGGGTTTCGGTTTGTTGGGATTCGCGACAAACACTTTGAAGACATGAAACGCCTCGAATTGTATGTTGCGTGACTTCTCCTTGAGCATATTCATCATCAGTTTCAAGTTCTCCGGCTCTGATATATACCGTGTCATCACCGTAAAGTTGTGCCGGTCCAGCAACAGCTCGCCGAGTAGTTTAAGACTCTGACGTCGGGTCACATAGTTGTCCGAGTTCAACAAACGTTGGTAGTGTTGCGTAAAGAACTTGTCATAGTTGGCCTCCAGGAATTCCGCACACAGCAGCTTGTGGCGTGTCAGGAGCTCCTTAAAGGTAGAAAAGGCATCGGAGGCGATGTCAAAAGTGGACACCTCCACGTAGCGGAAGAACTTGAAAAACTCCTCCGAATGGAGCATGATTTTTGCCAATGCTTCGTATCGTGCGCATTCACGCAGCATTGTTCCAGAATTGAGGGCAATTTCCGGATGCGCATCCTCGTATCCGCCCATCAATGTAAACAGTATTTCCGGCTTCGTGCATATATACTCCACTGTGGGTGATCGTGTGCCAATTTGTCGGCGCAGCACATTGTTAAATATCAGCGCCACATGCTTTTTACCTTCGAAGTCTATGCGATGCAGATTCTGTATGAGCAGTAGCAATAGATTGCTGTTGTACAGCTCCTGGGATAGCTGCGCGACCACATAATCCGCTGGTGGTTCAGAATCGCTGGTGCCGTACAGCATGTTCTTAATTGAAACCAAATTCTTGCTGACATCCTCCTGTGCCTTTTCTACCTTGCGGTCACCACCAGTTTCTAGCGCATTTATCGCTTCCTTTAGCGATTTCACCAGTTCAGCAGGCGTCTTTTGTGCTTTCCCAAAGAGTGGCATTGCAGTCGGTTTTCTAATATGCTGCTGCTGATGATGTTGTTGTAATGCTGGTCTTGTTCTGGTTTCTGGCAATGGGTTTGCACTCAGTCTCTACTGGGGGCGTTGTGGTCGTTAATTTCGTTGCCTAACGATTTATTTGAAAACACAAAACAATCGTTATTTATCCCTAATAATCTATTATTTAATTATTTCGTCTTTCTTGCTCAGCTCTTTAGTGTTGGTTCAGTGTGTACACAGCGCCTGCGAGACATAAAAGCCTAAATATGCCATAAATGTGCAGTGCGGGAAAACGTGCTGTGCTGGCATTTTCAAGTGTGTTGGCAAACAACGACCGCCACCGTTGCACTGAAGAGTGATTTTCCACCCCGATAGATGAATTCATTTTCTTTTCAAAAAATAATTGGAGAAAGTGAAAGCGTAAATGCGTTTTCTGCTCAAGTTCGGACTACATAATATGCCTAGTTCACGCGAATTGATTTTAATTTAAGATTGCGTCTTATTAATAATATATGTATAAATAATTTCTACATAGCTGAAAAAGATTTAAATATACAATCAAGAAATACGCGTAAAATAACACACATAAAACTGGTTTAAATGTGCCTTTTTATTTTTAAATTGTACTGACAATCCAAATTGAATTTATCAACGATTTTGATATATAGTTCACACGGCATAGTCAGTCGATTTGCATGCTCGTCTATACGCTAAGCACATTTTTTCAGGCTTGTATAGAGGATTTTTAGAGCAAGGTCTCTTTTTCGAAATATCGTTCCTTTAGGTAGATATACACAGCTTCCAATAAGCTATCAGATCTTTGTAAATTTATCTTTTTTTTGAAAGCTTAGCATTTATGGATATTTTTCGGTATCCACTCATCTGGTCAAGTAATTATTATTGCTGATAGATTGATTTTAATACGGTTAAAGCATTTGTAAACTTACTGTGCGTCGTTACGAAATGGATAGCTAGAATATTGTTGCAATATTGTTAAATGTTAACAAATGCGAGATGCCTCGATATGTCTGTATTTCGTTACAAATAAGAGGGAAAAAAGTACAGCATTATATGAACATGTATATGCATATAATTTATTTTTAAGTTATACATATCTTTTCAATATTTTCCATATTATTTTTTCATGCAGCAGAGATATTTTGAATTTGAATTCAGTATATGCGTTGAAGAATTTAATGCTAACTGCAAGCTAATTTAAACTTAACATAATTGTTTTTCGTTTTATTTTTTCTCTCATTTTCATTGGCTTGACCCCCGAGCACTTCGTTCATTCGGTCCCGCCCTTTAGGGTTCCACTGGTTCTGTTTATTTCATTCAAATAAGTTTTTATTTGGTTTTTGCTTTTGTATATAAGAATATATAGCGTATGTTTAGATTTAGTTTTTTTTTTTCGAATCTACAAGCGGACTCTAAGTTAAAAATTAAAATACGCGTATGTAAATTATTGTTTTTACGTATAAAAGTAGTTTAAAATTCATAAAATATCAGATAATAATTACAATTTTTATTTCTTAAAAGCATAGTTGTTTCATTCTTGTAACATAAAAAGAAAACAATTGAAATCGTTTTAGTCTTTGCAACTAACATCTTTTCTGTGTAGTTAGTTAATAATATCTTTGGGTTTTGCTAGTAATTTAATAATTGTCCTGATATTTGTCAGTTTGCCTTTCTATTATTAATATTTTTTGTAGTAATTTATATGGAGTACATACACACATGCGTAATGCTAAAACACCAAAAGTCTACACGTTGAAAAATGAGTTTTTATGCCTTCACACCTACCACACACATGCATACATATGTATGTGAATATAATGGTCATTCAATAATTGTAAAAGTATGTATATAACTTGATTTATCTTGCTTGCACATGTTGTATAATTGGGAGTTGTATATTTATAATATTTATAAGAAAACACTTTACGACTAGTATATATTTAAATATCTTCAGTATGTGTGTGTATATGCAATTGTGTTAATTACTAGATTTATTGAAATATTCTATGAATATATTTATGCATGTATGTATGTGTTTATAGTTAATATATAAATTTGTAATATAATTTTAGGTCTTTATGCCTATGTGTGTATCGTAGGGTGTGTCTTTATGTTGTAAAAACGAAGCTTGATTAGCATATGTACTTATATAGGTTTGGTTATTGTAACAAATAAAAATATATAAAACACAATATATGAGAAATATAATTTACAATTAGGAAAAAAAATTCAAAAGTTTCATAAAGATTCCATAAACAAAAACAAAAAGTCTTTCAGAAATCTTGTTCAAATTTGCTTTGCAACTCAGTTTGAAGGTCCCGTACTTTACGTCACGCTCCACTCTAGAATTTCTACATTACAGTTTCCACTCTACAGTTTCCGCGCTACAGATTCCACTCTACAGTTTCCGCTCTACAGCTTCCACATTTTTAATTTTAGTTGACGCAGTTCATATGACTAGATATATATGTATATTATATATATATGTATCCTTACTATTTCGCATTTAGTTTGCTATTATATGCTACTAGATACATATATTGTGTCTGTATATATGTATGAATATATTTAGTTTTAGTTATGCTGTGTTGCATTAATGACATTTTTATGATGCTGTCCGCTTCGCTGGTTTTGGGGGATCTCAGGACCCCGGGGGGATGGTGGGAGCGTTTGATTTGAGTGTGCTTGGTGTTGGTTGGTGTCACTGTTTCCGCTTAATAAAGTTTCCCTCGGAATCTAGCCACAATTCCTTGCCGCCATCAGCTCCGCTGCCTTGCGCATCCATCCCCCTTCTTAATATTTACCTATGCAGGGCATTCGAGATCTGCTTGAGCGACTGACCGACCTCACCCACCAGCCGCTCATTATCCTGCACATTCTTGCTACCAGCTGTGCGCAGATTCTGCGATTGCGTCTCCACCCGTGTCACAAGCTCACGAAAGTGGAATTTCGAGTGCGGTGGCATCGATTCGTTGTCTGCGAATATCACGCAAGAATTTTGCAATATATTGAGCTTATCGCTGAGCTGCAGCCACTGTGAGGCCGAAATTGCATTCACCGGATGCTTGAGCGAACCCTCCAGCAGTGTGACCAGATCCAGAATGCTCTCACGCGAGATCTGAGTGGAATTGTTGCTGGTGGAGCCATCGACAAGACTGCCAACATTTACCCCGGCTATTTTGGCAATAGGCGTGGCATAAATGGTCAGTTTGGTGGGCTTGTGGGGGACTGCAGGCTTGTTGCTGTTGCTATTGTTGGTGGTGGATGTTGTGCTATTGTTGCTGCTTGATATGATGGATGTAGTCAGCTGCTTGTTGTTGGCGTTGTTGCTCGAGTGCTCGCCATAGAGGGACTGCGTCATGTTCTCGTTATCCCGCGTCATTGACCCACTGCTGTTGCCCTCAGTGGCTGTGTCTTCGGAGTGGCTATCGGTGGCATCTGTGAAGAGTTGCGTTGAAAGAGATGTTTTTATTGCAGTTACATGTTGTTGTTGTTGTTGTTTTGGTTGTAATGTCTTTGGCAGACAGGTGCTAAGACTTGTGCTATGGCTACTGCTGATGGTGGAGGTTGTGGTAGTGCTATTGGTGCTATTGTTGGTTGTGGGGGGCGGTGGTGGTGGAGCAGCCGGCGGTGGCTTGTTGCTAAATGAATGGCTGAATTGGGTGGTGCCGCCGAACGGTTTCGAATTTCCGCCCCCTGTGGTGTGTGCCGCGTTGCGTGGCGAGACTTGCGCTCTATTTTGGCTGCCTAACACCGACGCTGTGGTGGTTGGGGTAGTGACCATGGTACCGGATTTTAGTCCGTATTTTGGCGATAGCTGCGTACCGCCACCGTTGATAGCCATAGACACAGATGATGACTGTGTGCTGGCATAATCGCTGCCATTCGGCTGCTCCCAGAGCTTTTTTAAACTATTAATACTACCTGTGCTGCGTCGCTTGCCGGTTTCGCCGCTACTCTCGCCTCCTCCCATTTCGCTATCCACGCTGACATTGGAATTTAAATTGGCATTGGAATTGGAATTTGTGTTGGTCACATCGATTTTAATTTCAGTCTTTTGTGTGCTTGTGCTTGTGCAGAATTTTTTGTCATCCTTGCGTGGGAGCGTGCCAGTCGAATTGTTGGCATTGTTCGGCTTGCGTTCCTCCTTGTTTCCCTGACCCTGAATTGGCTCCTTTTCCACCTTGCGCAGATGCGCTTTGTAGTCAATAATTATGGATTTCGGCTGTTCGGTTTTCTGGCCGGATGTGCCCAGTTTTTTGGGCTCAACTTTCTTGAGCTGCGTCTTGAATGTGCCACTGGAGTTGCCATTGGTTTGATTGGCCTCATAGGCGGGACTTGACTTGGGTGGCAGCTTCTGTTGTTGTTGTTTTGGAAGATTCATGCTCTCGGCCAGTTCTGTAACCAGTAGGGAGACGGGATCGACGCTGGAGCTGCCATTGGACATGCTAGTGGACTCCTTGTTGTTTAGGTTGCCACGGTCCTTAATTTCCGTTATGAGTTTCTCCTTGAGATTGAAGCTTTTTTCGGGTGCCGCGTCGGGCGGGGTGCCCAGAGAGCTGCACGAGTCGGTTGAGGGTTCGCGTTTACGCAGTGACACACCGAATCTTGAGCTGGCCTCTTCGACGCTGGGTGCGGTGTTAGACACATCATTGGAGCTACTATTGGGCAATGCCGCCTGCAGATGCAGCTGTAGAGCTTGAGCGGCACACTCGGCTGCCGGTGGTGCAGCCTCAAACTCTTCTGGTGGTGGAGGCGGTGGGAACTCTAAGTTAGCCAACGCCGGTTGCTGAATACTGCGCTTCGGCGAATTGGCCGAGTTGGTCGCACGGAAGGAGGAGAACGTCATCATGGTACCCTCGGTGGTGGTGCGATGGCGTTGCAGCTTATTTAGACTGGCGGCGGCATTGTTTTGCATTGTCACACCGCCCGAGGAGTTGCTACGAATCATTTGCTGCGGCGGTGCCGGTGGTTGTGCCGTTGGGCCACTGTTGGCGCCGGCTAATTTGTTGTTAACTATGGCCGGCGTTGGTCGTGCAGCTGCCGGATGGTCTAAAACTGCGGCCAATGCAGACGAGGCTGATGGTGACGTTGATGGTTCGTTTGTGTCCTCCAAACTGTCGAGATAAGCGCCAATTCGTGCCTGTTTTGGTAGAGTGCCATAGCGGTTTACCACACGTTTCACATTCATCACCTCCAAGGCGCCAACGGTAATGGGATGTGCTCCACTGGCCAGCACGCCACCGCTTCCATTTATACTGGCATTACTGCCGCCCACCAGACAATTCTCCCTGGCTGGATGGTGCTGCGAACGTTTGCTTTGTCGCGTCTCTAGGCCGCGATTGCCCATGACGGGTGTTGGACGTTTAAAAGAGCTGTGCTGTTGTGAGGCACGCGGTCCAATGCCGCCACCGTGAAGCGAGTGTTGCATTTTGTTCTGCGCAACGGTTGTCAGATTCTGTTCCAGACTATCGCCAGTGGCATCTGTGTCGGGATCCCCGGCATTGTTGTCCGTCTCCGAATCATAGCGCTGCGTCAGATTGTTAATGTCACGTGTCAGACCTGCAAGATAAACACAACAACCAATGAGAATGTACGAATATATATTTCTAAGGATTGGTGCATGCATGCAAATTGTTGTGCAAAGCACCTTGATGCTTAAAAATGTGATGGGTTAATGAGGAGAGCCGGATGCGACAATCCTATTCGGCACAATATTTGTCAGGCGTAACAAATAAAAGCGCAATGAAAAACAAAAAAGATTTATGGAGAAGCACACCGAACAAAAACAAACACCAAAAATATAAGTACGTACATACGAGTGCCAAGTAAAGTACAAAAAAATTCAAAGTATTAATAACGATAAATATTAGATAACCAAGATTCTTGTATACACTGTAGCCTTTTCCTCTTCTCCGACAATCTTACAACGAACTGAAACTTTCGATTTAACAAAATTCAGAATATAGTGATCCATTATAAAAAAAAAAACTTACGAATACCACATTTGGTTACTATATTGAGATCTGATCTCTCCATAAAATTCAGTTTCTCCCTTAGCTCTAATGCCAGAGGTTTAGTTATAAAAAAGTACATTATCTTGATTCATTATTTGACAATCGGAGTCTAATTCAATTTTAATTTAAACAATTAGTTGCACAAAATGTTGTTAAATACTTTAAATAAACCTCATACATTTTCTAGTAAGCTTTTAAAAATTAATTCCCAAGCAAGTAAAAAGTAATTATTTAATTATTGGATTGAATTGAAATAATGTTATTAGACCTGATTGTTTCCAAATATTCGATTCCGAAAAACTAATCAATTGAACAAAAGTTTTGCTCTAACATATATTAAGTGCTACGCTGTTGTTATACTAGCAAGTTTATAACTTCTTCTTTCTAATTACGATTCTGTAAGATTCTATACAATTCGAAAAAGAGAACAATTTCCAGGCACTACAAAGTAAGCTTACATCAAAGAACCTTGTTGGGCATGAAGAAAGAAAAAAGTTAACAGTTTACATTAATTTTCTACATCACCAGATTTTTCAAAGTTTAAAAACCCAGCTCTGAATGAAGCAAGCACTTATATTAAAAAATAATATAAACTTAATTAAAACTAATAATAAATATTAATTAAACTAGCAAGCAATTCAAAAATACAAAACACAAAAATACCGTTAAAAAATAGAATCCAATAGCGATTATAAACAAATCATTGGCAACCAAAACAACGAACATAAGAATAATTAAAATAGGAATTCTTACTCCATTGACAAATACCTCGAAATAGGATGTCGTAAAGGAAACTACTGCAAGAGGATGATTTCTTAATGGAATACTGTTGTTGTGTTCGAATTTGTGTTTGGGTTGGAGTAGTTTGGGTTTTGAAATTTCTACAGAGGGTCTGGCTGAAAACATTGCTACTACCATTGGAGTTTAGCTCGTCGATGAAATTGCGTGCGTCCTCCTCCCGATATGTGGAGTCCCGGCTGCTAGAGAGCAAGCTGGAAAGTTACCAGGTTAAGATTAATGGAAGTGGTATGGCAATTTATGTAATAGGTGTCTCATACCTGGTACGCTTTGGTGGTGCTGGTGCCTGTTTTCCCTGCTTATTGGTGGTGCGACGCATCTGAACATTACCCTTGCCTTGGCTGGAGAAGGTGCTCAACTTGGTTGAACTGGAACCAGTTTCTAGGTGGCAGTAAAATGTGAGATTAGTTAGTAAAATGAATAATGGACTCTGAATGGCATTGTGGATGTTTACCAGACATTGGTGTGCTCGCTTGCTGATCGTGATGACCACCTGCTGTTAAGCTGGCGCTGCCGCCGCCACCACTACTACCACCACCATTACCACTGGGCAGGCCTTTCTTGACCATTTGCGGTGTCAGGCTCAAGGAGGCGGACGCTGATGACGACGCCGATGCTGTGGCATTGTTGGCCGCAGGTGCCGTGGTTGCCGTTGCATTTAGTTGTTTCTCGACCGCTTCGGTGATGGACGATTCCTGCAGATCGAAGAAAACGAGACGTGGACGACGTTCGTCATTATTACTATCACTACTATCACATTGATGGCGCCTGCGCCTGGCGTCGACGTCACATTCCATGACCGATTCAGGCGTTTGAAATCAAAGCTCAATGCCATCGTCTTCATAGACATCGACACCATTGCGACCCGTGCGCCCTTTGCTGAGGCTGAGCCCGAGCCCGTGACGGTGCCCGCGCTCATTTCTATCGTCGATGTCGCGCTCGTCGTCATCGTCGCCATCGTATTCATCATCATCATTATTATCTTCTTCTTCATCATCCCAAACCTCCACCTCACCCACCTGAAACATGTGCTCCAATGCATGATGTATGCTCTTGAATGTCGGCCGATCCGCCGCATCCCATTGCCAGCATTGGCGCATGAGATCGTACACTTCAAGCGGGCATCCGGGCGGTCGCTCCATGCGATAGCCCTTCTCTAGCTTATGGTATACATCTGTGAGATCAATTCCCGGATAGGGTGACATGCCATATGTGGCAATCTCCCACAGGAGCACGCCAAACGCCCATACATCCGACTTCGTGCTGAACTTATTGTACGCCAGTCCCTCGGGGGCGGTCCATTTGATTGGAAATTTGGCGCCGGCATGCGCCGTATAGGTGTCATCACGCATCAGCCGTGCCAGCCCAAAGTCGGCGACTTTAACGAGCTTGTTGTCGCCGACGAGACAATTGCGTGCCGCTAGATCACGATGAATATAGTTGCGTGACTCCAGATAACTCATACCGGACGCTATCTGCGTGGCCATGTAGAGCAGAGCGACGGCATCTAGGGTCTCACGACCGGCGGAGCGCAAAAAGTCCAGCAGATTGCCGTGAGACATGAACTCGGTGATGATGTAGAATGGCGGCTCCCGAGTGCAAACACCTGTAAAGACAAAAGCAGTTCAAGATTACGTTAATTAATATTTCTTAAAGCTTAAAGAGATTTTTAAATGCACGGCTTTATGAATGATATATACATACATATATATTCAAATACGTACCGATTAGCTGCACTAAATTGGGATGCTTCATCTCCTTCATGATGGCAGCCTCCTCAAGGAAGTCTTTAAGCGCCATAGTGTCCTCTTTCAGTGTCTTGACGGCTACGGTATTGCCGTAACGCTTCCACATTGCTTCGTACACTTCACCGTATTGGCCGCCGCCGAGCTTATGTTTCATCATAATGTCTGTGCGACAGATTTCCCACTCGTCCGGCTCCGGACTTAGAGGGAAGACAGTGGGTTTGTTCTGCTTTGGGGCCGGATACAGCAGCGGCGTGATGAGGCCGTGACCCTCGTGAGGCACGCTATGATGGTGTACCAGTTCGGCCAGGGTATTGAATTTTGCCTCCTGTGTGACAAAGACCTTGGCATCGGGATCCTCCGAGATGCGATAGTGATAGACGCGACCCTCATATCTATGATGTATTAAATATTATATTATGATTGTTATACTATATACTATGGTGTTAAGACTAACCTCAGACTGATGCTGCGCTGACCGGGCGAACTTTCACTCTCGCGCACCAGAAAACTGCCATTGATGCCCGAACTGAGCAAATACTCGGCGGCATTACGCGAAATGGGTCCGTGATACCAGGAGTGCTTTTCCAGCGAATTCAGCGGCGTCACATAGTTGGATGGTACCCAGCCCACATTGCCCGAGTCGGAGTGTGCCTCGCACCATTCACCGGACTTATTGTATGACAATATGCGCACCTGTTCGCCTTTTTTTAGACTCAGCTGATTCTCTCCGCCGGCCTGAAAGTCATAGAGAGCCACGAATAGCTGTGGGTCATCCTCTTCGGGTCCAGGCGCTAACAGATTCTCCTTGGAGGTCCAGCGATGTGCAGTCTCAAAGACGGACGTTGCCGAACTGTGACCTTGACTGTGACTTTGAGTGTGCAGGGACGACAGGCCGCTATCCTGGCTTTGTGCAGCAGCGGCTGCATGAATATCAGCAGCATCGGCCAGCAAGCTAGCTGCCGTGCTGCCAGCAGGAATGTGTGGCAAAGGACGAGACTGCAAGAGCGCTTCTGTAATGATAGAAGTATAAAAGGTAGGGGCTATTAGAATTGTACAACTTGTAGTGCATTTTAGGTAACTCTTGTGAAGCTTATACATAGATTTTAAAGAGCAGTTCTGAAAACTTTTTGAAAAAAAAGACGTCCCGTTAGTTTCATTAGTTTGCTCTAAATATAATCTGGACCAAATATACAGCAGATCATTTCAATATCATATCTGTTTAAATAGGGTCTTTGGTTTATAAATAGTAGAACTCTGCAACTCTCTGAGTTGTTTGTCTTACACCAAGCTTTAAACAACCGATTTTCCGGGTAAACAATTGTGGAGATGGGGTTTAAATTAATTTGACGCATCTCTACCAGTTGGAGTTCGACATCGACCACATATTCTATGCCCCGTCATTACCTTTTCCGCGTGTCACGCGAACAATGCAACGTTGGTATTTGTTTCTTAGCTGCAAGTCAAGCAAAACATTGGGAAGACAAACCCGTTTCGTTTGCCTGGAATGACAAGGCAGCAGCGGTCGGTCGGTCGGTCGGTTGGTTGGTCGAGTGGGTCGAGCCAGCAAACAGGTCGCTCTTTGCGCCCATCGCATCGTATGTACGGATGACAAAGGAATGCGGGCAATTTATGGAGTGCGCGATCAGGGCAATAACAACTCTTTCTCCCGGCTCTCTCGTTTCCAAGTGTGGTGTCTGCTTTTAAATTTCTTTGGGAACATAAATTATGCATAAAGTGGCATAAAATTACAGTAAGAACGTTGCCTTCAATGCTGGGAAGTTTCAGGGCAGTCTAACTTTTTGTTTTTGTGTTTTGTGGGGCGTCGACTATTTGACAAATGTATCTTTCGGATACCAACATAAGTAATACACGCCACCGCATTTGCACAGTCGCTGAATGTGTTGCATTTGGCTGGACTGGCATCGAAATAATTGAGAAATTTACATTTTTTCCAACGGTTTAAAGCAGCAACTTCCGTTTTGCGCACAACCACAGACACCCACGAATAGGTGGCTGGACGTGATTTCCCTCTTTCCCCGCCGGCACACGCAACCGGCACAGTGAAATGTGACGCGAACGCTACATTGACTGCCTTACATACATATTTTGTGAAATAATTTCAATTTTGAATACATCAAGTTTTATTAGCGCTCAAGTTTTAGGCCCCGCCTCAAGTGGATTTAAATATTTGAAGAGTTTCCGACTTGAACGCATCTCTGTGGGTGCGCTATGATTTCGAAAGTCATAAAACCAAGCGATAATAATAATAACAATGATAGAGAACTATTTGAGAAGGGTTCCCTCGTTGTCGTTGTCTACTGTGGCAATTCAATCGCTCGTCCCATATTGTTAATTTATACACGCGCGACAGGAAATATTAATACGGGAATGAGATGTACAGAAAGGGAGAAACAGCCAGATCTCACTATATACCCATGCATGTATGTTCGACTGTGTGTGTGTGTGTGTGTTGTGTAAGCGGAAACGTAAGGTTTTTCAGCAGCTTTCATGGTGGTCCGACCGTCTCGCACCAAAGCGCAGCTTTAAGTTCTATTGGCATCGTGTTTGGCTGCACATTAGGTATTTGTCTATGATAATAAAGTTAAATTTTATGAGCAACAAACATAATGCTTGTATTACTAATTTTATGCTGTCTGAGTCATAAGCATCAACTGATTTTTAGAGTAGAGCGAAGCATTGGGAATGTTATAAAAAAAAAAATACATACAAGTATATAGAACCTTTACTTAGAAATATTAAGCTATTTGTTGTACATATTAGCAATCTATAGATTACTGAGTTGAGTCAGAAAAAATGATGCATCCCTCAATGACGTTTACAATAAATACATTTGTTTTCTTTAAGCAGAGTTTCTTATTTTCTACGAATCATTTACATATTAAATGGTACAATTTTAATTGTTGAAAGCTTCAACTTAAATTCGTGAACTCTTGCATTTCAATTGAACATCTCTACTAGCTAACCAAATAAACAATGATAGTACAATAATTTTTTTTATTATTTATGTATGTACATATATAAAGTATTTCTTTTACCTAAGTTCATCTGATATTTGGGATGGCCGCGAAAAGAGCTGTGCTTGGTACCTGCAGAGAGGAATAGACGGAGAGAGAGAAAGAATGGAGAAAATCATTGTACATGGTTGTTATATAACGACTCTCGGAGTCGAATAAGAGGCGATGCGGTAATTTGTACAATGAGGCAAATGATGGACCAAATACATATATATATATATACTTGTATATATATAAATACTATATATAAATGTACGAGCACACGAAATATTTACAGTTGGATGAATGACATAAACAGAATAGCGCTATATACATATGTACATACATTAAAAAGAAGAAGAAAAAAGTAGTTACACATTGTACTCGAGAAGAAAGCGTCGGGAACTGGAAGCCGTGTGAAATGTACAGGCCAATTAGACGGCCATCAAACAAGTTGCAAACAAGAACTGAAGAGTAACAGCAAAAGCAGCAACAACAACATTGAATGAAATGCTGCAATTGCTTGGAGTCTCTAATATAAAGTATCTTGCGGATGCTCAGAGACAACACAAATTTTACAATACTTGTACTACCCCGTTAGGAACGACGAAATCTCAGTTGTCAAAGGGCGAAACCCCTTTTGACATTCGACAAACTGAAAAAGTGGCAAACGATTCCAGTTTGTGGGTGCCGTACAAAATGCGATTTTGTTATTAGTGGCAACCAAATGGGGCCAACGACCTTTCCGAGCCTCAAATTGTACAAACGAGCAGCGAAACCACCACACTCACACACACACACACACACACTTTTACATAGATACTTATGTATGTATAGGCGCTGACATCCGACAGATACTTGTGGAAGTTATTAGCAAGAATTGGAGCAAGCCGCTGAGATTTTTGTGCCATACAATACTTAGGGGGATTTCTTCTAAAGTGAAATGAAATGACGCAAAATTCCGTGGCTGGCCAACGAGTGTGGGTGACGCTTGGCGCTTGAGTGGCGCATTAGAATAAACTGCAGCTTATCTACATCTAAGCGAACGAGTATCTGGCACACTGAGGCTCACTGAGTACATACATACATACATACGTGGTGTCGCGGCCCAAACTAAATTCATCAAAACCATAACAGCTCAGAAAATGCAATGTGCAGCAAAAATTAAGGCATGCTGTAATATTCAGAGAGAGAAAATCTGCGATTTCGTAATCACATAGATTTCCCCGAATAAGTTCGAAGTAAAGATTTGGACATTAAATCTTAATTTTCTAACGCCTCTTACAAGTTATTTCTTTGTTATTACAAATATAAAGTATTCAGTACAAATCGAGCGTTGTATCAAAACTTATAGAAATTCGCATGTAAAATGGATTCTTAATGAGACAAATTAGATCATAGTTGGAAATCTTATTCTAATTTGAGATTTATTGTTTGCAATAAACTCATCTGCAATATGGAACTCGGGTTGATTTCGATATATTTGTATGTTCTGGAGTAGCTTACCAGTTCCCATTTGATTGAAAATTAAAAAACAGCGCCTTTTTTGAAAGGACGCTTGAAAACAACGTCGGCTTGCAGTTACTAATCTAGTACAAGACTGCATTAAAAAAGCCGTTAATTCGAATTGTAAAGACAGTATTTCATTTTGTTCACTGCATTATCGCATTCAATAGTTCCTGCAATATCTCCAGTTTACAAGCCCATGGTACACCTTAGTCTGCTTTACTGATTCATGTACGACCAAATAAAATACAATTTAATTTCGCAGAGTGAAATATGTTCTGGTTTTAGGTGAAGGTCTTTTGTTATTCCATTATATAATAATGCTGATTAGATCTTCAAATTGTTTCAATAGAAACTGCATTATAAGATAATCGCAATACATATTTGAAGCCTTGTAAGGGCACTTTGCATGTCTGCTTTTCACGGCACAGCTCTTGCAACTATATATAGTTTATATCTACAAAACCATATATCTATCAGATAGATGGCCGGATAGACTATTGCGCGCGGTACAAACAAAAAAAAAAAAACAAAACAAGTGGACACGCTACAGTCCGACTTTGAAATACTCTCCCACTTATGTGTAGAATAATTGTAAAAATGTAAAAAAAGTAATGAAAATGTAATATTAAAAAAAATATATTGTTGATCGATTATACTTAGGTACTTGCTATGAGAATCGCAGAGGAGGGCTGCAATTTTTTTTACAAGAATATTTATTTAATTTCCACAATTATTTCACTATAAATATTAAAAAAAAAAAGTTAGAAATTCGCTCACTTGGGTACTTGGTATGAGAATCGCAGAGGAGGGCTGCAATTTTTTTACAATAATATTTATTTAATTTCCACAATTATTTCACTAAATTTGGATGAAGCCAATGAATTAAAAAAAGGTAAAAGTGATATCACTTAGGTACTTGGTATTAGAATCGCAAATATATGTGTATTTAGTTACACATAAAAATTAGATGACTTCAATTAATTTAAAAACAAGTGGAAAAGTGGTCGGGTTTCCCGACGACGCGTACACACAAAAGGCATTTCTGTGCAAAATTTGCCGTCTCTCTCTTTTAGTCCCTGAGATCGGTGGTTACACAGACAGGTAGACAGACAGGGCTCATGTCATGCTGATCAAGAATATACATATATATGTACTTTGTGGGGTCTGTCACGCCTCCTCCTGCCTGTTACATTTTTCACTTCCCGCAAACCTAATATACTCTTATGCATTTAATGTACAGAGTATAAAAATTAATAATAGGTCCTTGAAGCCGCCATCTTACGCGCCGGCTTGTCTTTCTGAGTGCTTGCCAGCAATCCAAAGGCTGGCCATGTGTCGAGCGCTCGTCGGTTTGTCATTGTCAACATTGCTACTGAAGAGCTAACCTTAGATGTATGTACTTCCACTTTGTGGCAAGTAAACATTTAATGGCTCTTTGACGCGTTGTCTTTATCATGTGGCTTGTCCTTCCCTCCAACTAAACTGTCGCCAACTCTCATTGACGCACATCAAACTTAATGTGTTTACCCGTGTCCCATTTTGATTCGTTAGACACAGTTTATTACTGGTTACCGAACTGTCAGCTTAATGAGCTTCAATGGTTAATTTATAGAAATGAAGTCACAAAAAAATTAAGAGCAAAAGAAGTGGAGATCTTGAAAAAGTTTCGCTGTCGTCTGCTTGAAAAACAAACTTCATTCATTAAAGCCAACTTCAACAAACACTTCATTCAATATTTTACTTGCCGGCTCACTCTCTTATCATCATTCATTCATTCAGTTCATTCATCCACTCTTGCATTAGTTCTCTACACACACACACACACAGTTCGTTCATCTGTTTTTGACTTGGCTCGTTTGTATCTTTTGCATTTGAGCACGTCTCGGGTTAGTTAGTTGTTGTTGTTGTTGTCTCTGTGTCTCAGCTCAAGGGCTTTTGTGTCATGCCCTGCACTCGCACTGGTTGGCTTCGTCTTCGCTTGTCGGATTTCATTCGCTTCTGCTGTGACCAAAAGGGTTGCCCGCCAGTCCCTCATTTAGCCAGTTAGCCCGCAGTCAGCATTCAGTAGTAATCAACTTTTACGGGTTAAATTTAATTAGTCATTTTTCTGGCTTCCGCTACATACAAACCAACTAGGTTTTTGGTTTTTTTATGTGCTTAAATATGAAGCAAGTGAGAATAATGCATAAATTCTGTGGCATTGATCCTTAGGCACTGAACTGTTTAAATGTCTAGAGTGTCTCCCCATCTGCTATTTCCATCGGTGCTAAGAACATTGAAGGGGTCATTACCAATATCATTAAAAACATGAAATCGTGGCAAGTACATAGTTACAAGTTTATAAGACCGTAATGGCCGGATATTTGTAGGAAGAGTTTACAAATAGCAAATTCTAGCGTAATCGGCAGACCTTTCTGACCCACTGGTTTTCTACTCCTATAAGAACGTACAAGTATTGCAAAATTGGATATAACATAGTGTTTGTTATTTATTTTTATGATTATATCCAACAGCACAAGCTGTATTTGAACCAATGCAACGTTATAATGAAGACTTACAAGTTGAAAAAATCGCAATAATATCTAATAAATGTATTTCAAGATAGTATATTAATTAAAGTATTTGGACCGTATCTAGTAGTCAATAGATAGATGCACGCTGATACGATGAGCGACTGTTGTAGCGGGTTTATCTCTTGGCTTACAGCTTCCTATCACGTCCTGCTGAAAACAACTCAGTACCTTGTACTAATACTGATTTCTCCAATCTCGCTGCCGTATTTTTATGGAATTCAAAATGGGCGACTTAACATAGGTATGGACTTGGTATAGGATGTTGTTCTTGTTGTACCACTTCTGTACTTTACTGCCACTTCCTGGTTGAGTAATTACAAATTTTGTGTCTCTCCTATACTAATACTTTATGCAAATATTCTTTTTGATTCAATAATAGGAGTCCATACGTTCAAAATGATATATATTTGTGGTTGATGGGTAATGAGCGATTATATCGGGGTCGGGTGTTGGCCCACTTTTTCCAAATGATATTTATTTATTTTTATTTTCATTTATACTATACCCTATCCTTCTAGTGATCGATAGAAAACTAAAACTCACTACATATGAGTGCTTCGTATGAGAAGCGCGGAGAACAGCTCCATTTTAAATTCTTTTATATAATCAATATGATTGCTATTGGTGATTTGATTAGGTAACTCATATGAGAATTTTGTGTTGTTTGTGAATAAGTTATAAATCATGAAATCTAATTTATAATATATGCCCAAATCAATCGAGAACATTTTCACTCGATCACATATAAAAAATTCTATCCCGAACCTAAGTATATAACAAAGTATACATATATGTATGTATTTATCTAAGGCTACTTATACCACCACTATACTATAAGAGTTTCCTTTAAACTTCCCTGTACAAGTCAACACTGTAAGTTAGGGCACATGTCCTTGTTTGCATTTGGCACGCACTTGCCCAGCATTTAGGAATGCATAACCCAAAGAGGAAAGGTGTATAGGAGCAATGGGTACTTGCTGGCTGGTCCCATGAAGGCCATAAAACCGTCAA